CAGGTAGGGGGTCTCAAAGTGCTGCTCGTCTGCTGGGCCTTGATGTGACAGACCTGAGCCTGATAGTGCTTCCTGTCCATGATGTCCCTGTTGATGAGCCATTGAGTCCATCTACTCACCCTCTTCTGGGGGTCAGTGCTCTTTGGCATCAGTGAGGTCAGGTGTAATGAACAGCAACTGCTTCTATCAAAAGTATGAAGGAGCTGAAGGTGCTGAGAAAGATTGTGGCATTTCTTTCATTAGGACTAAGCAGCATAAAGCTCATCATACAACAACAAGTATTTATAAAGCTCTGGATAATGCAGTTATCATCGTAAAACAACAGTAGAATGGTGGTAAGAGCAAGTGGTTACAAGCTTCAGCTAATTGTAACACACCAACTCAAAACTATACAAGACATGAGTCGGGCACCACAAAAAATGTGCATTAGTTAGAATGTCTATGCAACCATCAAAATCGAATATCAGGTTCTTCTCAGCACCACAATCATGTGTAAGTGGTATATAAGCACCTGCTTTCATTTCCGTGCTTGCACTCTCTTATAACATAACTCAAATTTATGATAAGCTCATTGTAATAACACTGAAAGCACCATATAATCATGGCAATCAAATGTAATAGCTTATACCTGAAACCCAGACTGGTAGCCATTGCATGGGATTTTGGTCCTTCCAGGGCCCTTACAGGTGATTGTAATAGAATGTACAGATCTTAAGCACTTTTAGGCCTCAATGACATATTAAAAACACGAATGACTAGGATTATATTACTAAAATACCATACATGATATCAATATCAATATGTAGTGGAAATTAGTATAAAATAATATGACAGTAGATCACTCTGACATCAACAAAGCAAGAGCCATATCCTCATTGCCCAAAGAACAGAGCATCAACGAATCCTAAACCAAGCCACAGAACTGCCATGGCAACATGACCCACCAATTCATCACTAAGTTTCAACAAGCTTGATCAATGTCTGGGAATTGGACGTTCTAGTTTCTAGGGCAGCTAGAAACTGACATTGAGACTGGTCAGTCCAATTAAATGTCAAAACCAGTATGCATACACACAAAAAACCAGATAACTCTGAGATAGTATTTAAGTTATTACAATGGACTCCAGTCCTATTCACATTGCACACACTTTGAAAAACTGGGGCTTGAGGATGGTGGAAAAGATATCCAAGAGACAGGCATGTTAGCCAATAATATGCCAATGGCAAGCAAACATTCCACTCACCTGAGTTTCAAAGGGGTACAATTGTATACAGCAATCTGATTGCAAGCACAACAATCGTCCAGGTTCATCCTCTTTCCACAAAAGATACATATGGGACATGTCAGTAACAACTAACAAGAGAATGAAATGTACCAGGCTTATTAGAATTGAAGTCATGGAAGGTATTAGTAACCAAAGAGAGTGAAAAGAAAAGAAAACCAGCATACCAAAGTAGTACTCTGACCTGCTCCTTCAATTTCTTGCATATATGCACCGAGATTCACATAGAAATATGCTGTTGTTTGTTATACTGTACACTTCAGGTGTTCGAGACTGCTCTAGGATCATACTGAGAGAACTGGCCCCTTGATACAGTATTATATCATTCTGGTGAATAAACATGTACCATTGTGGTGTTACTGGTGCATGCTTATTGCAGTGATACAGTGCAGAAATCACGACTATGCAAAAGGTGGGATGAGGTATAGAGGTGACATGTTGAACTAGTGATGGTGATGGCAAGAGGCAAAGGTGCTGAGAAGAACTGTTACTCAGACCTGATCAGGACCTGGGACTTGCCAGACAGTATTTCCACCCAAGTTCAATTTCACTTATATCACAACTAATCTGCATTTCATTGACTGCTGGGTCCTCCTTTATGCAGTCATTATATATGTAGGACTTGTAAATGTCTAAAAAAAGTTTCTTATCTATCACCACTCTGCACTGGCAGTCTGAGCAGTGAGTAACTTACATCTACATTGTATCTGATATCTATGTGCATTCCAAGTTGACTCATGCTGACACCCAAGCTATACTACCTTACAATAGTGAATATCAGCAAACCTATATTTCAAACCAAGGTAAGTGCTTTATACTATGTTGAGGGGGCCACAATGACTTATAATCCATTATAACAACCACTGATCCTTGTAGGCTGTTGCAATTTGACCAAGTCGTTGTATGGCATGGGAAGCAATCAACATTTTTCATGGTGTCCAATGTGTCACTTGCATTTGGTGATTCACAGGGTGGACAGCATTGCAAGTTCTTGTGGATGGTGATGGACAAGTTAGTCGTGAACCAGGGAGTTCAGTAAGAGTTGGAATTGTATAACCTTAGCTGAAGCTGGGGCTTAAGGCCACAGCATAGGCTAGCTTAAATACATGTTGGCTCTGCCTAATAATAAATCCTGGCTGTGATTCTCACATAGAGAAGTGCGTCCTTCAATGAATGAGCATAAAGAGCACATGTCACCTGCATGGAAGCAGGACTCTATCTGACTCATCCTTATCCTATAGACCACCTTTGACTAGCAGTCTGTATTGTCAAACCATTAAGAAGTATGATGCCATCAAGAAAAGTATGATGGTGCATGAGATACATTAGTCATCCAGGATGTGGCAACCAGATAAATGGGTAGGGAACATGCTGGCAGAATATTGTAGGTCTGAGAGATAAGATAGGTAGGTCCAGGGTTCTGAGAGATAAGGATAAGATAAGATAAGGAAAATAGAGGTAAGGTCATAATAGTTGATGTCAGATTGGTGAGCAGTGAAACTGCTGTGAAGATAGGTTTCCCTGTGAAAGCATTGCAATAGCATGGAGTCTGTTCCAAAGGAAAGGGGGCCTTCTTTTGAGGCAGAGATGAGGATGTCATCCATGGTATATGTTGAGAGGCTCAGTCGACACCCACATGGTCTTCTCAGACATGGGCTATTATTAGGTACCAAAGTTTACATTGAGTCACATGATCACTACTGTAGCATTTTCCCATTTGTTTTCACTAGCATACCTCAGTCTTTTACCACCATATCGAGTGGAGACTGAGGTACATTTTCTTCTATGATACTTACTTCTGTAGTACTTATGTTCTTGTAGTTCATTGTTCCTTAACAGTATAGGTTTGATTTTGTTGTGATATTCCAGTGATATGGCATGTCTCAGCATGCTTAGTAAGAGAGAATCTGGAGGAAATGGGGAGAAAGTACTAGATTAAGTAGTAAATAGTATAAATACAGAGCATAGGCAAGGAAACTCCTCATGAATTTGTCTACCTAGTGACTAACAGCCTAACAGCTGGAGTGCAACTGCATTCAAATCACAATAGATTTGTGGCCACAGAGTTGCAGTTGGTTTCTGGAGGGATGGTGAATATAGCAGACATGGTGAAGAAGAAAATTTTTGACTCAAGAGTTTGAGTTTGAAATATACTGTTAGGATTATGCCAATAGGAACAAGGGAAGGGATTGCATGCAGTGGAGGCCATAGAGTGTGTAGGGCATAGGTGAAGCTATTAGCAACATCACCCCTGAGCTGAAGTCTGTTAGGATTGTGCCAATAGGATTGTGGCAGTAAGTGCTCATAGCAGAATGCTGCAGGATGTGTTGGGCATAGGCAAAGCTATTAGCAACATCACCCCTGAGCCAAAGCCCTAAGATGGATACGGACGGAAGTCCGCAGAGTGGTAGAGACGAGGTAAGAGATAAGTCCAACAGATTGGAGTTCCATGGACTGGAGAACAAGAGTGTGACTTAAGGTCAGAGAGAGATTGGGCTGAACCAAGTTGATATTTGAACTGAGTATCTACAGTGTAATTCTAAGGCTTATATACTAGTTAGGAGTCTGATCTAGTTCCTACTCGGAGTGGTCTACATTCTAGGGTTGTTGGAGGATGTATTCTACCAGTCGGTAGCCGATGGGGTCTGATGAATGTTCACTACCGATGTCAGGCTATTGATAAATTGTAATGGAGAAGTGAAATATAAAAAGGAATATGAAAAGGAATATGAAATAGAAACTGGGAATTGGAATCTGTAGGTTTCCATGCTGTGGTTTGTTGGGTTGAGTGGAAGTCGGGTTTCTGTCAGCATGCTTGTTACAAAGCCCTAAGATGAATATGGATGGAGGTCCACAGTGAGACAGAGATGAGGTAAGAGATAAGTCCAACAGATCAGAGCTCTGCAGACTGGAGAGCAAGAGTTTAGACTAAGAGTCAAAGAGAGTATTGGGCTGAACCAAGTTGATATTCAAACTGAGTATGTACAGTGTAGTTCTACAGTTTATATACTGTTTAGGCATCTGGTCTAGTTCCTACTCAGAATAGTCTACATTTTAGAATGGTCAGGAATTGTAGTCTACCAGTCAGTAGCTGATGGAGTCCAATGATGTACTCACTACTGATGTCAGGCTTGTGTCGGACTCTTGATAAATTAAAATGGAGAGATGAAATATAAAATGGAATATGAAATAGAAACTGGGAATTGGAATCCACAGGGATCCAAGATGCAGTTTGTTGGAGTTCAGCTTGAGATCAGAGTTCCATTGGCATGCATGTTACAAAAACAGGAATTCACATATTGATTACACTTCAAAAATACAAGGGTATAAAGCTGGTTCATAATGACACAGATAATACTAGTCCTTCCTTTAAGAGCCAAGTAAAAACAACTCAAGACCCTTGGTGCACTGTCCTATACTTTGCTCTTGCAACTTCCAAGCTCATGAGAGACTTCATTAATGAAATGGGCCTTATCCAGTGGGATCCTGACTCTGGGACCCCCACAATTAAGCCCACACCTCTGACCAACATACTCTTCAGCTCTCAAGTCCAAGTCTCAGACAAACCACCCATATGCACTGCACAGTAGTGTCTATGTTTCCACTCTTCCCTTTCCTCAAGCAACACTCATTTGCACCTTCCCAAAGTATGAGCCTTTGCTGTATTCGATGCATTAAATAACCTCTAGCGTACACAACAAATCGATAAAGATACAGTTAGCTCTTTCGCTGGGCGTGCGGCATCGGCGCAGGCGCCAGGACGGGTGTTTGATGCTGAGAGGAATGAGGCGGCGGCTTGGCTTCTTCTACGGTCGTCGTCAAGTCGACCTCTTCTACAGGTTTCATGGCGTCGACCTCTCGGCTGTCTCTCTTTTCTTTCTTCTCCCGCTCCTCCTCCTCCGCCCGCCGTATCACGTCCCTCTCGCCCTGAACCACTACTCCCTCCAGCCAATTATGGTATATCAGATCTCCGGCCTTAGCTCGTTTCTCCGGATGGAGGCGTAGCATGGGCGTGAGGAAGGACGCTAATGCGTCTGCCTCCGGTTTCGGAAATAGGTATTTGTCGTGCAGCACTGCCTCAAGAGGCCAATACCGCAGTTTGTTGATATGGCGCAACTCCCCTTTCCTATTAAAAAATTCAGAGGAATACTTCCCTGTGAGCGCGATGCTCTTGGGTATTTCGCCCATCAATTCCATTATTTGTGCGATGTGGTCGTCATCTTTGCTATACCGTGATCCCGCGGCCGGGTCAAAGAGATAGTCGCCCCCTGTTATCAGCTCAAATATCTACGGACCCGATAAGAGGAAAGAAGATAGAAATAGATATGCTTACTCACCACGCATGCGACACTCCATATGTCGGCACTGACACCCCACTTGGCGCCTAAAATGACTTCCGGACACCGGTATTGACGTGTCTGTATATCGTCTGTAAAGTGGTGTTCCGTCCAAGTGGCTGGTGGAAAGAATTAGAGGAGAACATGAAGAGAGAGACGCGATACGAACCATTACCCAGATCGGCAATTTTGACAGTGATCTTCTCATGGCCATCGTATACAGGGTCATCTCTAGAGGTTTGTAGGGTTGGCGATGACTCTGCTGGACGTGATGACGAGGAAGTCACGGCATGAGGCGCCTGCTGAGATAGAAGCGAAGGAGCTGTCTTTGCTGGATGAGGAATGACCTTTTCTCCGAAACCGTTCTCCAATGAAACGTTACCAACCTCTGCGGCGAGATCGGCAGAGTCGGCGCGCTTCTTGTCTGATTCTTCACCTTCTATCTTACTCATGCCAAAGGACCATTTATCAAGCATAGGACTACTGCCATAAGACGAGGAGGGGCTGGGGAGGGGCTGGGACCCGGTGATATAGATGCTCTCGGATCTAGGCGTCTGGTTGCCACCCCGGCCCTTGGAAGCAGGTACGCCGACAAGTTTGGTGGGCGGCGAGGATGCACTGGAGGAGGACGCAGCGAGCTCTGCCTGTATGATAGACTCGACATCGTCGATGCAGATGAGGACGTTTTCCGGTTTGAGGTCTATATAGAACTGAGCGCATAGTGTAATAGGGAGAAAACGGAAACAAACCTGTGTGGATAACGCCGCAACAGCGATGCATGTAATCCAAGCCAAGAAGGACTTGTTTCGCGATCTGCTTGACAAGATGCATCGGAACGCCCTTGTTCTGATGCCGCTTGATGAGGCCGAGGAGATTTTCGCCAAGGACCTCAAATACCATGCATACATGAGTGCCGTTGGGACCCTTGTGCCGGAAATGGTCGAGAAAGGACATGACATGGGAACGACCTGGATGTGTCTGGGATGGAGATGGCGGTGGATGTGGATTTGAAGGAGTTGGCTGAACGGGTGGCGTCGAGGAAGTGATGAGGCGCTGGAGAAGCTTGATTTCATCAAGAGCGGTCTCTGTGTAGCGAGGAGCGGACTTGACGACCTTCAAGGCGACATGGCGGTCCATTCTGCGATGTTCAGCAACGCGGTCAAGCGAGGCAACATAAAGAGAACATACTTGAGATCCTTTGCAAGCCAAACGGTTGAAAAATGACCCCAACCAAGCTTACGAACGACGAGATATCTTCCGTCAGAAAAGGTGTCCCCGATTTTGACTGGATGGTAGCCGCCTTTGACATACTCTTCCCAGTCCTCTTCATCTTCGGTCATGATGGAAGCTGCAGACGAATAGGAGCCGTGAGACATGATATCACTTGCACAGATAACACTTTTTTTGTCGAGATAAGCAATTGCAAACTGGCGTTACTGGGGATCACCCGCGTCCCGGTTCCTGTTCTCGAGTTCTGGGCTGTCCTCGTTGGCTGGGAAGTGGCAAATAATGGCACAGACGAGATATGAAGGGGAACACAAGGGTAGTAGGCGCCAGTGTACGTCTCCGTTAGAGTATACGGTACAAATGCCGCACATGTGATAGGTTTTACATAAAGGGTAATCCGGATCATGAGGCGTGGGCATTTACTTTACCCCGGGCTGCACGCGTCGCGTCGAGCCTTTGTTTGGATTCACCGTGCACATCAAACATGGCCACGAGCCATCTTCAGTCATCCACCACCACCACCATCGTTCGCTGACAATACCATGTCCGCGTTATCTTCCCTTTCTAAATTCCTACCATCTATCAACTCTCGTGACAGGCCTACCGACCCTTTACACCAGCTTCGCTTCGTCCTCGACACAATGCCTAGCTCCAGGAAATACCTCTTCACAGCAGCGACTCGCGCAGAGATTCTCTCAGAACTCTATGACGCGTTCTGGGGATCGTATGCTCACCTCTTTCTTCCCAATTCTAATTCAAGTCTCCCGCTGCACGCCACACTCAGTCAGGTCCAGTCATCTTTGGGATTCTCTGGCGCAGGAAAGGAAGCACCTGTACTACCAGGGAGACCTTGCGGTCACATTCTCAAGAAGGGAGAGAGTTGTTTCAGATGCAAGTGCGTACCTACGTCCATTCCATTTCTCACTGCATTCATTCGCGTTGCTTCAGGGATTGCGCTCTGGATGACAGCTGCGTCCTTTGTCCCAAATGCTTCCATGCGACAAATCACATTGGACACAACGTCAGTTTTTTCATTGCCCAGCAATCTGGTGGATGCTGTGATTGTGGTGATGAGGAGGCATGGAGAACTCCCATAGGCTGCCCTTACCATCCACCACCCACATCCGATGACGATGAAATGTCTGGTCTTTCCACTCCCAAAGTCACCTCAAAATCCTTGCAGGATTCTATCCCTACTGTAAAAAACTTTCCTGACCGCGTCTTTGTACCTCCAGATCTTCGTGAGACCATGAGCAGGACAGTAGGCTATGCCCTAGACTTCATTCTTGACACCCTAGATTTCTCTCCTGATGAACCTTCTGTCCCCGCCAATGAGGCAGATCTCCGTCTCCAACCTTCTGCTGATCCCGTGCCGAAGGACCAGTTCTGTATTGTCCTTTGGAACGACGAAAAGCACTCTTTTGACGAGGTGATCAAACTTCTCTGTGACAAGACCAATTGCCCGCGCGATGAGGCCTCCGAAATTACTCACCGGATCGATGAGCAGGGTCGGGAGATAATCGAAATGAGCTCCAACATACAGAAGCTTCTCGAGACAGCTCAGTCTTTGACCATCATTGATTTGGGTGTCACGGTCCGGAGAGCCTATGACACATTCCGAGAACAGGTCGTCTCTGTCATCATAGAATGGCTATTAGACCTCACCCACAGCCGCCTTGGAAGCGATACCCTCATATTGCGCGAAGTCATATCCGAGGAATTACTTTCGCGTCGCAGGACATCTTACACATCAAACCCTCATGCTCTCCATTCCCTCCCTGATATCTCTGCCGTCCCTACCAGACTTGATATATTGTTCCTCTATCATGCTAGGCTCTGGAAGAAGCCTCGCCTGAGCCTGAAAGAGATCTACACTTCTGTTCTTACTCTCAGCCACCCACATAAGCTTGCAATAGGTAATTGTCACCACTTTCTCTGCCGTCGACGATGCAATGACAGATGATTTTAGCCGGACACTTTGCAAGCGTGTACCATCGTGTCATCGATGCGTACCTCCTCGTTGATCATGAAGCAGAGACGTCAATCAAATATTTTGCTTTACAGCTGTTTACGACACCTTCTGTTGCCGCCCATATCGTCCGTAACTACAAGCTCGTTTCCCGCCTCCTGGCCATCATTACAGCCTTCTTCACAAACCAGATAACTGAAAAGCATATCATCTATCCCCCCATGTCCATAACGAACATCGACGTCGATACTTTTCCTTTCAAATCTAAACGCTTCATGCCTGTCTTCAGCGATCTTCGCTATCTTTGCCATAATGAGCCGGTGCAAAAGATGATTGCTCATAACCGTGAATTCATCGTACAATTCGCCAAGACGTGCCAGCTCTTCATGTGTATCAATCCAAACAAACGAGCTGCTACCAATCACGTCGAGTATGAGACAGATGCATGGATTAGCGTTTTCAATGTAACTTTATCCCTATCCCGTGTCATCAAGGTATACGGCGAAGCGTTCGCCAAGGCTACTACCGCCGAACTTGCTTCAGCGATTTCAACCATTGTTCATCATATTTTGATGGTGTGTACTCTTGCGGAGGACAGACTCGACAGGACAAAGTATTCTCCCATTGCGTTCCACGAAGTGTTCTTCGGGAACGCCGTTTACAACGTCATACAATTCGACGTGCTCGAAGGATGGACAAGTTTTCACCATTCCCTACACTGGCTACTTGCCGAACTGTTCAAGCATGTAGACCTATTGACAGAAGATCGTTTACGAGATGTTGGGATGACGGGCGTTCGTGATATCCTCCTGCGACATGCAAGCGAGCAAGCCATCTTGACCGTAATTGACTTCCCTCTCAGAGGTAAGTTAGCGCAATTGAGTGTTCAAGCCCCGAGCCTTAATCTTTGTTTCAGTTCTTGCTATGATTGCACAGATTCGTACTGGTCTTTGGGTTCGGAATGGCTTCGCCATTCGAGGACAACTCCTTCATTATCGTGATTTCATGCTCAGGGAGCTTTGCTATGATCAGGATATCTTCATTCTCCAAGTCGCGCTTGCCGTTCTAGACCCTAACACCGTTATCGTCACAATCTTGGACCGGTTCGGGCTCGTGGGCTACTTCTCCGGTGCTTCTTTGCACTCCGTGTACGAAGGCACCCAATTGACCAGCATGGTCGAAGAGGTTTTGTACATATTTATAACTATCCTGAGCGAGGACGCAAATGCTGGCCGATTACCCGTTCCAAGCCAGATTCGTCGCGAAATCATTCATGCGTTAGCCCTTGGCCCATGTTCGTATACTGATCTGGTGAAGAGGGTTGCAGAACGCCTGGTCGAAGATATCAATTTCGAGAAGGTATTGAAGGAGGTTGCAGTCTTCCGTTCCCCCGAATCCACGACGGACTGCGGCGTCTATGAGCTGAAGGATGAGATGTACGACGAAGTTAATCCATTCTTCTATCATTATACGCGCAACAAGCGGGAAGAGGTGGAAGCCATTCTTCTCAATCGCTTGCGGAAGGCAGGACAGTCTGAACCTGTCCTCGTTCCCAAACCAATGCAAGTCACAGCAGGACCGTTCTCTATCATCTCATCAACATTCGAGTCTGAGGCGTTATTACAAGTGATCTTTTACTCCATTTTCAATGTCCTTGTAGCGACGGATGAATCTGGATCGGCCCCGCCTTCTGCAGAAGCTATCCTTGACCAGATCCTGCACCTCATCATGTTGGCACTTGTGGAGCGTGCCGTCATTTTCAGCAACCTTTCTGCTGTAAAGACATTTGAAGGCAGGACTCTCGTCGATACTCTCTGCGCTCTCGAATTCCACGACAAATTCAAGACGTACAAAGCTCGAGTAGGATGGATCTTGAACCGCATGGCACTCCATGTTCCGCAGGAAGTACAGAGCCGAAGACACATTCTCGATATAACGCTTCCCGCTGCCTCTGATGTGGATGAAGCTAGGAAACGTGCTGCGAAAGCAAGGCAAGAAGCTATCATGAAGCAAATGAAAGCCCAGCAAGCTAGTTTCGCAATTAACTTTGACGACATTGACGACGATGAAGATGAGATAATGGAGGATGCTGAGGAGGAACAAGTTTCCTATGGGACTTGTATCGTTTGCCAGGAGGATCTTAGCGTGCACTCTTCTCGCCTATTCGGTATGCTGGGAATGCTACAGCCGAGTCGTTTTATTCGACGCCAGCCAGACGGCTTCAACAACACTTTTCTTAAGGAAGCCTTACAGACGCCTGTTTCGCTGGATCGTTCCGTTCCCCAGGTCAACAACACCTTCCCGCCTCGTGACGCCGAGATCAATGATGCCAAAGCTGGCTTATCATCTAAATTTGAAGGGTTCCCAGCTCAATATACTCGCTTTGGCATGAATGCATCAGTGTGTAGCCATATGATGCATTTAGATTGCTTCCACGTCTACAGTGTGTCAATCAGGCAGCGACACAGGGCGCAAGCCACCCGGAGCCACCCCGAGAGCATTCCTCGGAAAGAATTCATATGTCCACTATGCAAAAGCCTGGGAAACGTTATCATTCCCGTATCTGCCCCTCCAACAATTCCCCTAAATATCACTCCCTTTCCCGACTGGATCCGTGCAGCCGGAATCAATATTCTCAAATCCCGCCCTGACCCAGTCACAAATTCTCTCCAATTCCGGACAGGAACAGGGGAATTTGTATTTTGGAGTGCTCAGGACCCAGTGTACACGACGACTCTGCGGGGTATGGAGAAGGCGGAAGGTTCTGATTCGTTCAAAATGGTGGATACAGTCATGATAGTATCCAAGTCGGTTTCCCAACAGACCAGACATCTGCGGGACCGTCCTGAGCCAGAATCTTCTGAGCGAGGAGCAGGCCTGTATCTTCCCGAAGAACTCGTTGGTTATACCATTGCGGCCATGGAAATCTCTCAGCGAGGCATAGAGTCACCTACTGGTTTCATGGTGGATAATTTGTCGGAGGCTCAGATGCGGATGATCAGAGGGCTTCTAACATGTCTGACCCGGCTGTCAGCACTGCACTACAAAGGCCGACCTGATGAAGGGCGAGACTCTGTGCGGCAAGCTATTATCAAACGGCTATTGCCCGAATGGAGCCGTAGTTCGCTTACATCGTTTTCATATCCATTGCTCCTCCGAGATCCCTTTACCCTTCTCGTCGAGACTGCCGCGGTTGCCCCGGATATGCTACGGCATGTCCTAGTATTGACGTACTACGCTTGTTTAGCGAGGACAGTTATCGGTTTAGTATTCGTGCTAAACAAAATACGAAGCTACAACTCGACGCCCCCAATCCAACGAGCGCACGATGATATATTTGGAGACGTCCGCATGTTCTTCATGTCTGTTGTGCGACATTCACCCGTGTTTGAACACACAGCGACTCTGGCCTTCGAGACTTTTGGAGAGGCCCGCATGGAGAAACTGATGTATTCATTTACACTTCCCTTCCTCCGAAAGGCCACCATCTTATGCCGCTCAGTTCTACCTTCTGCGTTCCCCACCCCCGACCATATCGATGCCAACCAGAGTGAGTACAACAGACTACTCGCTATGCTTGGAATTCCCCCACTTTCCGATCTTCCGAACCAGGACACGCTGCAAAATGCATTATCGGGCTGGTGCGCACACTATGGCCACTCGCACGCCGCGTCACCTTTGAACTTTGGAGTTCTTCTGGATACCCCTACTATATATCGTCTTGCACGACTTCCATTTGTGCTTGACAACTTGTTTGCAGACCGGGAAAAAACGCTGACCTGCGCCAAGTGCAAGACCGTACCTATCGATGCTGCGATATGCTTACTGTGTGGTGCCACCTGCTGCATGCAGAGTCACTGCTGCATGGACAGCGAGTCTGGTGAAGGTCATGGGGAATGCAACATGCATACCCGAGAGTAAGTCTGTCTACCGCATGATGATGACCTTGATGATTAATTGTGTCCCCTAGATGCGGTGGGGCGATTGGAATATATTTCCTCGTCAAACGATGCTCCCTACTGTATCTGTATGCAAATAACGGAACCTTCTCACAGTCCCCGTATCTAGATGTTCATGGTGAGATTGACATATCAATGCGGTAGGCAATTGTCTTCTCCAGCTTGTAGACCTACTAACCATCTCTTCTTAGACGGGGACGTAGACAATATCTGCATCATGCACGATGGGAGGAAGTGCGGAAGACGTGGCTCAATCATGGTATTCCGACTGTTATAGCACGAAAGCTGGAGAGTACTTTGGACTCGGGAGGTTGGGAGACACTTTGACACTTGTAACTTGTATCCGCTACATTTACCAATAAGACTGTACTTGTTAGAAACGTATATATATAGCATCCCGATTTTACAATATCGATTTTACGCCGTGCTTGGACTTAGTCGCACCTTTGTCCTTTCGGGGCCCAACACGGTTAGAATGTCGGCGAGAGGTGGCCCATCCTAATCGACTCGTGAGATAATGTATTCTTTGAGTGGTGTAGCTTTACCTTCATCCCAGTCAAGTATGCGCGGAGGACTTTTAGGAAAGCCTTGCGGGGCAAGCCAGCTGCCGTCAGCTGCTCCTGGAATATACTGAAGACAATGTCTGATCTCCAATCATTTACCTGAGTGTCGACAACATCCCTCAGCACCTGGAGCATCCTGGATCGATCTACATCGAGTCGTGAAGAAGGACATAACACCTTCTAAATATGCGACTTACCCTGGACGTCGGGCATGACGACAAGCATACTCTGCGCCTCGTCGGACGTCAAATCGGGTTCTACAAACAGGAACGGCGCAAGGCGAGGGATGTCTTGAATATTCGTCAATCTACCCTGTTGATGACGGATATCAGAAAGGGGAAAAGAAATGGGACATATTACTTGCTTCCAATGCTCGTATAGCGCTTTTGATGTTGTCAATCGTTGTATACTGACTGGAATTGATGTTAGCTACGCGAGTATTTACGCGGCTATTCAAGTAGGGCTTACCTATGTGGGAATGCTTCCTTCACATGGATGTGTGCGCGTTCGGCAAGAGCAGCCATGCCTTCTTCTGTGGTCCAGGCCAAAGCGAGGTGATGTTTGTTGATATACTCCAATTTTGAGACATCTAATCCCGAGCTGCGCTGCGTCAGAACAGAGATATCGAACTGCAAACCATCTGTCAGTGCAATACTTGTCCCCAAAATAGATCGTACCGATTTAATGAGCTCCGGTAGAGACATTATCGCGGTACTGTCAGGAGCGTCCTTGATGTGTGTTCGTGATGTGGACTCGGGTGACGTCTCTTCGTGAGTCACTCCCCAACCAGCGAGAGCAAGCCAGTTAAGCACCGCGGCAGGTTCCCACCCGCGCCTCTATGAAAGTATTAAGTACATTTCGCGTGTTTGATAGAATCATTCGCACCGTGTAGTCGATAACTTGAACATCACCCTTTCGTTTGGACATTTTGGTGCCATCGGGGTTGAGGAGAATGGGAATGTGAGCAAATTTAGGTGGAGTGAGGCCAAGGTGGGCATAGAGGTCGAGGTGCAGAGGGAAAGAAGTTATCCATTCCTATGCTCAAAAGTTGAGAAATTGCGGGACGTCAACAACAAGATGGCCCGACCTCGCCACGAAGAACATGAGTGATCTGCATCTCGTGGTCGTCTACGACCGAAGCCAGATGATAAGTGGGAAAGGAATCAGACTTGAGTAGAACGGGATCAGTAGATAGAGAAGCGTGAGCATCCTTGAGGTGACCAAATACTAGGTCGACTGCTGGCGGCCTGGATGGAGGAAGACTGTCCTGTACGAAGAGGTGTCTGCACGGCAAGCTGACTGTGATCGACAAGACCGACGAACATTGACCCTGACAACAAATTTTTCACCTGCACGAGCCTTTCGTGCCGATTCTTCGTCCGTGATGAGGACACAGGATTTATCGTATGTTGAGTTCGAGCCGGCACGGGCCAGTCTTTCCCTTATGGACGCCAATTTGTCCGTGGAACAAAAGCAGCGGTAAGCGTGGCCAGACTGGAATAACATATAAAAGAGAAATATGCATGCCAGCAGAACGCCTACCTCAAGCAATTTGTTGGCATAAGAGCGGTACAGCTCAAGCCGCTCCGTCTGGAAATAAGGCCCATACCGGGAATTCCTGTCCGGACCGTAGTCGTACTCTAATCCAGCCCAGTCCAGCGCTTTTTGTATTCCTTCTACTGACCCTGGAACCATTCGCGACTGGCTCTTTATAAGACATTGAGCCGCTCGGCAATGAAATAAATCAGCTCACAGTATCCGTGTCTTCGATTCTCAAGATCCATTTACCACCGTGTTTCTTTGCAAAGAGGTGGTTGTAGAGAGCCATACGTAGGCCCCCAAGATGCAGGGGACCTGTTGGAGATGGTGCAAAACGAAGTAGTACCATTGCGGTAGACTTTGGTCGCGAATGGTGACGGTGACGGAAAGCAGTAGAGCGTGTCTAACGATGAGCAGAAACTTCAGAGCGCTTTGCTGTCACGTGATGTATCACCTGCAAAAACACGATCCGGCAGGATGCGACTTTTTATCTGGCTCGTCTCTGCAGCATCTCTGTATACGACATGCACTGGTTATTGTTTTCTCTTCAATAGCTCTGACTCTGCTGCTAAAATCCTGCTCTTTGACTCGGATATATGTGCACAATGATTGGAATTGTACTTTGACTGGTCAGGACTCAGGACTAGTCTGAACATTAACACGTGCATGGAACGCGACACTGACGCGCTTCTGGCAATGACGTAACGGGAAATCAAGCGCTACCCTTTAGCACTGTACTCTCTATCTCTCTCTCTTCGTTACTTCCATGCTACGATACGTCCACGCCTTGACTCTTTTCTCTTTTATTTCAGTCTCTTTCGCTGCCTCTGCCGACCAGTGGCAGGACAGGTCCATCTACCAGGTATTCTTCTCTGTTTCTCTTCCATGTCATACTCTAACGACCGATGGCGACCAAGCTCTTGACAGATCGCTTCGCCGTCAGAAACAATGCCGGGGCCCCTTGCAATACCACAGCTCGAACACTGTGCGGCGGTTCTTGGATAGGCATCACGGAGCATCTCGACTACATTCAAAATATGGGTTTCGACGCCATCTGGATATCGCCCGTCGTAGAGAACATTGATGACAAAAACCCCTACGGAGAGGCATACCATGGGTATGTGATTCGCCTTGCATGAGTCCCCTACTTGACGGCCCCCCAAGCTACTGGACCAAGAATATTTCAAACTTGAATCCTCACTTTGGTAAGCCGGACGACTTGAAGACCCTTAGTTCCGCTGTACATGCTCGCGGCATGTATATCATGGTGGACGTGGTCGTCAATCAGTAACTCGCCTTTTCCTTTCTCGTCTGTATCTTTCTGCTGATGAGCTCCGTAGCTTTGCAGGCGTTCCTTTTCATCCGGAAGCAAATATCTCGAGCATCGATGATTTCAACCTCTCCGGCCTCTCGCCCTTTTCTTCACCTTCGGAATTTCATCCATTCTGCTGGATCCAAGACTACAGTAATCAAACTCAGACAGAGCAATGTTGGTTGGGCGACAATAATCTTGCATTGATCGACCTCGACACCGAAAATCCCAATGTTGTTACCACGATGAATACCTGGATCTCCTCACTAGTCAAGGACTACAACATCGATGGCATCCGCATTGATACCGTCAGGCACGTTCGAAAGGACTTTTGGCCTGACTTCGTCAAAGCGGCTGGAGTATTTTCAATCGGAGAGGTTAGCTGTTCTCCCCTCTTAGCTTGATAGGCGCATATATCCTCCCCCCCCTGTTAGATCTACGATAGGAACGTGAGCTTCGTAAAAGATTACACCGGTAAATCCCTCATTGTTTCATCATCTCGTCCTGGAAGCTAACGAAAGCAGAGGTCATGGACAGTGTTCTCGACTACCCCACATACTTTGCCCTCACCGCCGCGTTTTCGTCGACACAAGGCAGCCTTTCAGAACTCTTGGATGTTGCAACTGCATCTCAAAAGTCCTACAAGCGAGGCGTTTTTGGGACGGGTTCCTTTCTTGAAAACCACGATGTGCCGAGATTCCAATCCATAACCGGGGACTGGGCGGTTAGCCTTCTGACTGAAAGTGTATCACTAGAAGACTCACACACTCATTCGCAGCTAGTTAAAAACGCAATTACTTGGTCTTTTGTTACAGACGGAATTCCAATTCTATACTCTGGTGGGTTTCGCGCCGTCCTAGAACTACGCCTTTCTCATCCAACGGTTTTGTAGGACAAGAGCAAGGTTACCAGGGTGCCGCGGATCCTAACAATCGCGAAGCGTGTGTATTTTCTATGTTCGATGTTAGCATATGGTTAATCCAGACATCTTTTATCAGTCTTTGGCTGTCAGGATACGCAACAGCGAATAAGACTCTCGTGACCCTCGTCAAAACCTTGAATAGTGCTCGGAAATCTGCGATTACTCTCAACAGCAGTTTTCTGACCACTCCTGTACGTCTGTGCTCTTTTCTTTCTGAAAAAGTTGGTAAATGAAATTTTCAAGATGACGTTCATCCCTCAAGGAGGCAACCAAGCCATCGCCATATCCAAGCTTCCTATACTGACGCTGTTAACCAACGTTGGACAATCGGGCACAGCAACATGGAATGTTCCCGGAGTGTTCGAGCCGAAGCAGGCACTTGTTGATGTATTGACATGCAACCAATTTATTGTGCCTTCCAATGGCAATATGACAGTGTCCAGCAACGATGGATTGCCGAAAGTAAGTATACCCGACTTCACCTTCGCACTGACTGAGTATCATTTTATGTACAGGTCTTGATGCCGTCAACAGTTGCTGACCAGGTTTGTGACCATGGAGAACAGGATATCGCGAAGAAACGACGGCACGGAAACAAGGCACCACTGGCGAACAAAGCCGAGTGGGAAACGTTTGGTATCACCCTGTTTTTCCTGTTCTCCGGTTGGTTCTTTTAAAATATAGTTCGACGCTTCTGTAATTTCTCGTCTTCTGGGACTTTGTATACCCTTGGATCTGTAGCATCCCAGTGTTGTATTGTAGCATTCACAAACCGATTTTCCTGGACAGGCTGGCCTGGCAATTCGCTTCAAGTCCAACACATGCATGCAACAAAAAACAATCTACAATGGTTCCAAAAACATGACAACCTTCATTAATACAGCAGTGCGAATAAGGTCGAAGTCCAGCAAAGCGAAGGTATACGAATACGAGTAGATAACCATCCATAACAGCTGTACTATGAAACTAGTGCTGCTAGACGCCGGAGATGAGAAACATTCAAGTACGCTGGGACATAAGTTTCCAAGCCAGACACTTCGCGAGGAAGTGGAAGCTCGTATGGTCCTACTTCTTCTGTCTCTGGTGACAGAAGGAGGTGGTCATTTCGGTCATTAGCTTGGACTCGCGATGCTACCACCCGTAGTATTTCGGGGGAAATCGGGTTCTGGGTGAGAATTGTTGTGATGAGCGCGTCATCTACAAGCAGCAAAGCGACTAACCTCATAATCAGCAACATAATAGTTCGTGCACATCCGTTGAATTTGCATAGGACTCAGCATCCAGCACACATCATAGATAATTTCTATGTCGGGCCGCAGTGGCCTAGAAATGGAAAGGTAGATCAGCGCATGGCCAAGAAGGTTAGTAGTATCCGTACCTTTTTTAGCTGCAGCAGTTTGGTGGCCTGCATCAAGTGTTCCAGCTGCAACGTCCCTTCTGGCATGTCGTGAGATTTGCACCACTCTTCTATCCGGGTGATGTTGTACTGTATTTGCATCGCTGTACCGAAGGTCAGCTTATACATGGACAGTGTGAGATGATGCGCGTACCTCTCTTCCATGAAGAGAAATTCCTTCTCATAAGGAGATCATTGAAACTCGTCACACCAATCAGCTTCAGAAGCTCGGTGACAACCTGCTGCACCACAGACTCCTCCATGTAGTAACTCTTCAAACTCTTCCACACCTTATTCAATAAATTCAAAATATCGTCCATGCTGTACGCTGGCTGCGTGTTACTACTGAGCAGCCGATTGAAGAGACGGCCTCCGCCATCACTCGTGGTGAAACCTGGTAACGACTGACTCTCGATGAGGGCAGGGATGACCATTTTGGAAAGCTTCTTCTTCGTTTCCAGCATCCATGTGTGATAGATGTTGTACTCCAAGGAATCGAGATCATGCTTGACGACCGATACCAGCCGTTCATAGTCATTCCAATCGAAATCCCGAACAGAAGTCTCCTCCCCGGGTCCGATACCTTGAAGCATGTCACTCTCGGCCACGCATATGAACGATAGCATTTCATGGACGTTTGACAGCCAGAAAATACCGGGCACAATCGCATCTTCGCCAGCAAACGACTGCAACGCGATATGAGTGGATACTATGACCGGAAACAAAATGACTTACCATGACGTGTGTTTGGATGGTTTGCATGACATTTGCGAGGAACCTCTCGCTCTCTTGTATCAAACCATATTTCCACATCTCGTTAGTGATAAGGCTGATTAAGTTGGCCGGGAATAGAATTTCCTTTACAGCGGAGGGGTTTGTCAAACTTGGCGCTGGTATCTTCAAACCGCGAACAAGGCCATCGAACACGTCTTCCTCCAGGCGTTTGTTATCCTGCATCAGCTTGATCTTTTCTTCCGCAGGATCCTCGTAGTCCCGTATGTCAGGCAAGCCGTTCGGGCGGAAACGCAGATAGTTATCCTCTCCGTTGAAAGCCACTGACACTGCACGAGGGTTCAATACATGGTCCTTCCGTACATCATACATCAACTCATCGGTAGAAGACCGGTGGTCGGATGGAGGTATAGCATAGACACCGGCAGAACTGTGTCTTCGCTGATGCCTCTGTACACCATTAACACCGTTGGCCTCTGCAGCTCGGAGTGTAGGGGCGAATGTCGGGGAAAGAGGAGGGGGCTCGGCGCGTGATCCCCGTGTCAAAGCGTTCAGAGCATTAGATCTGTTCAGTTGCTCCCGCAGGTTGCCAACTTCGTTCTTCAGAGTCATGATGACAGAGTTGTCCTCCTGGTTACGAATAGGAGTACTCTCAACTACTCGTTGTTGTTGTTCCAACCGAGTGGCTTGCTGGCTAACTTCAGCGCTCAGCTTTTGGATCAATTCGTCCTTCTCGGCGACCTTTGCAAGGGCTTCCTCTAACCGCTGCTCTACGTCGACTTTGGCCTGAAGGATATCATCTCGCTGAGAGAGCTGTGCTTCGGCATTTTGCAGCGATGACTGCAGTGCCTTGGTACGTACGTCGGCCTCTTCGTGACGATTGATCCATTGCTGCAATTGTTGCTCCAATTCCTCCAGCTTTCGTTGCAAGTCCCTCTTCTCCTCAGTACGCTTCTGGAGATTCTGCGTAAGTTCAACAACTTTGTTTTCGAGCTTGTAGGATATCTCCTTGAACTTGGAAACTGAACGCGCTTCGGCTTTCAATGCCTTTAGTTCCTTACGTGCAAGACGCCGTCGGATGCAAGACTGCAAGTAGACAACATGCTTGACGTCGGACCGGAAGGACCGCCGAGAAAACCTGGATAGTGTTTGTGAGAAAAATGATGAAAATAAAAAATAATGGAATAACATACACGCCACGAATGAGACTTTGAAGGAGTACAGCAGCATTTCCGCTTCTTGCTTCTCTGTATCGTTGGCGGGCCTGGACACCCCGGACACCTTGAAAAATAAGTTAGACATCGTACTTGGGAAAGTACTTGAAAAGCTTACGGCTCTGGAACAGTGTGATTCCTCGTTTGATATCCAGAAAATGGGATCTCTGGATAAACCTCCGGATGGCTGTTTGCAGGCGCTTAGCAGCAACTTCACGTCGGATGTGCTCCACAAGCCTCCTTGCCCTGATACCTCGCCACCACGTTTGTATCCTAATTGTAGCGTGTCGGAGCTGTTGGTACTTCTTAACCGCCATACGTCTCCTCATGTTCTTTTGAACTACTGTGACCATAGCGTTCAGCCTATCCGTCCGCATAGACTCCAAAGCTGCAAGCATTCCTGCACGGAAGAAGATCTTTGTTAGGCCGTTCTGATGCTTATCAGGGTCTTCAAGGGTCTTTTCAAGAATGGCTGCACATAGCTGTCGAAGATCCAGAGACTGTATGAGAGGCTGCCATATTGATGATGGAACGAGCATGTAGTACCTGACCAATGTATAACGATTAGTACTGATATTTCCATGGTAAAGAAAAACAGCAGCCTACCGCTCCGCAAACTCTTCGTAAGTCCATCGAGTTGGATATCCAGCACAACTGATGCGAATTGTTTCTAATACACCACAGGCTCGAAGTTGACCTAACACCTGTTGTGGTTGGAACTCCCATGGTTTCTTCAGTTCGTTCGGTTTTATACACCGAATGTAATGCACATTTGTGACGCTAAGCGTATCCATGAGTGTGATCAAAGAGGCTTTAAAGATGGAGCCTTGGGTTGGCTTCTTGACGGCGCCTGCGCCTCGTTTCAGACCACCCGTACTTGCTGTGGAAGCGGAGGGTGCCGGACCCATCCAAGACTGTCGACCAGGATCTGGGATGACCGAAGAACGACGAGAGCCACCACTTGCTGAATCCGAAAATGCAGGTGATGCGGGATGGGGACTATCAGAAGGTTTCGTTGAAAGCAAAGCTGCGTCAAGGACCTCCTTCAGGAAAGGATTCCGTGTAGCTGCAAGAAGAGTCATGTGCTCGTCCGGCACAGTATCTCTGTTCTTTTCCAAGAAACCTTCCGCTTCGTATGTGACGTCAAGGGCGTAGTGAGCAATGGTGAAGGCGGTGTTACCGAACCTAGGCTTCTTGAAGACTTTCTTATATTCCTGTTTGCCCAATTGATTGTGAAGCTTTTGCAGGAAAGAGGCGTCGCTACCAGAGGGTAGACGAGACTCTTCATCAAGAAGTGCCAACACGCCCAATTTACCCTCGATAACGTCGATACACGGTTGATTGTCTGAGAAATCGATGAAGGTCCAATTTATTTCCTCCTTCATGTACTCTTCTTGTTCTAGTTTGAAGACGTGAGAATTGAACTGTTGCTAATTAGTACTTGAAGGTCGGATGACTGGCAGAAAAGACCTGACCTCCTGCTGCAGCTTCTCGTTGGCATAGTTGATACTAAATTGTTCGAAGGAATTCTGTAAGGAAAAAATAGCAGCGTGTCACGACTTTTATGATGAATGTTGCGTTACCTTTTGGAAATGCTCGAAACCGTAAATATCCAGTACCCCAATGAACATCTCGGCCCGATCGGCCGCGTCCCCGTTTTCGCCTGCCAAACTTTCATTGACAATGGCCACCAACCACTCGAACATGCAAGCATAGACGAATTTGGCGACACTGTCCCGAACAACAGTTGCCTGGGCAGCATTCAATGAGGAGACAATCTTCTCGCTACGCGTAGTAATCTGCTTCTTGACGGTCCATTTCTTAAAGTCTGCAAGACTGACGCCAAGAAATCGCGTTGCGAGAAGTAATGAAGAATCGTTTTCTTCAATCATGGCATCCGTTCGTAGCTGCGTGATCTTGACATTGCCTAGGTGGAGTAGAGCAGAGAGAAGTCTGAACACGGCCCATTGCTTTTCAACACTGATTCCGACGGTGGATAAAGCCTGCTGGGTGGACCTGAACTCTTCAGCATCATCCACCCCTGCTATGGGAGTTGACAAAGGACCGCCTTGTTTGAGGTAATGGAACTTTGAAACGTCGGTATCCAACCCAAGATCCTTCCGTTCCTTCAAAGGTGCACCTGCACATAGCTGATAAAAGATGTGATAATTGCGCTCTGTGAGGGGTTGGAAAACGATTCGGGAGCGTTCAAGAAGGTATGTTCGAATGCGCGCGCCGACGATTTCTTGTTTACCATCGAACAGAATCTGCAGGGTCATGAGAGAAGATAATGCCGACAAAGAAGTATAACTGACCTGGATATATTTGCCAAAGCGTGAAGAATTATCATTTCGTGTCGTCTTCGCGTTTCCAAATGCCTCAAGGATGGGGTTTGTCGCCAATATTTGCCGTTCTATTTCACTGGAGTCGTCTAGAGAGAACTTTGTCTTGCCTTTAGCGGTAGAGTCAGGGGGGTTGACCGAAGCCAGATAGCGCATGATAAATTTTGCCTGGACAAGATTGAGCAGAGGGGAGCATTGAATGAGAAGAAACATACAGATTCTGTTTTTCCGGCACCACTGCGAGAAGGTCAGCCGAACGCGAAAAAAGGTAGAGCATGACCACACACCTCTCTCCTGAAACGATGATAGTCTGGCCCATGCCCTCCTTCCTCATGGCAGTATACGCGTCTTCTGCAATGGCAAACAGATGTGGTTCCAGGTCGCCTCGTCGCCTGCCGCTATATGCTTGTATGATCTCGGGGCCATAAAGAGTGACACGCTGAAATGGGTTGACGGCAATAAGCACAATGCCGCTGTACGTGTAGATACTGTGTTGAGCATAACGATTCCGTATTGTATGAAGGACTGTTTCCGAAGGTTACTTTTAAAGAGAAGACGAAGAAGAAAATTGGGTACCGGAGGGTTCGTTGAGATGAGAGAGAGTAGCCAAATCGTCCGCCGTTTCCAGCAGCGGAGGATTCCTTAAGGGAGGTAAGGTATTGGCGCCATCCTTGATATCCTTGATAGTGGTATTCACGGTAATTTCCTGGATAAAAATTGTGTGAATGAATGTAGCCGAATGAGGTGAATGGCGAGCACCTTGCCGCGTTCGTCAACGAAAAGGATCTTGACCGAGTCGTCGGCAGCCTTTGTGAGTGAAAGGACTTCAGCAGAGATCCAAGCATGGTCCTTGTCCTCGAACCAGACCCTGGTTCCCTTGCTGTATATGTTCTCCGCCATTGGAGAAAAGGGGACGGAAGCAAGAATTGGATTTGTTGGGAGGATCAGCTGTGTGCGTGTGTGTGGCTGTTGCCTGTTACAACACCCATCATCTCAATATCGACAACACATGATGTTGATGTTCTAACGAAAAGAAAGGACGAGATTTGGCCCTAGGCTGGATATATGCGCTGCGGTCCAGCATCTGTTTCCATCTTATTTGCTATGTACCAACATTCTTCTTTAATGACAAAGACCAGGATATTCGCCAGCATATATCATGCCTTGGAATCATCCTGATACCATTCACATCTTTAAATGGTTCAAACGATACATGAAACTAGTGTAAATTCGAGCTTGCCTTCAAAGGTATCAATTTTCTGATGTCACGCGACGACATGGAAAGACTGGGCCAATTACCATGTTTTTCAGGCATACAGTTTCATCAGAAGCATGACGCTGTGATTGCAACGAACTTTTCCGGTTGCTATATATTTGCGTCTCAGTCCTTCACAGGCCCGACGCCTTTAGTTGCGCTCCCAGTGATTCGATCAACTGTCTGACTCTACTAGATCTATTCATCTAGTTTCACATTCTCCGATGTACCCTTCTCCGAAATTTCTGACTTATGCATCTATCAATTATATAAAAATCCGCAGGTAAAGGCAAACGTTGTCCACACTCCAATAGTCCCTTCTCTACGCCACCGACGTAAAAACTCAAGCAGTAATCCACCTCGACTGCAGTAGATCCCGTACGCCCGTCCTTTCCTCAGGTATCAACCAGATCATCCCATCCAAAAACTCGTATATCTCATCCACATCCACCCCGGAAAGGCGTCGATACAAAATATCCCTCAGCGTGACAGGATAATATGTCGTCTCCAGACGGAGAGTACCTGAAGGGACCCATATGCCAAACAGCCCACGAGAAGAATATAATGCCTACCATCTGCACTGAACCACCGTTCCGAGTCTCTTCCCCTTCTTACAAGATCCTCCGGAAACCCAAGGAACCCATCGAGAGACAACATCTCAATCATTTGGATAAGGTGCGACTCATCCGTGGACAGACCGCACTCTACAGTTTGAAACGAAGGATCAAAGAGCGGCTCACCCATTAGAAGTTCATATATAATGCATCCTAGGCTCCATACATCCGCAGTGGCTTCTAGGGGAATGCCCAAAATGACCTCTGGTGGACGCATACCGAGGGGTGTAGAAGGTATAGGTGATACACCACCTTCATGAACTTCAGTTAACCATGAGAGGCAAAAGAACAAAATACCTTACCTCCTGTTTCATACTCGACTAGTCGAAATACTGTCGGCATCGCTGCATCAAAGGGGAGTTGGGTAGTCCTCCCAGTAGCAGACGACGCTAAATCAGAGTCTTCCCTGTCACCACAATACCAGGACGCTAGCCAGTCCAAGTCCTGTGTTGATAGAAGGATTTTTTCCCAGTCTAGGTCTATTACCCCTAGTCATATATACCGCTCTAGTATCAACAAATGAACTCACCGCCGTATACAATGCCTTGGTCCTCGCACGCAGCCAAGGCCTCGAGCACGTCCCTCGCAATGTGCTTCACCAGCTCTGCTGGTAGCGGACCCCTCCCAAAATGGGTGTATAGCTCAGCGAGTGTGATGTATCTCTCATCCGTGTGAGGGATGTGGTAAGAGGACAACGAACGATGACGAAAAAATCTCAAGTAACGTCGTAGCGTCCACAGGATTCTCTTGAAGAGAGCGAACATTCTTGCACGGGTGTCGTAGATGAATCATAAGCGACAGATTATATGGGTAAAGTATCGAAGCCGCAGTGAACATCGCGTTCTCTTACTCAACAAAGCGGTGCAGCTCCGAGCAGTCAGTAGATGGGGACCCGGCATCTTCGTTTGACATTAAGGTTGATAACCCGGAAGTTAAAGCATCGGACACTGCGATCACGTTCCTAAAGTCGTTTCAAGAATCGAGCCTAAATGAGCGACTTGGAGAAAAGATTAAGTGCCATTCTGCGAATCGAGATAGACTCTTGAGCGAGTCGCCACAGTTGGTAACATGTGCGCAGTCTCTCCAAGACTAAAACGAGAATCGCTTTGATCATGCAGTAATTCCTTTCAGTTACTTTCCAAGCAGGGAGCATCCAGACTCGACAATAAGGATCAGCTGCAGCCCAAAAGTAGTATAGCTGATAGAAAAAGCAAAAAAGGGCTAGCGAAAAAGATTGAGAGATATCGCTGAACATCAAAAGACCGCCAGACCGAGGCCAGACATCCACAGACGAGGGCTGGAGCACCGACTATGATGGGAGAACTCCGACACGACCGGCCAAGGCCGCTTGTCCCGGCCCCGTGCTTTTTGGAATTTGAAAAGTTCCCAAGGTTCAAACACCTCAGACGCCCAGTAATTCCTTCCAATAAGAGATGTACGATTAGAGGACTGTCCCTGAGATGATAGTGTAGCTATAAGTATATACATTGAGGTAGAATAAATACCATCGTCATCTACACATCGTCATTTTAAAGACTTCTACACCGTACCGCGTTAGCATTTAATAAAGTTTCCCACAATCATACTGGGAATCCCCCACTTGTCTCTCCGAATCGTGAACGAAAAACAACAATTCACAAGCCCCTCCTCACTCCGTCCGATCTCTTCTTCCTTCTTCATTCCATTTCCGATCCCGTTTGACGATCCATTCGTGGCCGCGGAATTGGAATTGGGATTAGGAGCGGTGCTGTTAAGATTGGGCTTGTAACGTAGCACGCAAGACGTCAGGACAGCCTTTTGGGACGAGTCGAAGGCAACGTGACCATATTTCTAAGAGAACAGTGAGAACGGACGTATTAAACAAAAAGATCGTGTGAGCCTCACCTCCCAATAATTTACAGCGCTCTCCTCTGCCATTAATTCGTATATGCATAATCGGCCCTACGAACAAATTAAACCGCATCAGTCATGTTTAAATTGGACGGATAATAATGGGGTGGCAAGTGCATCAGTCAGGGGGGACGGTCATGGGGCAGAAAAATGAGGAGACTAGACTCACATCGCGCATCATGTATCCATCTACTCCGACGAGCTCACTGAATTCACGATTGCCCTTGTATATCTCGCCAGTTCGGCGCCATAAACAAGCAGGGACACCCATGGCGGAAAATACTCGGTCATAGTCGAGGAGTAGACGTTCGAAAGCTTCCTCAATAAACACGAGGTCGATATCACGGAGAGACTGAGCTACGGCCTGTGGGGAAAGTAGGTTTTTGAAATGACTGAATTAACGCTGACGGCATGGAGAAGGACGAGACTCACGCGGAACTTGGGACGTAACACTGAAAGAGGTTGTAATATTTGCTGCTTGCTTTCTTGTGATACACTGGCCGCTGAAGGTTTAATACCAGTTGCAGAAAAATATGTATTTGTATGCGCACTTTCTGTCCATCCATCTTGACAGCCTCGCGTAACCCTTCACGTAGTTGTACGGCTTGAGTAGTCCCGCTTCGTATTTGCTCCTAATGACCCTATTCAATCGTTCGTCGCGTGAACCCGACTCCTGGTCCGCTGCGGTGAGCAAGAAACGCTCGGTCTTTGTTGCCGCCGGCAAGACATCTGCCGTCGTTGTCGATGATCCATCAGATGTGTTCGACATGGCTGGTTGTGACTGTGGTTGGGGGAATGGTGATTGGAGTATGGGTGCGGCAGGTGGGGGTGTAAAAAAGGAGCTCTCGTCGAGTGTCTCCAGAAAGTCCCTGGATACGGGGTGAGACAGAAAAACGGCAAAAAGAGAGCAGCGTACGTGAGGACAGAAAACTCGTTACCTAGCGTCTCTGGGCGGTACATGAATGGCGTTGACTGGCCCACTGACATGGGCCAGGCAGGATTTGGTGGAGCTGGAGCTGGAGCTTGGTACACTGTTGCTGCACACGGTGAGCGTGTTGGAGAGCCAAAAGCAAAGAGATACGCACTCGTCGCCAGGTTGTTCGTCGTGGGTGGCGTCGCCGCCTTGTCGCCAGTTTTCGAGCGTCGTTCATCGTGACAGAGGTGGCCAATCTCGCGCTTTATACTGTAAGGACTCTAGTCATATAAGCCATGACACCAAGCAGCCGCTCACCATCGCTGACACGGGCGGCCTTCGTCGCACGTCATATGGCTTCGTCTGCAGTAGAGACAGGCATGGTTCACTTTTCGCCTTTTGGCGACTTTTTTCTTCTTGCCTCCAGCAACATCAGGGTCGTCGTCGGCAGCGTCTGGAGGGTCTGGCAGCGTCGTCGAGAGGTCGGGCGACGTCTGAGGCTGAGAGGCGTAGGTAAAGGTGGACATGGCGGTTCGATCAGGTTCGGTGGAGAGATGGGGAATGGGATGATGCTGGCGTCCTGCTTGATCGGACCCCAGAGACCGAAATGTGGATCTTATCTCCGCTATTGACATTTGTTTGGCCGTCTTTATCTTAATCGGGTCCATCCGGCGTCCCCTCGGCATCCAACGGCGTCTCTGCGATTTGACAAATGCATCTTCCACATTTCAGCTTCATTGCTGGCCCGCTGGTCGTTTGCCAATTTTATTGCAGGCAGCTGACCGTATCGCCGCCTCATGCTCTGGCAAATATCGTATTGCTAGCCATATGGTTGTCGCAACCGCGGTGCCATCGGGAGAACTCGGCACCATTGCCAATTTCCGTGGTCCAATCATCTCCTACGAAGCAGTCAGTTCTGTGTTTCAGTTTGGTCCAATGGAAACTGCACCGAGCTTTGTCATAAGTAATGCCTCTTTACCATTCAGTACTTGTATGTAACGCCTTTTAGCAAACGCGTTATTACGATACCGTTGCGAAGTAACGTTTTAAGAAAAGGACAAACCGGAACTTAGAAGGTTCCTGCTCCCCTTGCGCCAGCCGCATGGGACAATCGTGCCTTTTGTATCTCAAACATCGTACAGGTCACGCCAGGGCTGAATACAATGACAAGCTTTTAGATGCCTTATCCCCGGATCCAGCCCACTCCAAGATAGGCTGCGGAAATGCACGGTACTCCCATGTGCATCAAGCAATCGACGTACAATCGAATGCTAGGAAGCGTCAAAGGATTTCAATGACGGACAATTGATGCTCCGCATTGACCAAGTTCGAGATATGCCGGTACAGAACCTCTGATGATTGAAGGAGATAGGTGACGGATGGAAGAATTATGATGTCAAAGACGGCTCGGGGAATATAGTCGATCCACCGTTAACAAGTTGCCGAGTTTCTTCCAGGTAAGCTTAAGTGTACATATGCAAGGCAAACGTAATTTGGGCGTTGCGAGTCTGGCACATTTCTGGAATCCTTGGAATTGACCGCCGCATCCGGTTATTAGGCCTGCCTTATTTCTTCAAGCGACGGCGACGCAAGACATTCATTGCCCTGCCGGACGATAAGTAGCGGAGAAAAAACCTACCGAAACGTATGTCACGAGAAGCCGCCATCGTGGCGAACCTTCGACGACATTGTCAACGAGAGCGTGGCGAGCCCGGATATCGCATGATTTTGAGGTCAGGAAGATTGATTTCGACCGGTGAGAGTGACATCTTTGGAACGTTTGAGATATGTGGGGATGAAGTCTGACGATCAAATTCTAGTGTTGGCGTTCAAAGTATGATTCGCCTCCAGAAGGGACTTCCACATCAAAGCCAAGGCGAAAAGCAGTCCTGTCATAACGTGCACCCTGTGCAACGGTTCTCAAATACGAATAGCTCAACATAGATGAGGGCGTAATGATGTCCTCAATAATTCTGGCGCACAATTCAATCCAAAGAATTCGGAAAGATACAGTTTCAAAACGCACGTTGCTCAGGCTTCTCAGCCGTGAATGTCCGTCATTCGCTCGTAATAATTCTTCTCGCCTGCGCGTTTGCTCAGCCTTGATTTACGTGAAAACAAGAAGAACCGATGCTCACCAGTGCAGAATGTAAACGTCCACTTGTATGTGGCTGATGTGGTTGAGGAGAAAGGAGAGATGCTCTTTTGTATCTCGGAATGGAAGGGAGATAAGAGGGTCGACGAGCAGGCTAGACGTGGCCCGTAGACGTTCTGAGCGAGCTGGACCGCCAGTGTATGTACTTCGGCAGCTGCCATCATTGACTGCAGACGAATAAGAACAATCTATCAGCAAAGTAATTCCATTGGATGGTAGGCTCAAGTAAGAAGCAAGGGAGCATCGGTGGCTGATGCAAGATATGCATTTGATGGAAATGGAGAATGACGGATCAATCACGCTGACTATAGCTCAGAGTATAGCGGTGACTCTCGGTTCCTTTCTCAGGATAAAACATGGAAATAAGTGCGGACATTTGCGTAGGGTTGACGGAGACGTCATACTGCGGACAGCAAGGACAAGATGGCGCGAAAGAGGGTCCATCGCCACAACTTCCAGCAAGTGCGGGATCAAGTCTAGATAATACGAGGCAGCACCTACGAGTTAGAGCAGAGTTGACAAGCCTCCTTAGCTGTTAGAGCGTCCCGCATTAGATTCAGAGCGTGACGAAAACAATAAAATAAGACCTACTGCACGCTTTTTTGACGGGTACACAATCGTTGGGCATTCGTACATGAAAGTACTAAAGGAAGGAGAGAAATAGGTTCTTGCGGCAAGCTCCGTCGGAACGCGTCGGATGAGAATCGTGTGCCGACGAGGTGCGCATCAATCGGCGCCCATGCCTAATCAAGGCACGCTACTTATCCGCCTGGCTGGCAACGCGTATCTGAACTACGTTCAGGGTCCAATATTCGTTCTATCCTCCTTATAGTACATTTGAAGAGACTGTACAGATATTTCTGTATCCCAGAGATATCCGAGCCCGCTGGAGCCTGGTTATATCAAAGGACCTCCAAATGGTTACCGACACCCCGGAAGAAAATAATCTGGTCACCATGCTTTGCAATAATCAAGGCATAATCCTCCGTCAATAACGGTGCAGCTGTAATCCAGGCTCGGGCGTCGGTTTAGGCTGCTTGGCTCTACAGAATACTCTTGGATGTATAAAACCCCCCTTACTGGTACCATGACCCTAACCTGCAACTATGGTAGCGCAATGGACTCAGTCATTCGTCGTTTGGGCTTCAATTTTTCTCAAAGTCCATGCAACCGCTCAGGCCAACCTTTCGACGCTCCCTGAAACCCTACAGATGATTTCTGCCAATATCTGGCCAGATATCCAGGATATCGGCCACGCCATATACGCAAACCCAGAGACGGCGCTGGAAGAGTATTTTGCGGCCAGTACGATCACAGGCTACTTTGAAGACAACCTTTGCAAGTACCAATCCAACCGCCCCATCTGAGTACTCACCGACTTTGTCTTTGTAGCACTTTTCAATGTCACTAAGCAAGCATATGGCTTCGAAACGTCGCTGAAACTCACATTTGAAAATATTCCAGCTGGATACGGGGCCGATGTCCCCACCTTAGCATTTCTGCTGGAGTACGACGCTCTTCCAGGGATAAAGCACGCATGCGGGCATAACCTCATTGCTACCGTCGGGCTTGCCGCAGCTACCATGACTCGCGAGGCTTTACTATATGTACGTGTCGCATTCTGATCTGAGTATTATCGTTGATAATAAATCCAACGTAGTATGGCATTCCTGCACGAATCGTCGTTTACGGCTGCTTCGATGAGGAAGACACAGCCGGCAAGCGTCTTCTGCTCAACGCCGGGGCGTTCGACGACGAGAATGCCGTCTTTATGATGGCACATCCGGCGTCTACTATCAGCGCTGTCCAGCCCATGCAAGCTCGGATAGATGCCAAGGTTGAGCTCAGTGGTAGCACCCACTTTGAGTACGTGTTGTCCCTGCTTTATAATCCACGTTAGGGCCTAACTTTCCTGACAGAGTAGTCGGGAAAACTTACCAGGAGCTGGTCATCATTCGCGACTTGACAAGCAGCCTTCCTGGTCATTCTACGACGGCTTCTAGCATCGAAGAAATCGGCATGTACGCTATAAATGTCATCCAGACAGAGATCGAGCTTGGGGTTACCAATGCTACTTTAGAGGAAATTGACAATGTCGTTGCCGCTGTTAGGGACGGCGACGACGCATTTGTCAACCAAACGTATACCCTCGCTGAGGATGAGAACGGTGTAGCGATCACGTTCACAGGTCCTGGGTATGTACTTTACTCAGACTCACTGGCATCAACCGTGTTGATTTTTTCCCTAGAGGACACGCTTCAGAGGCAACCGAAGGTCCTCTAACGCTGTCTGTTGAAACATACCGCGCGCTCGAAGCATCGAACTCAACCCATTCATACTACCTCCCGTCTAACACTTCCCATACCCAGCTCGGAATAACCGTCTCCATCCGTACTCGATACACCATCGAGCTCGAGGAAGTCAGATCATATATTGACGATGCTATAAAGGGTCTTCCCGACTCTGTCACATATGACATCCCATATCCGGCGCTGGAAGTCCACGAAGAACTGGGGCAATATTTCATAGACCTGATGGCAACGCCAGAATTCGACGATAACTCTTGGGCGTTCTCTAGCGTCGCTCCGGCTGCAACGGATGCGTCCTTCGTTCAAGATCCCACGATCAACGAAACTTCGTACGAACTGCTCAGCACCAGCCGCGTCGTTTTCCATCCTAATTATGCAATTTGTGACACGTCGACCGTTGCCAACTGTCCCTATAACCACGAGCCCGAGTACAACGATATTGCCGACTCGGATTATGCGTATGTGCAGACTGAGAAGGTGGCGAGGGCGTTAGCCCATACTGCAGTACAGCTCGCCAATGACAAGGATTTTTTCGATTCGGTAAGATCGATTATTGAGTAAGGAATGTCTTATTCACGTTTTCTATATTTTCTATCTTTGTGACCGTTTTGACGTACTTCAATTTGGATAAATCCCAATGTTCGGAAGCCTTTCCTCCGTAAGGGTCGTACAAAGAGCATAACCGCCTGTGCCGACTGTATAGATTTTTCGGCATCTGATGAAACATCGGCGAACTTGGGTGACAAAAATATGCTCCAAGTTTCAAAGCGACTTGAACAGTAGTAGTACAAGGTTCCTTGAAGGCGCTAGGTGTTTGCCATCACCACATCACCGTCCCCAGGTCCAGAAATTAGTGCCTCCACTCCCGCCCGAATCTGCGCAATCTTACTCCTCATCACCATTATAGCCTCGGGCAGAATTCTTTCAGGAACGTAAGGTCCTTCTGATTCGACATTAACTAATACCACCGTGAGCAAGGGCCATCCATAACTGTGGGACAGAGACTCACATAGGAACCAATCTCGCACTCGGCTCAGTTCTACGTAACCCTCGAATTCAGGGTGTCGAAGGACCTCCCTGCTGACTGTGTCGTTTCGTACACCTTCGGGATCAACAGAAACCTCCTTTGAAACAGGGTCGACGCGAATAACGCCTGGCGCGAAACACCGTTGGAATTTTTCAGCCAGTTGTGGCGGTATGGGTTTTAGAATCTTGATATGGGGTAATATCCGATATGAAGCGGTCGCTGGATTGGGTATTAACGTAAGATAAAGTAAGGGGGCAAAGGACACTAACCGACAGGACTGAATTTCGCGTGGTCTTTACCGACACCTTTGACAGCGTGTAAATCCATCTCAATTTCCTGCCCTGGTCGTAGTTTCGCTAGGACGATATCAAGATTTGTGGGTGCAGGTGGATTGTCGGCAAACATTAGGGCTTGCTCCCCTGCAGGTTCCCATATTAAGTGTCGCGAAAGAAATTCGTGATTGATATATAAATCCTCAGGTTCTGTAGCATCTTTGGGAGCATCGGGATTTCGTTCGCATTTTATGTTTACTTTGAAAACGATGGTATTGCGGTCGGTAGCATCGCCTGCAGAGAGACGAGGTTCTATGGGAGCAGGATCGACATTGAGAGGAACGAGACCAAGACGATGGGCAAGAACCTCGTCCTGAATGATGGACGTGTTGTTGAAGACGTATACGTGCTCAATGGCCACTGTCGGAACCTACTACAGTCAGCATTGAATGCACGGCTAGAGTATCAGAACGAACCTCTGCCATCATTATCCTCCGAAATGCATTTGCAATGGAGGCATCGACGCCGACGATGTCGAAATCAATGGAGCGATTGGAAAGTCGCTTGACTTGCACTTTTAAGTTCTGTCCTTCGTGGCTCTCTCACTATCCTTCCTGAAATACGTTCGAGTAGAGGACGTACTGCTTTGAATTTACTGAGACTCCAGGCATGGTCTTCGTTGGGGTAGTGACCAGGATAGTCAGTACTAGATATGTTGGTGACACGCTCTGCCTTGACTCCAACGAGCCGCCGTGCATCGAATTCAGGTTGGCTCATCGTGACTGTCGATAAGAAGAAAAAAATTGAAGCTGGTTTTCCCACGAGCTGTTGTCGATGAACCGGTATCCGGCCCGTCTTCCGTATGTCTTCACTCACACCATCTCCATCCTCGACACCGTCTGCGACGTCACGTAAGGCATCCACTGCCACTCAGTCGCGCAACCCGGTGTCCTTGCGTCTATACAAGGTCCTTGGCACCAACTTTGACGATGAAGCGACCAAGGAGGCGCTACGCACGCTCTCTGACTTGTACGCAACTCCATCCAGTGGAAAGGGAAAAGCAGTCCAAAGAGACGACGAGGAGCTCGACGGTGACGATGAAGAGAGCAGATTATGCCCTAAGGATGCTGTAGAGCTTCCCTTAGGTGAGTCGGCTGCTCGCGCGCGACGAAACCTCAGGAAGGACATGGAGCAGAAGCTGGCTGAAGGGAGTCGCCATTTTCTAACAGCCTTTGGAGAGGTCGACCAGGTAAATAAATATCTATATTGTAGCTAAGCCTTGCTCATTGCTCATCACAGAAACTTGGCGAACTCCAAAAACACGTCGACGCCATGCATGCCAGCCTCGACGACGCTGAAAGGCAGCTGCAATTGACAAGCGAGGCCAGTTCGTCTCTGCTTGAAAAGGCCGGAAATCTCAGGCAAGAGAGGTGAGTCGTTATCTAAAGTACATCCGAGCATATTACCTATATGCGACAGGCAGGAAGTAGAAGTCAAGAAGTCTGTCGTCGAATTGTTTCTCGCACGCTTTGCTCTCTGCGAGGAGGAAATAGAAGCAATGACTTCACGCGGCGTTCCGCTGGGTCAGCGATTCTTTGACGCCATGGATAGAACAGAGAAAATCCGAGATGACTGCCGTGTACTCATGGCAGGCGAAGAAGGGCCCACCAAAGCTGGGTAAGGTCGCTATCCTGAACCCTGTATTCTCCTTGACGCGTCAAATAGCCTGGAAATCATGTCCTCAACTTTATCTTACCTGGAACAAGGCTACGAAAAGATAGCTCGCTGGTGTTCATACGAGTTCCGACAAATAGGCCGCGATGCACATTTGGAAGTAACACCAACTATGCGAGAAGCCGTGCGACGACTACGTCAAAGACAAGAATTGCTCACGTACGTCTATCTTCAGTGTTAGTACTTGTGTTCCTGTGCATTGATAGTAAAGATCAGTGAGGCTCTTTCTGAGTTATCACAAACGCGACAGGCCTCGCTTCTTTCTTCGTTTTTAACGGCTCTTACAAGGGGTGGTCCATCAGGTCTGCCCCGCCCCATTGAACTACATGCACATGACCCCATGCGTTATATTGGTGATATGCTTGCTTGGGTGCACCAAGCCATAGCAGCCGAGAGGGAATTCTTTGAAAGTCTCTTTGGGTTAAAGGCTGATGGGCGAATGGTTGGCAGCGTGCGGCAGTTTGACGAGAAAAGCGAAGAGGAAGATTGGATTCGTGAGCTTATGGATCTGGCCGTCGGGAAACTTTGTGTGCCTTTGAAAGTAAGTCCTTATTTGTTTTTTCCTTTAGCCTTACCTGACGCTTTCCCTTTGAGGTTCGCGTGCAACAGACAGTTAGATCACAAGAAAGCAGCATAGTGTCGTACAAGATTGCGAACCTGCTGCAATTCTACTTGGTCACGATGCGTCGTACAATTGGTACAGACGCTATTTTGTCAAAGACACTGCAGGAGTGGGTGACTATATCTCTTCTCTGCTATTGATACCAACATCATTCTAGAATCACTGAAGTTGCATACAAAGTTTTCTTTGACGCCGTAGAAGCGTTAGGCAGATCCCTTCTCCGAGTACCTCTTGTGAGCTGTGTGGTCTACTCGGTACAACTCGATCCTAACTTTCTCTTCAGGATAACAGCGATCTCTCCTTAACACCCCCAATACCCATAATTGAACACGCACAGGTTCTCCGAGAAATCATGAATGTCTACCAGTCATCTCTATTAGGAAACGAAGACGAAGAAAAACTTATTTCAGGATTTGAGCACGTATTGGACATCATGGTGGATCCTGCCATTGAGATGTGCACTAATTCTGCTGAAGCTAAAGCCAGAGCAGTATCAAGATGGGATATGTCGGTCTTTGTTCTGAATTGCTTAAGCTATTTATTGGTCAGTCCTTTGAACCTGGTGCTTTGACCTCCGTACTCAATACTGCTATCAGAGTGTCCTCGAACCATTTGCATTCACCGTAAATAAGCAGAAAGCACTTCAAACAGTAATGAACGAGCGTGTAGCCCTCCTTACGGACGAGCACGTAAGTTGCCGTGTCCATGCGTCTTCGCCTTTGATGCTAACAAGAAAACAGTATCGTGATATCATGGTCGACGCTGGGCTGTACGACATAATAACCGTTTGCGATAAATGGGATCGCAGTGTACGTTTTTTCTCTTGTCCCTTACGCGATGTGTACTCATATACCGTGTTGCAGGAACCATTATCATATATTCCGACTATCCGCCCACAAGAATTGAAAACGGCTCTCCAAAGATTCTCCGTTTGGCTCTCGGGCCTCGAAGTTGTCCAGTCGCAACGATTGTCCCACTTAATTGTGCAGCGCCTGCATACTACAATTCATCAGGCAGCCCTAGAAAGAATGGCACAAGGGTACAAGGTTATCTGCGATGAAGTGAGGAAACCGGAAAATAAATACGAGGCCGCTTCAACGCTTCTAGGCAGCGAAAGGCCGTTCGGTCAGGTTCACTTGTTGTGGCAAATCTTTGGTTTGGAAGAGAAGGACTAGTTTAGGATATCTATATACGTTTTCATCTTGGTCCTATAAGAATGCTGCTGCCATCCTCGACCTGAGCGGCGAGAGGTTCACTGTTGACAAGGATATGGCCATCCCGTGTATCCGACAGTTGAAGAGGCTTCGCTATAGAATAAGTACGTGTATATTCCTGTTGGGGAATATTGACCGACTGACAGAAGTAGATATTTTCATTTGAGTAGCTAGCAAATCTAGCGCTTTCCCGGTCACGATAGACTGAAAAGAGAACGAATGAGCAATCAGATAATATTCATATATGATCCTACCTTTCGAAGCCAGAATATCTTTTCTTGGTCACTGTCATATACTTGCAGCTTTATGTGCAGACGGTCGCCAATGGGTACGGACGTCGGCTTATCCTTGGGATCCGCTGGAATAGCTCTGTGTCTCATTTTCATAAGTTCTACCTTCTGATATTGAGCGAGTTTGACGGGGTCAGTGGGAATTTTGGGAGTGCGGCGCGACGAAGCTTTGGACGTCGCGGGAAAATGCTTGGCTATCAGAGCCTCAGCAGCAGCATTGCGGGAGGTAGACTCAGAGCTGGATGCAGAGGAACACGAGTGAGCCTCAGGATACCGGTGGCTGGGGAGATTTTCAGCGCACAGGCAAGGAAGCAGGGACCCAGACTTTACTCAGCACAGAATGACTGGCTGCACCGAGGACATGCAGCAGATCCTTGCCCAGAAAATGCGTCGAGACTAGGCTTGGAGCAATCAGGTACTGCGCATCGCTGAAATTTGGGTAGAGTGCTATCATTGACGGCGCGTGTAGTAGCGGCGAGACGACAGCCGTGAGCATCAGGAATAATGTGCTCCTTGCAGAAGAAAAGGTCGCAACGACACTTGATAGGAAGAAAATCGACTTGGCTGCAGGATGACAGCGAGCATTGCCTGCCAATGTCGAGCAGGTCGCCGTCCATGATCAAGAGGCACAGCGGGCCGGACTGCGGCATTCGTCTTCTACCTTCACCGCCACCATGAACATCATCGCACGTCGTCCTTTCTTCCTTTGTCGTCGTTCTGGCTGACGATGGAGCCGTACAGGAAACGCTCTTCGGTCGGACTGTCACGCCTGCTGAACGATTGCGACAGCATCAACGCGCCCTCGCCAAGGCACAGCGTGAGCTCGACCGGGAACGCACCAAGCTCGAACAAAGTGAGAAGAAATTGATAATGGACATAAAGAAGAGCGCAAAGGCCGGCCAAATGGTAGATTTCACGAACTCTAAGCTTGCCAGGCAATAATGCTACTCTGCAGAATGCCTGCAAAGTAATGGCCAAGGACCTCGTCAGGACCCGACGGTACACTCACAAGTTCTATCAAATGCGCACTCAGCTCCAGGCCGTCAGCCTGCGAATACAAACACTGCGAAGTAACGAACAGATGGCGAGCGCGATGAGGGGTGCTACTCGTGTATGCAGACATCCATTGCTTTGCCTCAGCTATTCCATTCATACTCAATGATTAGGCGATGGCTTCCATGAACCGTGGCCTCAATCTACCAGCTATTCAGCGAATCATGAATGAGTTCGAGAAGGAGAGCTCAATGATGGACATGAAAGAGGAAATGATGTCCGACGCAGTCGACGACGTGATGGACGACGAGGCTGAAGATGAAGAGGAGGAAGGCGACAAGATTCTGAAAGAAGTATTAGACGAGATCGGTGTCAATCTGTCGCAGCAGGTATGTTGCCTTTGTATTTCTCTCCTTCCTTTGACTCATGATATTCCAAGCTCACTGATGCTCCCACCGGTATCGCTGTATCAACTCCCGTGGCAAGTAAGCAGCCTGTAGCTCTGGGAGAATCCAGCGTAGCGCCAACACGAGGCAACGACAACAGCAATACTGGTGGCGATACCTCTGGCGGTGGAGCAGTATCTGATGAGGATGCCTTACAAGCACGGCTGGATGCTTTGCGACGGGGCTAGACGTAGACTGCTGATCTCATTTTGTATATTATCGGCCTACCCATACGGGTGTATACTATGGCAGTACGGTGCCTATACCTTCAGAGAAACAATGGCACGAGCTTCCTGCGCAGTCAGTTTCCAAGATATGCCAGATCCATTGTAGAATTCGTCAACGTCTTCCTCCTGTAGCACTGTTTAGAAAACTAGCACCATAGAAACGTAGGTCGCGTACATTATCCAGGTTCAACAAAGTAGACATTTGTTGTAAACGAACAAATTTCTCTCTGGCGTCGCCAAACGCGGTCTGCGATGACAGATATGTGGTGATGGACCGCAGGTCCCTGTCAAACCGAATAGCACCCAACTGTAGCCGTTCAGTTACAAATCCTTGTCACTACAAGAGAGTCTAACCTCGGTAAATTTGAATCCCATCATGAACTTCTCCCATGGCTTCAACAGGACATCGAGAGCCAGGCCAAAGAACATGCGATAATTACGGTCAGTAAACGCATCCTGTCCAGCAGGTCATCCAGAGCAAGACCAAGGTGCGAAAAAAACAAAGTCTACCTTGTATCCATCCATACATGTCTCCCATGTCTTGATGAAGCGCTTTCGGACCACATTTTGATACTCTGCAGCGGCATAAGTGTCATCATCTAGAACATAGGAGATATCCTTGTAGATTTCTGGTACAAGATTGCGCAACTTTGGTCTCAAGAGCTGGTTGAAGAGCTGCTCTAATCCCACCTAAACTTAAAGCGTAAGAGGTAGTCTGACGCACGAAGACACTGGACTAACTCTTAGAGTTGCCCCAATCTTAGCAGACGAGGAAGAGAATGAAGTGATCTGATCCTTCACTAACGGTTGCTGCTGTTCGCTAAAATGTTGACCAATCGTTGGGCCCGTCACTAAATCCCGTGTAAGGCGCTCAAGGTGCGAGGCAGATATATCCAAGTCGTTCAAGAGCGTCTGAAAAACCGTTGGAGACTGAATTTGCGAAGCCGAAGAAAAACGTACAATAAATGCTAAACGGTTCTCTTTCTCTACCTTCTCGCCCCTGCTTTGACCAGAGGTCCCGGCAGCACGATAGACATCATCGAGCTTTTTCTTGATTACTCCCGAGTAATCTCGCTCCATGACCTCGCGCAACTGCTGCAGTGTCCGTTCTACAGCTGTATACGATCCCGTCGAAATCAAACGCAGTAACACGATTTTGAGAATGTAAAAAACGTCATCAGGGGTAGTTGTTACGACTGGTGACTGAGTAAGATCTGGATTGGATAGCCTATGAGCCTACGCTATCAGAGTTCATCATAAGCAGCATGTATAACAAGACAAACTCTCACTTTGTCCATGATGGTACGTGTATACCACATTTCCATTGGAATATAGTACGTAGTTAACAGGTCCTCAAATAGATGATGTGATTTGGTCGAATCCAACGAAAGCGTCGGGGTCTCCACTGGCGCCTCTGTGGATTCAGAGCTAGAATCTTCCTTGGAACCGTATGAGGGAAAAATGAACAAAATGGTCGAATAACGTACAGTCATGCTTTCGCAAAGGAATTTTCGGAACAGATTCCATCGGCCTGCCATGCTTGCTGCTTCAACTAGCACTTTATCGATTTCTCGCGGATCGATCCCCTCCTCGTCGGGGGACATTGCAGAAGTTTGCCGACGTATGGTGGTGTTGAACATGGGTATTGGAGGGTTATTTGAAGTATCCGATAACTATAAGTACTTCAGCTGGGGGACAATGAAATGGCTTGAATACTTGCCTTGTGCTTCATAGACCTTTCTTCTTCCCATCCTTCAATCAAACCCTTAACAACGCGGTCGCACTCGTCTAATAGCCGCTCTACGACGCTGATCATCTTACCCACTCCGTAGTATTTCTCCACAACGGGCTGATGCTGGTCAACAATCATTGCAATGCTCTCAAAGAGCGCCGTCAAAGCAGTCGTGTAATACAGAGGCGAAGATGCTGCAAAGGTATGAGCACGCATGAACAAATGAAACTGTATCCAACCCACTTTTCGCAGATGCAGGTGCTCGGACTCGTACGAGATCGACAATAAACAATGCATATGCCTGTAAACCCTCCCTTTCCCATCCGATGGCAGGAAAGAGTTTGAAGAAGCGACTGGTAGCAGCTGAATCCCTCGAGCTTGAAGCTCGTTCAAAGTTTTCCTGAAAGACCGACAAAAGTTGCTCGCGCACGGCCTGTAGCGTCTGGACAGGCGGCAGATGGTTGTCCGACGTAGGCTATTCCTATTCTCTCAACTATACTCTTACTAGCAGACACGGAACGTACCACTACATGCTCTGCGAATGGCCCCGATATTACATCCAGCGGCAGCGCCATTACTCGAGCACAGTGCCTCGACGCCGACTCCCAGTCATGGCTCTCAATAGATGCCTGCAGCTCTGCCAGTGACGACTGTAATAGATTTAATTGCAGTTCGCAATATACGATAAGAAAAGGCGCACCTTGAGCTCAATAACCTGACCAACACGGTCTCCAGCTTCACGAATCCTGCGCATTTCTTCGTCAAGCGACCGGACACGTCCCCCGACGCGCTCCGCTGTTTGGGCAGTGGTCACAACCTTTTCCGACAAAAGCAGTGCATCTTCGTTGAGATCGTTGAGTTGAGGTACTACGGAACGCAGCCGCGACAGCGAGGACACAATGGGTGCCCGGTCAGACAGCAGGTCAGTGAGCGAATTGGAGAGCTCTGCCTCCTCTGACTGGATTGAAGAAAGTGCAGAGAGAATGTCAGGAAGATTTGTGAGCAGACGAGGGTCGGGACGGGCATCGACGGTGCCATCGTTGTGGGAGTTCGTGTCCAAGGACATAATTGCTGAATTTCCTTTTTTGTTTACTAAGTACATACTGCATCACATCACAATCCATTCCATACAAATCCTTTCTTCACTGTCACCACCGCTTCCAAGTCCAACTGCTCACTGCTGGACCCGACGTGCAGGCCGTATTTTCCAACGGTAACGCGCCAGGAATTAACAGAAGGATCCCAGAAGGAAAACGTGCACTTGTCGAGAGGAATAAGGACCGTCTGTGTTGAATCTGGCGGTATATCCCGGGCCTTCGCAAAACCTCGTAATTGCAACGGAGGCTGCGTCATACCAATGTCTGGATATGACACATAAAGCTGTACAACCTGCGAACCCGTTTTGTTTCCTGTGTTTTTCACGTCAACAGAAACCTGAACGTCCACTTCAGTGACTGCAGTTAGCGACAAATTCGACAGTGAAAATTCTGTGTAGGAGAGTCCAAAGCTAAATCCAGGTAAGAGTATTACGCAGATACAAAGTAAAAAGCACATACCCAAATGGAAACTGCGCCTGTACACCAACGGCCTGGTAGTGCTTGTATCCGACAAACAAGTCTTCCCGGTAATAGATCTTTCCATATTCACTGTGCCGGTTCAAGAACGATGGAACATCTTCCAAACGAACAGGTAACGTGAGGGGTAATCGGCCACTCGGATTCACTTTCCCGAAAATAATGTCGGCAATAGCATTTCCTGCTTCATTCCCTGAGTACCACGACTGAAGCAATGCTCCTACCTTGTCAGCCCAGGGCATAGACACCGCCGATCCCTGTGTTACGTCAAGGAAAACCAAGCCACTTGGATACAAATAACACATACCGCTTGGATACAGACAACGACATTGGGATTTACCTCCGCAATACAGGTGATAACTTCATCTTGTCTTCCGGGAAGCTGCAGGGTAGGTCGGTCAAATCCTTCACTTTCCCATTCGGGTGTTAGACCGGCAAAGAAGACAACAGCGTCGACTTTGGAAGCGAGCGATACAGCAGAATCAATCGCTTTGTCAGGGTCAATCCTTTCACAACCGCCAAGACGCTGTTAGAAGACCACGCTTCAGCGTCGGATTGAGATCTTGGATTTTGGACTTACAACGCCACGCATCAACGCTGGTTGAGAGCTTCTCATGTCGTCCTCTTTATCGCTGTTTTTCGGCGGAGATGTGTTGATATACTCCACCAGAACGTCGACACCAACACCGGCTTTGAAATCTAACGTTGCCTTCTCTTCAATAGTCCCTTGGCTACCAAAAAATTTCATGGGTACCGTGCACATTTGAATGTCGTACAACTCACCCATAGAAGAAATCTCCGGGTGTCTGTTTTGTCCAGTTATCGATCGCCAATTTACCATTCACCCAGAGCTTCGCGCGCCCTAGTCTGACACGTTAGCATCTTGATATAATCTATAAGACGGCACGCCTTACCTGCGACTGTCAAACCAAGGTCATAAGGACCTGTCTTGTCCATAGTCAACTTTCCAGTCAACTTGATCATCCAAGTCGACGAGAGCCCAGCAGGAAGAAAATCGTTCAGTTTCACGCGTGTATCACATAGGATAAAGTCGGCAACAGGCTCCGTAAGCTTGCCTTGCTCGTCGTAATTATAAAATGTGCAAAGCCAGCCCGATTCGCCGGTTGGCGTTCTCAAGTTGGCTTCCAATGTAGGCAGATATTTGTGAGCTACGTAACATTTTTTATGTCAATACTTGGGAAGCGTAACATAAACAATACTGACCGTAACAACCGACTTCGTAGTCGATGACCAGATTCTTCGGGGCACCTTCTGTAATGCCAGCATATGGAGTCACCACATAGGTAGCTTTCAACTGAGCTGACCCGCCTCCTGAGATGACACTTCCTTTGGCGTTAGGCCCCATAATGGCCAGGCTTTTCACCTTTTCTGCAGCAAGGGGAAGGATATTATCCCTGTTCTTGAGAAGAACGATGCCATCGGCAGCAAGCTTCCGACAGAATACTCGGGCTTCAGGTGAGTCTCGACTGCGTTCCTTGCCGTCACCATAGACGACATCAGGGTTCCTACGAGCCTGGTGCTGCACAAAACGAAGAAGGGTAGCGACGCGCTCGTCTATTACAGAAGGCAGCAGTTTCTGTGACGTCAGGCAGTGTGAAACCAACAGTTGAGTCCTCCATCGGGGTGGGCCGGGCATTTCAAGATCCAACCCAGCATTGATTGCTTCGTCGACGCCGTAAGTGCCAAACCTATTGAAGGAGTCAGTTATCTAATTCTGCGCTTATAAAAAAAAACTTACCAGTCACTGATAACGATTCCATCAAAGCCCCATTCATTTCGGAGAATTCCCTGTAAGAGTTGACGATTTTCAGAACAATGTAACCCTCCGACACGACCGTATCTAGAAGCGTATTAACTAAAAGTAGCACAAGAACAGAAAACATCATATTCAACGAAGTCATATAGGCCCATGGTTGAGCATTTTTCTGCGCCAGCATGAACCTGAAACGGGGGAGTCAGAAGGAAGGAAGAGTGCTCGAGAGAATTAACTGATGCTGACGGATACAGATAGATTTCTCGCAAGGCTCTGTCTGACATAATTGAATCCGCGGCAGTTCTCTCATGCTCCTGGTCGTTGCCAACAAAATGCTTGATGGCTAATGACCTCTATAGGCGCGGCTTTCAGAGTGTTAGAAAACACGTACTTGCGGCAACTCCTTCCTCTTGCAGTCCATTGACGTAGGCGGAAGCCATCATGCCTTACAATAGCAATCAGACAATACCCAGTCACAATAGTTCTTTAATTACCAGATAGATGTGGATCCTCGGAAAAGGATTCGAAAGCTCTCCCGCCCAGTGGTGAGCGCTGAATATTGCAGGTTGGGGCTAGTAACAGAACGGATGACTTAATTTTAGCTTCCTGTGCTAGAAAGTTCCCAGCCTTGTGTATTAACTCGGTATCAAAGGTGGCGGCAAGAGAAGTTGAGCACTACGCTTCGTAAGAACGTAACCTGTACCTCAAGAACGTTAGACTCACCGGAATGCATTGCGCAGGCGTAGCGACGAAATGAGACGATCCTCGAACGCCCTATCGAACGTGTTCAGTACCCTAGCACTTACCTGACCAGATTGCCTACGTTAGGTCCGTCGCTCATGCGAACAGAAGGAATCTTCAAGCGCTCAATGGCAGTGGTGTTCCACCAATTGGGGGCACTGAGTAGCGCTATTTTTTCATCGATTCTGAGCTTCCGTACGAGGTCAGCGATGTCCGCATCAAGGAAAGGGTGTGTCATGGCAAGAATGGGGCAGTATAGGCGAATATCGCGCTAGCTTATATAGTCCCAGGCCGGTCGGAGTTATCATGGGAAAACTTGACGTAGTGTACAAGCACATGCAGGTCCCTGAGGAAGCGGAGAATCATCCAGCAAGTAAAAGTGATAGATCTTGGAATGCAATATCCGATATTTTCACGTAGCAGACCATTAATAGGACCAGGAGGTAGCTGCTACTTTTTTTGCTCGTGATGGTATAAGGATAGCGTCTTGGAAATAACTTTGAGAAAAGACATCGTGTGCCACCTCCGGACCGATACATCCGACCAAACTCACCTCTTGCTTCCATGTACTCTGACTTTTCTGACGTCCTCACCAACGTCGCCCGGCCAAAGACAGCGGCGACCATCACACTGCGAATAATAAAATCCTTCGAGTACCGCACAGAAAAGAGCCTCGTCCTGCACAATGTCAATCTCGAGACGACGACTATAGGCCAACTGAAGGACTTGGCTCGTGAAGGTACCCATTCTCTTTTCCAGTATCCTGTTTCGACGACACCGGATTAGCTGTCAAGACACAACCAGGATGGAAGCCATACCGAAATGTCGTTTTGGATACGCTCAAGCTGTATACGCAAGCTCACAGTGCAAAGGTGCATCGGCCCCCATGCTCAATAACTCGATCTGATAAACGTTCAGACCACAAATCTGATAATAAATCTCGACCACGATGAATGGCTATTCGACGATGATTCCAAGGTATTAGCCGATGTTGGGTTCGGTGAGCATCTGGCTGCAAGTAAAGATCTATTCTAATATGTGTTTTAGAAAACGAAACAGAAGTCAGTTTCTTCAGTCGGGAGTTGTACGAGAAATTCAAGCAAAATCCTCAGGTACACAACAACCAATCTCTTACCATACTAATGCAAACGTTTCTTACAGACAAGTTGGGATTGTTGAAAGCTATTGTCAATTATTATGGTAGTGTGTAGCAGTGTACGACGGATTCTAAAATGCTTAACATAATAACACGACGAAGAGCCAGGATAGCAATGAAGGAAACTACCAGAATTATTGCTGGGCACACTGTACGCGAGGCTCTTCTCCGTCTTCATCCATTGGTTCATCGTGCATTCCGCCGTGCGAATCGGGTTCCTCTAAATGAACCTCGTCGAGGATAACGTGCTTGTCGAAGGTCTCGATAGGTTTGCGCGGTGGTAATGCCTTCTCCAGTAGAGGAATGACAGAAGGATCGATGGATTCCGGGAACTTAACGTTGAGCTTCACGTACAAGTCACCAGGTTCATGGTGCCGTTGTGAAGGCATACCCTGTCCGTGGATGACTCTGAGGTCACCTGCAAAGAAAGAATATCAGCGATATCCGATATCACGAAAAAAAGTGGAACTCACCGTGATTGACGATTTCACCAGGATCTATCTTGACCACCAGCGCCCGGTCATCTAGATGCCTAATAGCAAACTGACCACCAGCAAGGGCCGTCAAGAGGTCGACTTCAACTTCCGTGATGAGATCGTTATCCTGGCGCTTAAAGCGCTCGTGGGGCTTCTCTTCGATGACGATAACGACGTCCCCAGCCTCCGCTGTAGGAGACTGGTCGCTCTCGCCTCTAAACTGGATCGTCTGGCCACCCTTCATACCCTTGTCGATATGCACCTCGAGGAACTTTTTCTCCGGCACCACCTTCTTGCCCTTGCACTGCCCACACCTGTCTTTCGCATTGATTATCTCCCCGGTACCCGAACATTCATCACAGGGTGACTGTATTTGCTGGATCATCGGACCCATCTGTCGCATGGTAATCTTGACACCACGCCCACTGCACGAGTAACAACTCCTGACAGCGCCTTCCTTACCGCCCTTTCCTTTACACTTTGAGCATATAACGTTCCGTGTCAGTGCGAGTTTGGTGGTTTTGCCCTTGTAGAGGTCTTCTAGAGTGACGTGGACGCGATGGACGAGATCTTTCGTTTTGCGAGGACCATTTCGAGATGAACCGCCTCCACCAAAGAATCCTCCTCCGCCACCGAAACCGCCTCCTCCACCGAAGAGCTGGCTGAAAAGATCCTGGGGGTACGGTCAGGACGTTGACGGGCGGTGTAACATGACCGCCACTCACCTGGGGATCCATCCCTCCTCCTGCTTCTGATAACCCGGCCTCACCTCTTGCATCGTATACAGCACGTTTGTCGGGGTCGGAAAGTATCTCGTAGCTGTTGCAGATGCTGTTTGACAGGCTGAAGGAACAAATAAGCCATGCTACTCACGCATGCGTAACTTCCTTGAATTTATCTGGATCTCCACCCTTGTCAGGATGATACCGCAGTGCTCTAGAGGAAGAAAAGTGTTAAAAACTGTGCTAGAAAGCGACGATAAGCACCTACTTTTTGCGGTAGGCTTTTTTGAGATCGGCCTCTGAGGCTGTAGGAGGTACTTCGAGTAGATCGTAAAATTTGCTGTAGAAAAGGAATGAGAAATGTGTTCGCGTCGCAGGGAGGTGAAGATACGGACGTTTCTCTAACCATGATGACGGTGAGGAGGAAAGAAGGAGAAGGGAAGAAAAAGCGTTAAAGGAGAATGGCAGAATGTAGAGGGTACTTAAGTCACGCGTTACATATTGCCGCTGTTACAAAGGCAGTCCTTCCACAACCATCTACGCGTTTCTACAACTTTACAAATCTGGAAAATCTACACAGCTCTTCTTTGCTCCCTTTTCGAGTAATTCTAATAATTATTCTCGACTAACATCTGGATATACATCAAAGCGACGCTGCTTTGTTACAGGTATCCAGGCCCGAGTCTCTTCAAACACTTTGGGGTCTAACGAGGAATAAATTTTCAGAAAAGAATTGAGGAAAAAATGGATAGGAAGTACCGATTTCTGTATAGGTAATTTCTTCGTCGTGTCCAGCTTCAGAGAGTACTTTGCCCCTACAGCAAGAGAGTAAACCCTGTACATTCAACGAGCACATACACTTACATCGGGTCAACCACCATCGAATGTCCCCACTGTCAAAGCTTAGCCAATATCGGTAAAATATTACAGGTAGAACATACTGCATGATATTTAGACGTCAAGTCTCGCGCGGGGCTGCACATAGACATGTAGATTTGATTATCCAGGGCGCTACGTCGAGCGATAAACGAGCTGGTGGACGAAATAACACTGATCCTTACCGTCCTCGTTGAAGCAACTCCCAATGAAGAGGTCCAGTCGTCAGATTAAATGCCCCAGGATAAATGAGCATATGGCAGCCTGGCGGTAGACGGTCAGCGTTGCAGGGTATGGACCAGCCGAGAAATTGAACCATTTCGTGCAGCTATCATGGCCATCTCTGGAAACCGTACATCGTAACAGATACCCAAGCCAATACGTGCAAAATCTAGCCCGTGTCAGCAGAATCCTTCTCTACTTTCAAAGACGCACCTGTGTCGAAGAAATTCAGAGTCGCACCCCCCGTCAAGGTCTCGCTTTCCTAGAGAACACACTTGAGCATCTATTATGCCTCTTCAGCGAGAATCCATACCTTGAACGTAATCTTTCCAGGAATGTCGATATCGAACAGATGGACCTTTCGATGCATGGCAATCAGGTCGCCTTGGGGGTTGTACACTGTACATGTATTGTAGAGCTTGTCGCTGGTCGGTTCGCGTTCTGGTATCGAGCCTGCCCCAGCATTAGTCAGTAATCCAAGTCTAGAGAGCCCTGAGCAGCCTACCTCCAACGAGCCATACTCCAGCCTCTTTCGCAACCGACGAGAGCATCTTCACAGACTCGCTCTTGCTCTGGGCGATATCGTACGGCTTGCCGGGAACGTACTCGATGTCTTCAGCGTAGTTCGGGAAATGGACGTGTCCATAAGGCGAATTGAAGCATTCCTATTCTTCCGGTGAGTGTCGGTAGACGACGCAAGGCAAGAATCGTACTGGCAGAACGACGACCTGGGGCTTGGCAGGGTTCGTGGCAGCCTTGAGTATCGATTCTCTTGCATGCTTCAGATTGTCAGCCTTGCTGGCGGTGGTACCTCCCAGCTGGATCAAGGCAAGAGTAAAGGACTTGAAAACAGGAGCCTTGCTGATCAACGACATGGTGGAAATAGATATGGTAGTGCCTGTCTTATCTCCATTATTGCAGGAAGAATATACAAGACCAGCTCCACGTAAATGAAAGCAATAAATATTATAGCTAACAGATAACACATTCATCCTTGGCCTGTTGTCGCGTAGGACGTGCAACATTTAATCGTTTACTTCCCATTCGTTTCATCTCAGTTAATCGATTCATCGCCCGTTTGTTGCCTTGAGCTGCAAAAAAAATCAGAAAATATTCGACTAATAATGCAAACAGAGGACAAACCTGCTGCTCGCATATACCATCGTTTTGCAAACTCTATATCCTGCTTGATGCCAATGCCCACTTCAGCATAGTACCCAACAGCATACTCGGCTTTGCTCAGACCCTTGTTCGCTGCCCGTCGGGCCCAGAGATAAGCTTCTGAATCGCTCTGCTTCAGAACTCCCTCGCTTCCTGTCAGGTACCAGCCACTCAGCGCCAGCTCAGCCTCTGCATCTCCCTTCTCCGCAGCTTTGGTATACCATGCTATCGACCGCCGAGGATCAACAGGGCATGTCAATGAGCCATACTCGTAGCACTGGCCCAGCTTATACTGTGACTGCGTGTAACCGAGATGCGCCGCTTGGGTAAACAGGCTCTTGGCATAAACAGGATCATGAGGGACGACCTGTCCGCTTTTCATTTCATACAAGAGCCCTAATTCATGGAGAGCGTGGGGATTCTCTTCATCTGCTTGTTCGGCTGCCCGTCGTAACCATCCAACCGCTTCTCGGGCGTTACGCTGCTGACCGAGAGAACCGTGAAGAAGGATCATTCCCAACTTGTACATCGCTGCCGTATCTCCCATCGATGCGGCTTTGCGGTAGAAGTTAGCCGCACGCTCAGGTTCCTTCCGGGTACCTGCACCAATCTCGTTACAAACAGCAACCCGATAGCAGGCAGATGCGTGATTTTGTTTAGCAGCTTGAAGGTAGAGGTGGTAGGCTCGCTCATGGTCTACCGGCAGACCAAGTGCACCTGTACCATGACAATTCGCCATATAGAACTGAGCTTCGCTATACGGCTCACCCTGCGTAGCCAGGCGGCGCATAACTTTGAGGGCCTCAGTTATGAGTAGCTCACTATACTTCTTAGCAGCTCGCTGATCTTTGCCACTGGCACGGATTTTCCGAGCGGCATCGATGAGGTATTTGGCATACAAGAAGTGAGCCTCGGGATCAGGATCTCCCTTTATGCGCTGTCGATACTGTTCAATATATTCCTTTGTGTAAGGAGGAGCGCTGAGATCGATCGCTTTGGACTTCTTTGAAGAGAGAGATACAGAAGCGGAAGTTTCGCCGCGCTGCAGCGATGGCCGAGGCTCGAAATCCGAGGTGTTATCGTCTAGCGATAGTGACAATGAGGGAGCGGGATGGGGACTGACGTCGTATCCGTTGGGAGGCAGACCGTTGAGAGGGACAGCGTTCGGGGGCAAGACATTGGGCGGCAATCCGTTCGGAGGTCTGGGATCGTAACCATTCATGGGAGGCCTGATGTCGTAACCATTGGGTGGTGGTAAATGTGGGGCAGAGATACTGGTGGGCAGCGTGTCGTTATTGTAAGAACTGAAACTCGACGAGTAGCCTTGCGCTGAAGGTGGTACAGGAGTGGAAGGAGAAGGATTGTGAGGGCCAGGAGGTGGACCCATGCCCAGGACATTGGACGCTGCAGCATACAAAGGATTATATGTTTGTTGGGGGTATCGCTGCATGTGCATGGAATCATAACTGCCCTGGTCGTCGTAACCATACCCACCGGTAGCCTGGTGGTCGAAACGTTCAAATCCACCATTGTTGAGAGATACAGGGCTGTCTGTCGTTGTCGTATAAACGGATACATTGTCGGCTTGGTCAGAATAGTACTGACGGGGTGGAAGATTGTAATTTGGAGCCGGTGGTAGGCTATTGACATGTCTGGGCGGCTGGTGCTGGTATGTCCGGGGTTGCGGTGCAGACTGGTACGAGCGCATCGACATGGACGATTTTGAGCGAGCAATAGGGTCGCTGGAAGGCGCCGAATGGGTAGGAGCCCGCTGGTCGTTGATGCTCATCGACGAGAAGCCTTCGAGCGCGACCGACGGGTCAAATGTTGGCAACTGCGGCACCGCGTCGTACTGTGGTGGACCGTCTGGCGGTACGGTCGGCATTGAATGGTTGCTGTGGTACATGAGGGCTGGGAGAAACGTTGCTATCAGTGTCGCACGACATGGGCTGGGAATATCGTCTTACGTCTGGCACCGTCGACGTCGGATTCAGCGATGGGCGGCATGGCGCTCGCGTCTTGGTAGTAAACAGAATTTGAGCGTGACGACGACGGCGACGACGAGGACATGATGGTCCAAATGATATCAGTTTAGGAGGGTGCACGTGCACTTAATGATAAGAAAAGGATACGAATAATTTTATTATATGTAAAGGCACAGATTATATTCTGCTACTGAAATTTCCACTCTTCAATCGTTCGTTCAATCACCTCTCGCTCCAATCCATCTCGTGTTCTTCGAACTTTTATCAGCACCTGCCGCCGTCGCTTCGTAGCAGCCGTGTCTTCTCCCTCGGCTTCTGTCCATTTTTCAACGGGCTCATCATCCAACGGTCGTCGGCACTTGACTTCCCTATTCTCACCATCTTCCGTCTTCTCATCGATGCTGTCCCATTTCCTAGGTTTGAAATTTTTGAAACGTACAGGACCGGGATACCCTTCTGAGGGGTCCTCCGACATCGTCCGTTTTCGCTTTGTACCTGCCCCATTTTTGGTACGGATATTCGGCACTTTTCCACTGTCCTCGTCATCGCTGGTAACACCAGTCGCTATACGCACTCTCCACCGCAGCTCTCGAGCAACGGCTGCAGGGTCTTTGACGCGATCATGTGGTATTTGCTCCTTGACCTCTTTCTTGGCCGCCTCATCGCCCCCCTCTAATATGCGCACTTGAGAAACAAGAAAATCAGCCAAGTAGGCCACCGAAGTTGCGACACGAGGCGGGAGTGAGCTGCCTGGAGACGCTTTGAGATCTCGTAAATATTTGTCTCCAACATACCAGCAGAGTCTGCCACCGTCGTTAACCTTCCAAGACGGATAGTACAAACAGACACTCGCTTACTTTGAAAACATCGGGAATCGGAACTTTCGGGGGACTGATGTAGCAATCTCAATGTCTCGCACTCTGAGCTCTACTTGGGATGAATAGTCTGTTCAAACCAGCCAAATTAGACTCACGGGTAGCAACGTTATATGAATGTAGAAAGTTTCCGCCAAACACAAGAGTGTCTTCCGGAGTGTGCTAAAGACCTGTGAGCTCAAAGTTTCGGTACAATTAAGATACACTTACAACTGCATGTATCCACCCGGTTGGTATTATCATGGTATTTCCAGCTGTTAATGAAACTTTGACGACTTCGTCCACCATATCACCAAGCCACGTCTGACTTTGAATCTCAGTCCCAGACCACTTTTCATACGCGGCGAGGTTGGCAGGCGTTGGTCGTATAAAGTAGAAGACCTAAGGCCAGGTATGAGTTTGATTCAAAACCAACACGGTGTAGCGTACTTTAGATCCACTTAGTATATGATAATATACGGAAGATCCAGCGAAATCGATATGCCAGTCCTGTATTGAATGTCAACGAAGGCACCACTTTAAGGTCAAAGTTTGCTCACCGTCCACGCTTGAGCAACGCCCATTAAACAGTATAGCTGGACCTTAGGATAGGTGTGGCCCTTTCCTTTCCTTGTACTTGGCCAAAAGTTGTCCACCCAATCTAGCTCTCTCACCAGCCTGGGAGGAAGTATTCTGTCGGCTAGTGGTGTCCCAGAAACCTCCAGAGAAATCACATTTCTGATTTTATCCCTTTTGCTAGACTCTAGTGCCCAATAATCTGCCCACTTTCCAAGATTCCACCCGGGAGAGGCGGATTGTGTTGCAACATCTGCAATTTCCACATCAACAACATAACGCAGTGAAAGGAAAGTGTACTGTTTACCTATGACTGCAAAATACAAGTTAGATGGAAGTACAGACGGCGACGGGGAAGGGCGACATACCCTCCACAGGAACATCATCACCGACGTCTTCCACAACGTCCTCGACGGTAAAGTCACTAGGCGGCATTTTCATACCCAGTCCATCTGGTTTCTCGATGATAATGGGCTCCAACATTGCATTTTCATCATCCTGCAGCCATTCCAGTCCAACATCTGCACCTTTTATCCTCTTGAATTGGTCTGGCTTGATGTGCTTGCCGTCCATCATCCTCACCCATCTCGTTGGGTCCATTTCCATCCCACTGGAATTCAGCCCAGCGTAATCTCTCGGCGCTCGCTTCCGGTCAGACTTGCGTGCTGGGGCTTTCTGCGTAATGGCGCGCTTGGGATCTGCTTGCAGGCATGGTGTACAATACCTAAGTGAATATTAATGCAGTCCGTAACTGGAACGGCAAGGCGCACCATTTGTCTATAGAGGCGGAATCCTCGCCATTTCCTGCACAACCCCAGTGATACCAAACTTTGCAAGCATCGCAGCGAATCCAGTTGTTCTTGTCAAGGCTGGTATCTCCGGAGACGTCCTTGGGACAAGAAGGACATGTTTCTTCGGTCGCCGCCTCGGATTTTCCCTTATGCTCCTCTTTTACTTCGGGTTCTTGTACAGAATTCGACGGGGACGCAGGCGTTTCTTCCACTACCTCTGATTTCTTTCCGCGGGTTGAACGGCGTCGAGCTTGGGCCATGGTGCACGACGGCGGGATCCAAGATTACCTCTGACAAGGGATACCAAAATAAGCAATTATTTCACATCACATGCATTTCGTGTTCTGATAATTGAAACTCCACAGACTACCCCTATGGCACTTCCAGTTGAACTAATTTTTCTCAGTCTCTCCGAGCTCTGGGCCATCCAATCTTCTACCGATGAATACACCCAAACTTTTACAAATTGCTCTCTTGTATCTAAACAATGGTCAGCTATCATGAAGGAGGTGAATTCCACCCACACCGTCATTCCCTTCTCCTATAACGCAGGTCAACTGTATACCATCCGGTCCATGTCTTCAATGCCAAATCCACTGCTCTGTTGTACCATAACGCTCAGGGTGGATTATGTGATTATGCCCCGGCTCCTTCCGAAAGGACGATGCGGTCCCTCCGTTATGGCTAACAAAGGGATAGAGTTTATTCTTCGGAAATTATTCCATGGCACTAACGCACCCCGGAATGCTACCCATATCTACGTAGACTATCTCGATGATCCCCAGGTCCACATCCCCCTCTTCTGGATTCCTCGGCAGATCACAAAGCTGACTATCATATACCACTACAGACGCTGGGTACCCTTCGATTTCCGATATGAGAATCCCATTGATTGTCAATGTAATCGTCCAATGGTTGACCGAGGAGTCAGACAGCTCTGTATTATGGGATCCACGTCCGTAATAGCGCAGCGACTTATAACCCCTCTGAGGGAATGGAAATGTCTGGCTTCGCTCATTACAACTGTCCGAGTTAGTCCAGCTGCCATTCCGGCCCCTTTGCGAGACTCCTTGACGAGGACGAGCTATAATTATAGAAAACAATATGTAGGGGCGAAATTTGCCCTTCAAGCTATGTTTGGCGAACGGTTGGACTGGTTGTCTTTCCAGATCAACAAGCAATATCCCGGTATGTCGCCATATGTCTTTGCAATCCCAACTAATCATTCGATTCCTAGCTAGCTCACATTACTACAAGAATTATATTCCCATGCTGGAACAGGTCATTCCACTGGGCTCTGTGGGATACACTGATCCTTTAACCAAGAAATTTGTTGTATTGTTCAAGGCCATCGATCCTACGTCTTCGAATGAACTACGAATTCATTCCATTCCGTCTATCCTCAAGATGGGTGGGACAAAAGTGATCGAGGACCCCGAGTATTCTCTAGCGTGGGATCATGAGTATCAAAAGTTCGACATCCTGCGCAAACTCGGAGCTTGGACCAAGGGGAGATCGTTCGTGTTCCTTTACGTTTAATATCTGCGTGTTGCTGATGGAAGTAGAGAATACAGTGTCCCTCTGGGACTTGACGTGGACAAGACGCTCTGTCTCAGTCTTGGGCGTGCTTTGTGTCAAGAACTTGAAGGCGACCAGTTCAAGAAGTGGTTGATTGAATACCGACAAATCATTATGGACGTGTTTGGAGACAGCCATCCCTATATCCGAAAGCGCCTGGACCTTGGTAAGGGGATCTTCATGCTACGAGTTATGAGTTTTTTTGCTAACTGAGATGCTGTTATCTTTCAGTGACAACCACGGTAGACTCTTCGCAATATGTTTGGTTTGCCCATCTTGGACACAAGCTATGTGTGGATTCCCGGAGCGACGAGAGGGTAAATGCACCACTCATTCTCCTGATTGTGTCGCTACTAACCACTCTTACAGTTCTACTTTCAACTTGACCCTCAGGCATTGCGTAATCCTGGAAGACCATGGGGGGAGGTCAAAGTACCTCAGCGTTATACGCATCCCACCCCCGTTTTAGTTTCATGGGAGCACATCTCCGTCGTGGGTCAGTCGCCAATGACTGTTAAGATTCGTTGCCATTCGTGGCCATTCTGTCAGTCAGTTCCAGGATGAACATTTTCCGAGAGAAAGTCAATCTGTGACCGATAACCATGAACGAAAACGGTTCCCCCCTCTTTCGTTATCAAATCCCCGGCTGTATTTAATTGCTTAATTGCTTCAGTTATTTTGCTCTGCTTGACGTGAAATGCTTTCCAGTTCCCTTAGCGTCCTTCCTGTCCCAATGACATCTTCGCTAGGGACAAGTCTCTTCGGTGTAAGGACGAAAATCTGACGCGAGAAACAGCAGCCGGTGCCCCGATCGAACATATAGATGAAATTTGTGCTGCACTTGCTTCCTCATAAGCATTTCGGCATACTCAAATAGTATTTCAACTGCCTAAGAGGAAACACTGCAGCCTCGGACTTTATCTTATGCTTTCCTTTCACCGGTATTTCATGCACAGAACTCGAGGGTGACGCAGCGGTTTCTTCTATCACATCTGATTTCTTTCCACGAATTGAACAGCGTCGAGCTTGGTCATAGTAAACGCAACGTCGTAATAAGCAACACTCTCATTACATACATTTCGTGTTCTGATAATTGCAAATTTGTTTGTGCGATGCCGCTTGCTACTTATACATGGTTTTAAGTACTAAAATAATGTCTATCTTCTCGTACATTTAGTTTCTTCTCATCTTTTACAGCTACTTCTCGCTAAGCGCGACGACACCGGGAAGTGCCTATGTGAGATGGTCCGGATTAGTGTCCACTTGGAGGTGATATGAGAAGTGTACAAACCTTGCCCTCTAACAATTCGAGACTGGCACCTCCACCAGTGCTGACATGACTCAGCTTGTCCTCAGCGTGGTGCTGGGCGACAACTGTTGCTGTGTCTCCACCACCAACGATGACGACGGCCCCATTCTTAGCAGCCTCGATGTTGGCATCGAGAAGTGCAGTAGATCCAGCCGCGAAAGCAGGGAACTCGAACACACCTGGGGGTCTAAAGATAGAGAATAAATTTAGTAGTCTGGATGCATCATCACCCCAAAGATTGCGCACCCATTCCATAGAATGGTCTTGGCCTCGAGCACGGCCTCACGGAACAGTTCGCGACTTTTGGGCCCGGCATCAAGACCCATCCAGCCATCAGGTATGCCTTCCGTCTCAGTAGCGGTGCCGGTCTGTGGGGACAGATTAGATCGTTCCTTGGAAATGAATCAGACCGGAGTACCTTTGCATCCTTATCGAATTTATCAGCGGTGATATAGTCGACAGGGAATACAATCTTAACACCCTTTTGCTTCGCCTTCTCGACGAGACCAGCAACCTTCTCAGATCCAGCTGCGTCGAAGAGGGAGTTTCCAATCTAGGACTGCAATGAACCAGTTGAACTGCATCTTTGTAATATAACAAACCGAGATGTTTTCAAGAGTTTTCTTGAAAGTGAAGGCCATACCACCACAGATGATCAAAGAGTTGACCTGAAATAATGATGAGGATATAACGTTCGTCACATAACACGATCGAGTTAACCTTGTCCAGCATGTTGTCAATCAATTGGATCTTGTCTGACACCTTGGCACCACCTAGGATAGCAAGGAAAGGCCTCTCGGGGTGCTCAAGGGCCTTGGCAAAGTACTCGAGTTCCTTCTTGACGAGGAAGCCAGACGCACGTTGAGGTAGTTGAACACCGACCATACTGGAGTGTGCACGGTGAGCAGTACCGAAGGCATCGTTGACGTAGATATCACCGAGCTTGGTGAGGCTCGCGCGGAATTCAGCAACCTTGGCGGGATCAGCTTTAGTCTTAGTGCCGTCTTTGTTCTTCACTGAACCCTCCTCCTCGATATGGAATCGAAGGTTCTCAAGGAGAATGACGGAACCGGAAGGGGCAGAAGCAACGGCACTCTCGACCTCGAGGCCGACGCAATCGTTCAAGAAGATGACTGGCTTGCCAAGGAGCGTCTCAAGCTCGGTAGAAACAGGTTTTAGGGAGTGTTTCTGGACGACTTTGCCATCGGGACGACCAAGATGGGACATGAGAACAACAGTTTTTGCACCTGCAACATCATTTAGATACGAATTCATGCATCCCAGCATATGGAAATACCGTTCTCGAGAGCATACTTGATGGTGGGTAGGGCTGCTACGATTCGCTAGAAGGAAATCAGGAGGATTCCGGCTGTTATCGATGGCGACCTACGGCGGGATTTGTTATCTTGCCCTCCTGGATGGGAACGTTGAAGTCGACACGAATGAGGACGCGTTTCCCAGTGAGCGAAAGGTCAGTAATGGCGAGCTTGTTAGAGAGAGACATGGTGGTAGAAGGTAAGGGATACGGAGTGCCGGCCGGACTGGGATCCCGGCTCTTATACTATTTTGGATCTCGTCAAGGCTGATCCAGACTCTCTTGCACGTTCCACACGGCCTTTGTCTTGGATGGAAACTTCGTCGAACACCCTTGGGCTCGACTTTGAGCAGCTCAAGGTCACGGATGCTCCAGTATCGTCTAGAGATGAGAAGGAAAGCACAGTAGATGCGACACCTGGTGGCGAGGCACAGCCGACTATTGCTGAGCAAGATAGTGGGGCGGCGGTGAGCAGCAAGACGGGCGATGCGAAAGAGAAGAAGAAACCGTACGTCAACCCCGACCGCGTCAAGACAGGTGGCAACCAACGGGTGCGTCGTTGTGCTTGTTTCCTTTCTCTTTTCTTACGGCAGCAACAGGACAAGCTCAGTGAACAGGCACTCTCGGAGAGAATGGCGCGTATGAAGGAACAGAATGAGAAGATAAAGCAGCGTAGACTGGTACGGTACACTGTTCTGCTGTATCTCTGCGTGCTTACCGCTGTACAGGACGTCAAGGCCGACGAAGACGCGTTCAGAAAGACACAGGAATCGGAGCGCATCAAGCAAGCACATGTCCGCAAGGTGCAGGAGAACATTGACCGTACACGGGAACAGAATGCAAAGAGAAAAATGGACAAGATACAGAGCCGTGAATGGGACTCTGGCAAGACTGGCGAATGGAAGAAGAAATCCACGCCAGCTGACGGCGAGACAAACGAAGGCTCTATGTCGTCGTCGCCCGTCAGTCCTTCTGGAGACGGCGGTCGTGGAGGTGGTCGAGGAAGAGGTCGGGGCAGGGGTCGAGGAAGGGGCGGATTATCGACGACAGCAGTAAGCCCAACGGTATCCGAAGTAAAGACGGAGAAAGAGACGCCGCCACCGCAGTCACCACCACCACCACCAGCGACGATGACGACGACGACGGCAGAGGCAGCGGTTTAATTGTTATGAATTTATTACTATTAATTGTATGCTTGCTGTGATACCGACCTGTAACATTTGGATTTTTTGCCATCTCTTTCTCTTTCCCACGGTCCTCTTCATTTACCGCCATGGGTCGCGGCATCCTTTTGACTTCAAATCTTCCTCAGCTGCAGAATCTCATCAAGCGCGACCCAACTGCATACAAGGAAGAATTTCTGCAGCAATGGAACCATTACAACAGTATTCGCCAGATTTTCCAAGCAAATCCAAGTGAACACGCCCAGCAATTCAGAGAGCTCGTCACATTTATTGCTCAGGTCGCGCCCTGTTACCCCAAGGAAACAACGGAATTTCCGTCTCACCTTTCTACATTGCTGCTGGAAAACTATGCAACCTTGTCGCCGGATACAAGGAAGGCTCTCGTTCAAAATCTTGTTATGCTCCGCAATAAAAATGTCATAACGTCCATCGAGTGCGTCCCATTTTACTTGTGAATTCCTCACATATAACGGCATTTTAGGCTTCTAAAGACCCTCTTTCCCCTTTTACCTCGCACCACTTCGTCTGCACTGCGCTCTTCCATCCGAAAAACTATCCTTTCTGATATACGTACTGCGAACATCCATTCAACAAACCACAAACTCAACCGTGCCGTTCAAGCGATGCTCTTTGGAATGGTTGAACGAGGAATGGATGGTCAAATTCTCGGCGACAAAGGTAAATTGAGAGCCTCCACTTCACAGTCTGCTTCCCCGACCAACGGCCATGATGCAATGTGGGCCATCATCCTCACCAAAGAACTCTGGAGGAAAGGCATCTGGACTGATGTTAAACCTGTCTCCATCGTTGCACTTGGCTGCTTCCACCCTGTCGTTAAGGTGCAGAGTGCATCTATCCACTTCTTTCTAGGCAGCGATGAAGAAAAAGAGGACAGTGACGACGAGGAAGAAGAGGTAAGCTAATCTCTCATTGATACTAGCAATCTTACATTTTCGTAGACCGTAGATGTCCGCTCTCTTCATCATCGCCGAGAAATTAACAAAAAGACAAGAAGCGGCGACAAGAAGCTTCAGAAGAAGCTAAACAGCGCGAAAAAGGTGTGCATTTTATAATCTATTTACCCCATATCTTAACCTCCTCACAGAAACAACAAAATGGAAAAGGCGACGCAAACCCCAACTTTCCTGCTCTCCAACTCCTCAATGACCCTCAAACATTTGCCGAGAAACTCTATGACATCCTTAACCACTACGAAAAACGGTTTTCGCTAGACCACAAGATCCTCATCATGCAACTCCTCTCCCGTGTCATGGGCTCGCACAAACTTTGCGTGCTCGGATTCTATACGTACATTGTCAAATACCTTACTCACCACCAACTGCGCGTCCCAGCCATCCTTGTCAGCTTAGCTCAGTCTGTGCACGAACTAACACCCCCGGACGCACTAACACCCATCATTCAAAAACTTGCTCACGAATTCGTTCACCCGGGTGTGGCCAGCGAGGTCATTGCCGCTGGGTTGAATGCCATACGCGAAGTATGTAGACGGCAGCCATGGGCGATGGAAGAAGATATGCTGGGGGATTTAGTTGAGTACAGGAAAAGTAAGGACAAGGCCGTGATAGCTGCCGCAAGGGGTCTTCTTCAGCTCTATCGTGACGTCAATCCGGGAATGTTGAAGCGTAGAGAACGGGTGCGACATCTTTACATTATAATTGGCTCCGTTGATCTTGACTGGGTGAATAGGGCAAAGAAGCTAGCATGGGTATGGCTTCGGGTACACAGCCTTTACCCTTCGGACATAGTGCAGACGCTGCTGTGGATATCGAGGGGCTTTCGGTACGTGAACTCTTCACTAATGATAATAAATACTGATCGTCTGCTGAAACAGTTGTTGGAAGACCATTTCAATAAGCTCCGGCAAGAAGAAGACGTGGATATTGATGATGCAGGCGATGCTGGTTGGGAGAACTGGGATGTCGAGTCCGACTCATCGGATTCCTCATCGGAATCTGAAGGGTGGATAGATGTGGATGATGCCGATGACCAACTGGTCATTAGTGATAGCGAAGATGAGGCTGAGAAGAAGGACGGGGAGAACGCAAAACCTGAAGACAAGAATTCTGAAGATCTGGCAGCACGGGTCTCCACACTGGCGACTACCAAGGTGATATCGTTCTCTTTTCGAACCTGTTGAATCTAATTCTAGTACGCAGATTCTAACACCTGCGGATTTCTCTCTTTTAAACGATCTTCGAATACAGGCGGCTACACAAGCTGTGGAAGCGGGTGGCGGCTCCAAAGCCAAGCGGAAATTAGCTGCGCTTGAGGGGAACAAAAAGGCCATGCAGGGCACGCAAGAGGACACATTCATATCAGAGAACGACATTCTCGGCCCACGCAAGAAGGCAAAAGCTGATTACGCAGAGCGGATGGCGTCAATAGCGAAGGGGCGTGAAGGACGGGACAAATTTGGTTCACACAAAGGGAAGAAGAACAAGGACACCCCGAGCAGCTCGACGAATCGTGAAAAGACTAGAAATAAGCCGATCATGATGATCTTGAGCAGCGGGGCCGTGAGAGGAAAGAAGAAAGCTTCATTGAGAGAGAAGCAGCAGAAGTTGAGGGCTCATATCGAAAAATCGAAAAAAGCTCGTCGGTAGTATTTGTACAAGTACATATACAACCAGTTATTTCTGCGTTAATTGAACTCTCCTGCTCTGATGCGTTCTGCCATGGCGTAACCTGCAGCAAAATGTGACAGCCGAGCATCGACAACGAAACCCTGCAAAGAAGTCAGCATGAGATACCATACTGTGAAGAGTGTAGTTTGCCTTCGTAGCGTAGTCTAGAGATGATATATAGTTAGCCCAGCGTAGCGGTAGTTATAGGCTGTACTTGCCTTGAAGCTCCTGATTAAGCTTGTGTAACTCAACGACTCGCTTGACAATAAACTCGCCCGCTTCAAGGTTGGCCTCAGGATGCTCTATGGCATCCTCTAAGGTGACATTCAGAACGACCAACTTCATGTTAGCATTGGTCATTCCTAGCAGTATCTTAGCAGATAGTTAATGCGAAGAAACAGCAGCGCACCAGGATCGCAGACAACCACAGACGACGATTCAATGACCTTGTCAGCTTTGTATCCCTGTAAACAATTTCAGAGGTGTGATTGCTTGCATAACAAACGAAATCACTGTCTCCTCCTGTAACTCCCGGATAGCAGCCGACTCTGGTGTCTCTCCTTCGTCTATGAGACCTGTAAATGGTGTCACGAAATTGAGAAACAGAAGCTAGGATCTTTTGGATACCTGCAGGTAACTCTTGAATGCACGTTAGAAGTCGTGGAAGAGTATGAACAAATTAATTACACACCAATAACATGCGCGTCAACCGGTGGCCTATACTGCTCAATAATGACTGTCGACAGTGGAAACGCATTCGTCTTGGATCGTATAAGGGCAAAGATGGCGACAGCTGCATGCTAGTTCTTCATTTGCAGCCTCGACACGGTGAGAAGAAGTATTCACCATCGATGCCGGTCGATTTGCGCGTCGTGCGCTGGGCACATTCCCAGGGTCGCTACAAGCATCGTCAGGTAAGGATTTGGTAACAAAACTAGCTGCTCACCTCCTTCCCTGTGGCATCCTGGTAGGTTAACTTCTTCAAGGTGATCCACCTGCAGCAAGTCAGATCACGGAAGAAGTGCCTCCAAACGGAGAGACTGACTTTGCTTCTGAGGTTGGCAATTCGGTTGAGGATATTATCCTTGGTGTCTGTGACATTGTTCTATAGGATACAGGCAGTGAAGGGAATAATCTGAGACGTGGTCGTGGTAGTAATAGAGAGAGAGAGCGCATACACAGCCACCCATATTCTTAATTTATTACTTTCATGTCGTCGACACCTTCTTCGTCATTATCGTCGTCCAAAAAACGTTCTGCACCCGACTCCGACACTGAGAACGCCAAAAAGGTTGCCAAAGGCGCGTTCGTCTTGTTGTCCCTGCCCATCAGACCCTGACTAGTGTCCAGTCCATCCGTTCTTCACCAAAGACAGGTCCTCCGACGCGTCGACGAGCTTAAAACAGGACTCCATGTTTCATTGGCTTAAGCCCCTTGGGTCCCACACGACGTGTCTTCATGCAATCAACTTGGCGCCAAAATGTCTTGCCAAGGTCGCGACGTTTGACCTAGATGGCACGCTCATAAAGTCCAGCTTCGGCAAGGGTAGTAAAAAGGAGAAAGGGAATCCGACGCATTTCGAATGGTGGAATGCTACGGTTCCTACAGCTTTGAAAAGGTTGCACCAGGACGGGTATGTGCCATGGCTACAGATTTATACCACACTAACTAGAGTACAAGCTTTTCCATCGTAATAATATCCAACCAGGCTCTCAAGGGCGCTGCTCTCACCGCCTGGAAGCAGAAGATACCGTCAATAGCTGCTGCCGTACATTTCTCCCATTTCCTTCAAGTCGGTCTCTGACCATACCATAGCTCCCCGAAGTACCATTTCGAATGTTCGCTGCCACTGCCAAGGACGAGTACCGCAAGCCCATGCCTGGGATGTGGGATGAGTTGACTAGAATATTCGAGGCGGAAGGTGTGACCATAGGTAATGCCTCCTTCCTTTCAATGACCTTGCCCTCACGCCGCCGTTAGACAAGGAGAGCTCTTTCTTTGTAGGCGACGCCGCCGGAAGAAAGTGGAAAGGGTCACAAAAGGATGTCGCCTGTACTGATCGCAAATGGGCACTGAATGTTGGTCTCCCATTTCATACTCCGGAGGTAGAATTTAAAGCATGTTTTCTTTCTATATCTGATCAAAGTGCAGGAATACTTCCTAGGACTTCCAGTGCATACTAATTTTACCCTAGATGGATTCGATGTGTCATCTCTACCAACTTGTTGAGTAGTATCTCTCCTTGTCGGGCTGTGACTAAATACCTTGTAGTGCCAATGGTCATGCCGACATCCTCGCCAATACTACCTGATCCTCCGCTTCAAGAGCTTGTATTGTTTGTGGGCTATCCATGTCTAGGCAAAACCTCCTTCTTCCGTCGACACTTTGAACCTGCTAGCTACGTACATACAAATCAAGATAGTCTCGGATCTCGTCCGAAATGTGTTGCCGCCGTGAAAACAGCCCTTGCGGAAGGGAAGAGTTGTGTAGTCGGTATGCATTCTACAATGGTGTCCTTCAAAGTCACTTACGTGTTTTCCATAGACAACACTAACCGTGATGTCAAGACAAGAAAATATTACATAGACATTGCAAAAGAAGCCCGGATACCAGTCAGGTGGGATCCTTTTCTCACTGGAATACGAATTCAGATTAATGTAGTCATAGGTGCTTCTTGTTCACCGGATCCATAGAACTAGCCTGGCACAATAATCTATATCGCGCTTATAATCTCCCTCCGTCTGTGAAAACCAGAGAAGTACAACTTCCAGTCAATTAAGGTTTCTTTTTATAATAATACTACCCTAGGAAACTCGAGAGGCTCTCCCGTACCTGGCTTTCATCAGCTTTCGTGATAAGTACTGAAGCTCCTGAAAAGGAAGAGGGTTTCGCGGAAATCAAGATGGTGAACTGGGGTTTTGAAGGTACACAAGACGAAGAGAGATACTGGAAGATGTGGCTACAAATTTAACGTCAAGTACTGTTGGACCTTTGTACAATATTTATGTTGTCCGTAAAGATGTTAAGCATCTATTTAGGCCTGACTATCTGTGTCTTTTTTCTTGCTCGACTCTTCCTTCGTCTTGCGCTTGGCTTCCCATTGCTCGCACGACAAAAAGGTATGGTCGACTGGCGGGGTGTTCAGTTCTTCATCCATCATCCTTTGGCCATCATCGCAGCGGGTATATCCGGCGGCTATCACTGCAGCGTCATAGCCCATACATTGAGGACACTGCAGACATAAGTAAGTCTGATATCAGTAACATCCCCAAGTAGCGCTTACTTACAGGTGTAGCAAACCTGTTCATTCATATTCGTCAATCTAGATGTCCAAGTACAGAGAAAAGACATACCCGCACGAAGCAAATGCATCAGGCCATCTCCGACTGACTCCTCCACATCCAGGACATATGGTTCGAAATCCACCACACTCGGCGCAGGCATCAAGAAAGAATTCGCGCATCATATTGTGGTCGACCCCTCCGAGCACAGCTCCTGTTTCAAGCATCTTGTTGTAGCTGTGTGGCCCACTGACGGTGAGTCGGTCCTCGTCCGGGATGCGCTCCTCCAATGTAGCGATATACTTGTCGAAATACTCGGGCCTCGGTTCAACACCGTCGGAGACAACGAGGATGTCATTGTTCTCGTAACCGCGCTGATTGTACTCTGGGAATGTCACGTATAGCAAAATATCATCCCGTGCCTCTGTGAACTTGACCGAACAAATGTAAAAAGGCTCGGTCAAAGCGTGCTCGAGGTCCGCAGGTTCAACCACCCAAGTCTTGCTCACGCGCTCCTTCATCGTCTTTGACCTCGGCGGGGCTATGACGCGATCGCTTTCGTCGTCATGGAAGTCGTCGCCCTCACCTTTACCAAGGTCGTCCGGAAAGACGGTATGCTTTATGTGCCTTTCAACAAGTGTACGGGAGGGTGCAAGACAGAGTAATTGAGGAAACGTGAATTCTTTGCTGTCCGGATACTCGCGACCTTTGGCCTCATTGAGAGCATGGTAAACGGCACTAAACCCGAAACTGTTCGATAACACTTTGCAGGCGTTTACGAAGCGCAGTCGTGACTTTGAAGGAAGCTTGGCAATGATACGTTGCTGAAGTTCGACGGGAAGTCGAAGAATTGGTGCTGTTGTTGGAATTTCCATGTTATTCGCCATCGTCGTTGAGGAACAAGAAGCAAATAGGAGGGCCGACGTTTTTCAATTTGGTACGGGACCGCGGTCACGTGGTGAAATTGACTAGACAAGTTTATCTCGTCTCGTGTTGCGCTGGTTACAATGTACATTATTAGATACATTTACGCAAAGTACACAAATTATGGGCTATATATCAAAGTGGAAAATGAAGTACAAGAGACAAAGCTAAGAACGAACCCCGATTATGTTGGCCAGTGTTTCTGTATAGACGTCTATTTGTTACAGAGGTCAGCCCTAGCTAACCGTTCGACAGAGATACTCCATACCTGTCTGATGTCTCAACTTCCAATACTCTCCTAGAAGCTCGTTTATCTCTAGTTCGCTGGCCCTTAGATGTTCGGCCATCTCAAGGTGAGGATCAGTAACGAGCCTTCCAAGATACTAGTTGGCTGACCTTTCTTTCCACCTCCTCAGCCTCCAACCGAAGCTGTTCCACCTGTTTATCGTTATCTCGGCGTTCGATAGCCATGTCATTGATTTCTTTTTGAAGACGGTCGATGGTTCGTTGGCTGGCAAGCTTCTTCTCTTCAGCATGTCGTTGGGCACGCTCGAGCTTTTCATGGGCATTGGAAAGCTGCTTCTCAACCCGCTGCATTCCTACGTCAGAGAATGTCCTGAACAGAGCAGACGATCAAACCTCTCGCTTCAGTCTGAGCTCACTTAGCTCGATCTTCTTGCCTTCAAGATCATCCTTGAGCCCACTAAGTTCTTTATGGGATTCTTGCAGAGAACGCTCTTCCTTCTCAACTGTTTGTAACTGTTCAATGCACCCTCGAACATCCTGTGATTTCAGTAAAGTATCGAAATATTGTATCCAGAGAATAACTTACCCTCTCGATATTATGCAAAGCATTAAACTTCGCCTGGAGTTCCTTTGCTTTATTCTCCTGTATGGCGACTATTTTCTTGTCCTCATTAGCACTTGTGCTCATAGTGCTGATTGTACGTTTGATACGTTCTGGGGATTGCACGACCCGTGACCGAGTGCGATTGATCGACTCCGCCACGCTCTCTAACTCGTCGTTGAGAGCTTCCTATGGGATAGTATTACGAAGGAAATCATTGGAAATGGAAGGGTGAACTTACCCTCCGCTTCAAAAGAGCTGATTTTTCAGCTTTTAATTTTTCGAGTTCTTGAAGACCGATAGTCTGGATTTCCTTTGATGCCCGTAAGCGTCCCTTCAGTTCAAAGTTTTCAATCCGCAGTTTCTCGCAGCGCGGCTCGTCCTCCGCCATCTTAGCCCTAGCAAATACAGGTTAGTGACATGAACAAGAGAGGATCCGGACAACCCTACCGTATGGTAGCCGTCTTTCGTCGCACGAGAGAAAGTTGTTCCGCAACTTGGTCTCTCTCGACAAGTAAACCATCAGAGCGTTCTCGAATTGCCTTCGCGAAGGGGTTGGAATCCTGTTCAGTGAACTTGACAAAGTTGATGAATGCTGAGAAAAGGCGAATAGTGCGCTCGCGCGTTGGCCTGTAGATATCAGACGACGTAAAGTCATCCAGTTTAGCTGCAGCAGCAAAACGAGCCCTAAATGTTTTCGATGGGTTTTCTTTCGTGATTGGTGATGGCACCTACATATGTGTTAGCAAAATATTATTCGTCAATGTTTCCGTATACAGGTCCTTTGATCTGATGTCAGTGTCGTTGGGGGAGCAGAGTAAATAGCAGTACCCTATCCTTATAGCAACGCAGCATGAATTTAACTAATATCTCTAATGAATGGAGAACACACCTTGTCTCTATCCTGGAGATAGCTCAGTGCTGTGTGTATTGGACTATCAAGAACATGGACACACCTTGTCCTCATGGGCTGCCATAGATTCTTGTGCCGCTTGTTGAATGGTTTCACGAGAAACGCCAGTCACTTCTGCAAGACATGCATAGGCAATGGTCTCGACCAGGTCCGCTGAAGGATGGTTGATTTGCTCTGGACTAATTGTGAAGCCCCATGCACTAAGAGACTCGATAATTTCGGCCACGTCCATCAGAGGAAATATTCCCTGGTTCTTTGTTCTTGGTGCCATACTGGCAGGAATGTAGCTGAGAGAGCAGGTCGTGGTCGTGGTTCAAGTACGCGGTGGCGTGATAGTCACATCACGAGGCAGTAACGGTCACAATGACATCACGCGAAAGCTGACCGCTCTGCGCTGGAAATTCAAGACGCACAATTCTTCGAGAATAGCAGTATAGCTTTCACAAAAGAAGCAAATCTCAAGGGACTCAATGTAAAGGAAATTCATGGTAAATTTCCAACATCAATGAGATTCTTTATTATTCGGAATCTCCCGGACCAAGGTCCGTGCATTTTTACTTTCCCATCACGTGAATCGCGTTCGGATGCGCGGCTGTGCTAATGAGTCACTCGATCTTTATTGCGACCGCGACCACGTCGCGTCGTATTTTTACCTCGTGATGCAGCGTAGTGTCGAGGCGCGTCGTAGGGCTCAGGTCCCAATAATTGGGGAATCTAGCTGCTCTGCACCCGTAAAAGTACGTTCTCTTTTATAAGGCAGTACCTTTCTTCTCACATTAGGGCAACAAGCAGAGCGGCACAAATTCCAGACCCATCAAATTTTACGTCGGAGCATCTGCATTGTCAACAAGTATCCAATTCTCTGTTGCCACCTATCCCGGATACTGACAATCCCCCAGATGTCGCCCCGTCGCCGCTGTTGTCAGCGGGCAGTGCCCCCGGAACGCGCGTGAGGAACACTGTGACCGTTTCACACGACACTGTTTCAAGAAATTTAAGACTCAACCATCCGAAGAGAACAAAAGCAAAAGTGTCTACAACTACCTTATCCCCCAAAATCGGCGAAAAATCCTCTGCTGTGATTGAATCATCAAGTGGTTCCCATGCTCAACTCCGCTCGGTACCCATTTCAGTTATATACACCGTTCTCGTCTTATATTCGTCTTACAGGTGCCACTCAAGACTCTTTCAGATCTCCTGGAATGCTGCATTGAATTAAAGCAAGAATACGACCGTAAGACGAATAAGGCTGGAGACATGTATATCATACATCAAATACGGTACGGGAGTTCGCATTATATGATAATCCGAGATTCAGTCTTGTTATATAGGCAAACATTAGAATGTCGAATAGATGCCATCAGAGATGAGATGCGTTCAAGGAAGGCGGCAGGTGAACCAGTTCACTCTTGATTTTTGTATGCTCTAACACTATTCTTCTCAACAGTCCCTTCTAGTCGTGATCCGCCGTGGATCCCCGAAATGAATGAGAAATTGCGCTCTATCTTCAAACTGAAAAGTTTTAGACCGGGTCAAGAGGAGATTATATCTGCAGCTTTAGACGGCCGTGACGTCTTGGCCCTTATGCCTACCGGTGGTGGCAAATCCCTCTGCTTTCAACTTCCTGCTGTATGTGTCAAAGGACGAACGAAGGGTGTTACTGTCGTAATTTCGCCTTTACGTGCATTAATGCACGACCAGATTGATGACCTCCATAAGAAAGGCATTGACGCAATCTTGACCGGCCCAGGATTCCCAGAATATCGAGCGCGTTTACAAGGCAGGAAATTGCCCTCACTGGTCTACGTGACTCCCGAAATGCTGGAGAGGAACGAGGAGCTTTTAGACATGCTTTCAAACTTGAATGACTCCCGGAGGCTTGCCCGATTGGTTATTGATGAAGCTCATTGCCTTCCGGGATGGGGAAAGGATTTCCGAAAAGATGTAAGCACCGCCTCCTTACCCCTCACGAAGTCCATCTCTGACAGAAATAGTACGATGCCTTGGGCAGCCTTAGGGAGAGATTCCCGGGAGTTCCGATCATGGCTCTTACCGCTTCAGCAACGCGGTCCGCAATACTCGATATCGTACAACGACTTCGTTTGTCCAACCCCTTTCAATACGAGCAGTCTTTCAACAGGCCAAATCTGACATACAGCGTCTTACCCAAACCGAAAGGACATAGGAAAGCCGTCGACAACATTGCATCATTTATATCTTCGTCACACGCAGATCACTCTGGCGTGATATATTGCTTGACGAGGAAGACTACCGAGAAAGTGGCTGCGTATCTCCGAGAATCCGGTATCAGGGCGAAACATTATCATGCCGAACTGACACCTGCGGAGAAAACAAAAGTGCAAAACGAATGGAAGGCGGGAGAATGCAAAGTCATCGTTTCTACCGTATGTTCTCTAGCTAACTCCCTTGCTCATGTTGTGTCATACCTTATCCCCAGACTGCTTTTGGTATGGGGATCGATAAAGCGGATGGTGAGTGAACAGTATATGGTGGAGTAACAAGGATTGAACTCTTTCCGTAAAGTTCGATATGTCATTCATTATGACATACCGCGGAACCTCGTAGGGTAAGGAACTTAGAAGTGCAGCGAATCCATTCTCATCTGTCTGTTTTAGCCTTTATCAGGAGACAGGACGAGCAGGCCGCGATGGTAATCCTGCAGATTGCGTATTATGTGAGCCATATACTAAAATCATATCCATCCTGACGGCCATCCCAGATTATCGTTACGGTGATTTTACTCGTCTCATCCACATGATACGAAATCCTACCGATCCAGAGTCTACCACAAAGGAAACCCGAGAAGAACAAGAACGCGAAGCCTACTTGGTCATGCAATATTGCGTCAACAACATCGACTGTCGGCGACAGCAAATCCTGTTCCATTTTGGGGAACATATTGAAACCTCGTCGTGTGATGCTCACTGTGACAGCTGTCTGAGCGACACTCTAGTGCTGGATCAAGATGTTACATTGGATGCCATCAACGTCGTCAAAGTCGTCGGGATGCTCGAAGAAGGGGATGTGACCATTGAATACTGTCGCGATGTTTTTAGAGGCAAGACCACTGCGACCGTTCGAGGACGTTTGCATCATATGAGCCGTCTGTTTGGAGTTGGCCGACACCTCCCGCAGACTCTGACAGAGCGCTTGTTTTCGACACTATTGTCTAAAGGTATCTTGGACCTCCATTTTAGTTGCGACAGTCCTGGACGGTGGCATACCACTTACGTTAAGGTGTGCAGTAGGATTTTATGAGGAGTGCCTCTGTTCTTACCGCATTTTTCTAGCTCGGTCCCGCCGCACATAGTTTCTTACTCGAAAGTGAAGACAAGCAGATGTTGTTCATGAAAGTCAGACAAGAGCAGAAGTCGCCTCAACTAAAAACAAGTAAACAGGCGGGTGCTAAACGTCCTAAACCGTTACGACAAAAGCACCAAGCCAACGACTCTGAATCTGAGGATGATCTCTACATCGATAATCCCCGAGACGAGGAAACCAGTCTCGTGGAGGACCCAACACCTGCTGAAATCGTAATAGAGCTCTCTGACTCAGAAAGTGAGAACGACACCCAAATGGGAGATACTCCGTTAGAATCATTGTATTCCAAACTCCGCACTGAACGTCGACGGGTGCGTGTTTAAATCTTGTTCTATCGCGCATCGTCTCATTTACTCTGATTGTATCATAGGCCATGCAGGACGCTGGTTTATGCAGTGAGAATGACGTCCTGAACGATGAAACTCTTCAGATGCTCAGCCTTGCTTGCCCTAGTGGTAAGTGGCACAGCGTCATCTGCGCCTGCCGGTATGTTGACTTTCTGTTAGATTATCAAGCCTTCCGGAAGGTGCTCGCAACGGTTTCCCCCACTCAGGACACTCAAGACCAATATTTATATGTAAGCACGAAATGGGAAACCTTTGGCAAACGATTTTTGAACGTGTGTATACGTTGGCGTCAATTTGTCTGAAAAGGCTTGAAAACACCTATGATTATCATCAGTTTATTTATTCATTTATTAGTTTTGCTCTTACAACGCCACAGCATTATCGTTATTTAGTATATTCCGTAGTCTGTGATTCAACTATCTTCCAACGTTGTAGCATATTCACTATCTCATCCTTTAAAATTTATGTGGTCTTATCTTGGGACGAAAGGCCTAAAGAAAGCTGAAGCGAAGAAGAGGAATAAAAAAAGAAAGGGAAAAACAAGTTAGAATCACGTTCAGGATTTCAACGTTTGCGCTTCCCGCTTTTCCTGCTAGCTTTGCAGTTATCGCAATACCATTTCTTTGACTGAGAGGGAACCTCCGTCAAACCGGTACAACTGAGGTGAAACTGGAAAAAAAATTAAACAAATTATCGTAGTACCTGACAGCATAGAATCTAGAAAGCAACGTACCCATTCGATTTTACAAGGTGGATTGTCGCATGCTATCATCTATGTTTGACCATGTCAGCAGAACCTTCCAATCAAAAGTGGCCAGGCGTACCTCTCCAAAGGAAATACGCTCGCAGTAACAATATTTAGGCTCGTCAGGATCTGTAGACTCTGGCGTGTACGTAATAGGAGCAGCAGGAAGAGTGATCTTCAGGCTGGTTGACTGCTCCTCAGCAGGTGCTGTGCTGTGTTTTCTCTTTCCACGTCGCGCAGTGGTGGGTTCCGGCGGGGCTATAATTTCAGGCTCGACACTCGGCGGAAGGGGGAGCTCATCTTCAGAATCATCACTCATAACATTCTGGGGTCGGCTGGACCATTTCTCAGGCATAGTCACTTTCTCCAGATAGGCTTGTGCTCCGTTCTGTATAGAGGCCCTTTGTTCGGCTATAGCATGATCAATGAGGCGAATATGCCGTTTGACCTGCACAGAAATTGATCAGCGGAAACCGTTAACGCGTGGGGAAAGTCACGCACAGCACTGTAGGTGGTCTCAGCGAGGTTAACTTTTTCTTCCCCAGCTTTAACCAGTTCCTCAATCAGCCACGCAATTTGGCCCAGCATCTCTCGAGAGTTTTTAGGCTCTTTGACGCATTCTTGTGGTAGAAACGGTGTAGCCGGAGTCTGAGGCGTACCAACGGCCAGTTGATTGCGCAGAGGCGTACCAGGTAAATGCGCGTCCGTAGCGGCATTTTGAGAAGCGGCATCCGAGGCAGGAACGGGGTCAGAAGAAAGATTCATGCTGAAGTCTGTGGCAGCATTGGGGGTTTCGATATTCTGAGATTGACTTGAGGCCACTGCACGGCGATGGGCGATATAAAGTCGGATTGTATCTTGGAGTTTCTTCTGATAGTCTAAAGCAATATTTTAACGCGTTCGTTGAAGAACATACAAGTACGAACCGTGAGACTGTTGGTCGAGCTCCTTAGTCAGGGATATTTGCCTCTGCGCCGTCAGCGCGAGCTGGTCAACGACTACGAGCGATTTTTAGCAAAACCCACAGAGAACGGTTCGCGGTGCGCACCTTCAAAATGCTCCTCTCTTACAGCCTTCCAAACTTCCTGCTCTTTCTCTAGGCGTATTTGTCGCGCCTCGTCAGTTTCGTCGTCCGGCACCTTTTCCTCGTCATCAGATTGGATTTCTGGGTCCTCCAGGTACTCAATTGGTGCCGTTTCGATAGTTACTGGGTCCGCGAAAGCCTCTGAGCGCCGCCGTTTTCGAGAACGAGCGCTAGACATGGTGGATTTGGAGATGGAAAGAATCCGAGCACGTGGCTATGATCTTACTGTTCGATCCGAGGGCAGTCCGATCCGATCAAACTGAACGTTGTCTAGTATGATTTTCTGTCGGTGAATCTGCTCATTGTCTTTGTAACCTCTGAATGAAATGGAAACGAGTTCTGCTAGCTCCGAGTGCTGAAGAAATCCGCATATTTACAATTTGCGGTGAACTGCTTTCTAAGTACAGTACGGTGCAATACACCACATTCCGACCTTGTATACGGCGAAAAATCTACGGGCCCACTTGTCGAATTCAAAGAGGAGGCCAAAGCGACATTTTTCGGCAAGGATTCCAAGCAAACACTTTTTCTGTACCCGATACGTGTTACATATGAAGATAATGTGATCTTTGGGCAATCACAATGAATTTCCTGATCATATTCACGTTCATGCGCAACTTCAGCCCTCAGGTCGTGAGTCTGCCGGTAGCCGTATAGTAAACAGAACATACTACACAGGAAAAGCTCGGAAATGAAGGACCAAGGATAGGTATATTATCATGAATTCTATTGGAATCTTAACAAAGCCGAGCCGCATTCTTGAATTGAAAACACGGTGCAAAGACGATCATTCAAGTGGTCCGTCATAAAGACCTACAGTGCGCATTATGAATGCACTAGGCATATTGCTGTTTACGGGAAAGTCCAACCGACAATTCGAAACTCCGATCATCATGCACGCCGCGGCCTCAGAGCCCACAGCAGAGCTACATCGAATGAATAGTATTCCAAGTGTGAAGGCTGGATAGTAGGTGACAGGATGCTTCTTGACGGGAGGTATAGCGATATTTGGCTAGTAAGATGACTTTATGAAGCAAAGGCGGGGATATGCGAATAGGGACGGATACGTGTAACTTGATAAATACGCTGGCAAGGATGTTTGGGTGGCGTTCTAGTGTTTTTTGAAATGTCTCTGAACTGGTAGGACTCAGATATTTTGGGACGGGGGTGACAGAGGCTCATTAATTTGTCTGCTAGAAATTTCAACAACACGATTTCGGTGTGAGACAACCTCCACGACGAACATGCCCTCGCCGTAACATGGTTTTACATCGGTCTTGAGCATGATTACCACATGCTCGTTCTGGTTCCCCGTCTAGTATTGATCTTTCCATTGACGACCGTTTCTGACCGCAGGTTCCTCGTTAGCAAGAGAACAGAGTACGATGTTGAATGTTGCCAGACGTGAAGCGGCTCCTGTCCGCCAACAAACGGCGTTCAAATAGTATCCAATCAAGAAAAATTGTACGCAGCTGGGCGGACAAAAGTATTGTATAACGACACAATATCATGGCACGATGCTGAGTTTTTCCAGAACTATTTTTAATTTTAGAGCCTAGTAAAATACGCAAGCCTTCGTTCTCGTGGGTTTTGAGTGTTGTATTTGTCATATAGAAAGACCAGCATACTAGTTAAGTCCGTGGGTGCATACCCTGAATACCCCTCTTTCTTTGTCCTGATTGGATCGCGGGGAGGAAGCATCACTATGCGACTTTGGGGTTTCGGAAGAGGTCGACGTCATTAATAAAGTCTCGACGTTCCAACGATATGGGGAAGTGCGCCGTGGCTCGCTCCCGAGTGTAGTGACGAGACGGTGTCTTCGTGAATCGAAGGTACAGATACGTACTCTTGCAATTGATTTTCGAGTTGGTGACGGAGGTGGCTTGAATAGAAAGTCCGAGGCTCGTTTCATAATGGATATCAGCGTCTTCAAGAAGATACCCGTGAGATTTGTGAATGAGGTAGTGAACTAGTGGCAGTCGAATGGCCCATGAACGGAGTGCTGGCGAGAGATGTATCACAGCGGCGAACTCGATAACCCCAGGATGAGGCGATAAGGTCAGCAGGCTTGTGGAGTGATCACCGTGATGACACGTCGGTTAAAGTTCAGGAGGCAAGACCATACGAACGACGTCGTTTCGTGCTCTACTGGGCAGCAGTAGCAGGCGGATTCGGCGTTTAGTTGGGACGATGAAGCTACAGCGGTGAGCAAGATCCGATTATTAGCCTGCCTTACCAGCCATTCGGATCCCAAGCTGGCAAAGAGCTTGTCTGTAAGCAGGCCTCGTAGCTGGCTGTTCCCGGACGGCATATGTTGGTCGCAAGTATTAAAGGAGGTCGGCTTCTGTGACAAACATGACTTTGTGGCGACATTGCCGCTCATTGTATGAAGAACAGCCTGTACCGACAGTCGAAGCCAATATGAAGGGTCACAATGCGCGGAAAGCTCTGCGCTAGCTGGACGCGGTCAACCGAGGGACGGTGGACCATGGGAGGCAAGTTGCGAGCCAGGAAATTGGCTGACCTGACCAGATAGGCACGAGGTTCAATTTGAAACCAGCTGGTTCAGTGGCTTCACCAAAACTTCCGCTGTGTTCCGGGCTTCCCTCTCCCCATCGTCTTCTTCATGACCTTCAGCGAATCACCAGTTGATCCATATTGCGGCCTTCGCTTTCGACGGACCAGCTGGACCGTAGCACCCAGTCAGCAAGGATAATGCCCTCTCCTATCGTTCCCCATCATTGCACACTGTACCCAGGACAGTCCGGTGTCAACCCGTCGACAGAAAACATGTCTGGTATGCTTCATTTGGCTCCATAAGAGATCAAAAATAACACCAATTTCCGTTGGCAGCCAGGACAACATGGGGGGCGGCTGCGACGGCCTCTCAGCAGCTATGTGGCAATAACAAGAAGCTTGGCACACCTGGAACAGTGACACTGGGGGCCATGGGCGGTCTTGACAGTCGAAATTGGCTGCTGCAATCTGTCAGTTTCACCCTCGATAGTGTCCTGTTCACTTCTAGAACTCTGCAGATGTTGCAGGACGTTCAACCTTCCGGTAGAACATGCGAAGACACCAGCTAAAGAGACCTCGAACATCTGCCTATGCAGACTGAAACCTAGTCTCTCAGGCCAGTCTTCCAAATCACTAGGAACAAGGCCATCAAGACAACCTGGCCTCCCTGCTCGACGGCCATTTCCAGAGTTCGCCGGCCGTCAGACATGATACCCGCAGCACGATAGCCTCCATCAGACGTCTACATAGCACCTTTTGGCGGTAGATCTGTTGGGGGGCGGGGGGCGAGCGACGTCCGTCCGGCACACATGTGCCATTTACCCTCCTGCTGTCTCGAATCGCATTGCAGTTCGAGCACAGCGTCAGAGAAGCCAGCAAGGATGCGAAATGGACGTTAAGACTTCCACATCCTCCATCAGCACTACTTTCATCCCGACCGTCTGGGTGACATGTCGATGGGCAGATCCCCTTCACCTTCACAGAGCATGCAGATCGCCAGGTCCCGACCAGCCTGAGGAGGTCATTTCGCAACTATACTCCTTCTCTTCGCCTCCTCCTTTTCGCCACCCCATCTCGCAGCGGGCCCGTGCTAATAGTGATCCCGCTGTGCCCGCTGTTCGATATAGCATCCAATTCATAACCGATAGCATCTCTAGAAGCCTCAGACTGCAGGAAAGAGCTGATAGGGCGAAGCAGAACCTGTTGAACTCCTGGAATAGGTGAATCTAGTTTCAATACCTTCGAAGCGTGGCCATTAGAGGATTTATGATGTTATCGCAGAGCATCTGTCTCTCAGGCTCCCCAGAAAACACCGTTACGCTCAAGATGACGTGTAAATGGGGGATTATGTCCCTCGTTGTGAGGGTTTCCCTGCACCTTCTTGCGGGATTCCTGAATTCCAACATTTCACGCTGTCAGCTAGAAATTCTTCATGAATCAACACGTACAATTGTTCCCGACATTCTATCGAGCTCCCTGGACCAGCTGACGCTGCGCAACCCTCCAAACACCGAACACGAGTGGGTTCCTCCCTTGTTGTCCGCCCCCATGCAAGAATAGTGCATTGTTCGTACATTTGAGCTGGGGTTTACCAATCTGTTCGGTGGAGGTTCCGACCCAGGCTGACGATGACAGGCAAACGTACGTGACACCGGTCCGCTCCGTTTATACCCCCATTCCAGCGCATGCTGAATGAAAACCGCACAAACCCTTGAATAATCCTGACATATTGGCGACCGTGGCCCGCCGTGCTGCACTGGACCCCTCCCCAGTTTGGCAATGAGTTGTGGACATTGAAATCGGAGCTCCATTGTCTTCTTTCCCGATTTCCCAGTCTCTTTCGACTTTTTCCATACCTAGCGTGTACAGGGTGGCGGTTCTTTTTCTGCGCGACGCGATCGTCACGATCGAATTTTTTTCGCGATCAAACAAAAAAACACGTCGAATGAGGTGTACGTGTGAACGGCTTTCTCGTGAAGAGTACGTGACCGACACGGAAATCTACACGCTCCATGGAGCATATCAACATCACGATGGTGCCATTCAATGAATGAAAGAACACGGCTACTAATTATTGACTCTGGAAGCATGTATACACGGTGTAGCTAGAATGTACAAGCAAGGGAAGCATCAATAATTAAGCAAAAGATAGCGAGCAAGGAGTGTACGTAGAGATAGATACAAAACACGTTCAAGAAAAGCAAGAAAAGAATCACGTCCCCAGAATTACTTGTCGACTTCATTGTGATCACCGGTGATACCCATTTCGACCGGCTGCTTCCCATACACAGGCGACGGATATGTATAAGGCGCCGTGGGCATCTGAACCTGAGTATCCGGCCTAGCTACGACATATGGTGGATATGGCTGAGCATACGGAGCAAGGAAGGTGGTCGAATAGAACTGGGGGGGAGATTGAGGGGGATAAGACTGGGTATCGCCCTCCTGGTTGTGCTGCAAAGGAGGAGGCGGTGGTGGAACAGAGGTAATGAAAAACTGTGGGTAGAAAGAGGGCGCCTCGCCCGGTTTCCCGAGAGGTGGCGGCTGGTATTGGCCATAGTAACCCGGAGGATAACCTACTGGACCCATGTAGGGAGCAGTAGGGGGAGGACCGGAGGGTTGGACCGGAACTCCATTGATAGGCAAGCCTTGAGGGTCGTCGACCTGGTCAGAGGCATTGCCTGCGCGATCTCCAGGTCAATTGTCATCACTTGCGACGGAGAGAGCGGCTGCAAGAGAGCTGTACACACCTTTTCCATCGCGCTTCTTGTAGGGACCTCGCTTAATCCCTTTCCTTCGCTCCTTGCGTTGGGAATCAACACACTCCTCGGAGACGCCGTACTTAACACAGCGAAGGCAGGGCCTGGCGTCGTCGCACTTTTTGCATGCTTTCTGGCAATTAGTGCAGGCGTTCTTGACTTGACGACGCTTCAAGCGGAGAGGCTGAGTAGGAACAAGGCCCTGGGGATAGGGATACATGTGGAGAGACATGGGCGGGTAAGCCAGAGGATGTATCGCTATATGGTTAGACAGAGAATCTGTTGTAGAGGGAGAATCGAGGAGATCGTCCGGGTCGGGGTCATTTGAGGACATTGAAATGGCACCGACTGCGCCTTGACGCGCTGAAGGGAAGCAACGGCAAAGCAAGGCGATATAATGGAAGTAATGAGTAAAGCCTGGTAATGGTTGTTCGCCGGCCCAACTGTTGGGTAAGCCACATGACAGGGACGTACCTGCCTGACCATAACAAGCCAGTAAACCGAGAATCCCTTCGTGCTGCACGTCCCACAGTGAACGCCGGTGTATTGCCTCAATACTGATCCCAGCCTTGCCGTGGACCCTAATATCGTCAGTACACGAGGTCCAGCTCCCAATTATCACTTACAATTACCGCATACATCCAGCTCAAACTCACCCTGACGCCCTTACTGACGTGGCAGTTGTCTTCTTCGCTTCACACTAGAGTGCTCTCTTCAATATACAAAAAAATTCTACTAAAATGTTATAAAACGAATGAAATACATTCTGAAATCAATTATATTTTTACCCAACCGCCAGTCCTGATGCTATTGACAAGCAAGGACAAACCCAGGGCATGCGGTGAACGACGACGAGCGCACGGACTCTTAACAGCAACCTCCGCCCGTCACCGTCGTTCTCAGTGTCGAGCAGCTGGGGCTGCTCTCTCGTGCCTAGCGGTCAGCATTGCCTTTCCGTCCTTCCTTTTTCTTCTTATCTCTCTTTCGTTCTCTTTTGTCCCGCCTTCATGTCGACACCACCATCTCCGGTGGCCCCAAACGCCAGCTTCAGGAGAAGGGAGCGTCCTCCAACACTAGAGATACATACCGGTTCCAGTCCATTGACCGGTGAAGTTGCCAATCGCGATGAACGCGACGATAGGTTTCTTGCCGATTCTTCTCGCACGGTCCAGGTTCGTCTCTTTCTTTCTCTTTTTTCTCATCCTTCATTAGCTTCTACCCTGACGTCTATCATAGCCCAGCGTCCTTGTGTCCCCAGCCCAGGAGCTGCCACCGATGGATACAGATTACCCCGCGTCTCGTTCCACTTCCACAACTTCCTCTCTGGACCCTTACTATTTCGGTCTCCAATCGGGCTCTGAGTCACCTTATCCTCCTCCTTTGCCAACTGCGCCGTCTCTGAGGGCCACTCCAGAGAGCAGACCTATCCCAGAACCCGTCACTCCTGCAAGGGATCCCGCCAACATCGATAGGCGAGGCTTGGTCGGCGTAGGAGAACTCGCTACTCCTCGATGGACGCGCAGCAATAGTGACAGCGAGGAGAAGATTTCTATTCCCGAGGCTCTTTTGGAAAATGAACCCTACCAGGTCGTCGAGGCGGCGGATGCCACAGAAGATGATGTACCAGACAGCCCATGGACAATTGAGGCCGTAGATGGCGAGTCTTCCGAAAAAGAAGATGTGCGTTATCACTCTTTTCTCCTCCCCAATGTTTTCTGACATTCAATCAGGTCGTCAATACGGCGCCAATCTCTCGCCCTCTCCGGGCGCGACCCTCAATAACTGAGGAGAGCGGAGGCGAAGAAATCCTGTACCCTCGAAAAGTAACTGCACCAGCACCAAAGCTTCCAAAGCCGACGTTTGGCGCCAGCTTCGCTGACGAGCTCTCACCCCAAGTGCCTGAGTTGTCCCTTTCTGAGTCTAGTTCCCCTCCTAGCGCCTTTTCACCTCCAATTCGTAGAGCGAAGAAGCGTAGTTCAGACGAGTTTGAGCTGGATCAGACAGGTTCTCTTGTGTCCAAGCATGTCGGCGCTTCGGGCTCGTCCAAGGCTAAGGAGGAGAAGCCGTCAACTCGTCGCCATCGTAGCCTCAATTCGGGGAACATTTCAACACGAGAATCAAAGACTAGAAAAAGAGAAAGCATCGGCCTTTCCACTGGTAGTAGCGTGAAGAGCACCCCTCCTGCGAAAGAGAAGCATACGCGACAAGCTTCCGCTAGTTCATCATCCTCGAGCCATACTGATGTACATCCGCGGCGTGTTCATACTACTGATTTCTCCCATCTTCCCCCATCGCCTTCCTCTTCGTCGATCCAGCTATTTCTTCGACAGGCGAGTAGCAATGGCCCGCATACGCCGCCTCTGGGTGCAACGCGAGAACCACATCTCTCACATAACTCTGCCAACGTTGCTCATTCGTTACTTCGAGGAACCCAGGAGGGTTGGTCGGGTATGGACGATGAGGCTACGGCTGAGGCATTACGCAAGCTGGATGGTTTGTCTGGGCGCAGTGCTCGGACAAGGGCAAGTGTCGGTAGCCTTGGTCGTCCTCTCAGTCTCAGTCGGCCTGGAAGCCGACCTGGGACTCCGGCCAAGACTGCCAACCAATGGGAAGGTGCTGGAGAGGGCAAACCTAACCGTACAGCAAGCACCGCGAAAGAAAGAGATCTAGCTCAACGTCAGCTTTTGGGCCTTGGCTTACATCCGCCAGAAGATTCCCTTCTTGATGTCGAACCCATTGGAAGTGCTATTAGCAGTGATGAGCAGCAACCTCCTTATCCCCACCTTGTGGAGAAGACGCCTAAAAAGAACGGTACTGGGAGTGCCCGATCCAGTTTCACACCCAAGCGTGGCTCTGCTTCGTCGACCACGTATGGGAGCACTCCGACAACCAGCTCACGGGATTCTGCACAGATGTCTGCGGCCACTAGTGCAACATCTGTTTCAGCCACTTCTTTGCGCAAGGCGCGTAGAAACAGCGCAGGCAGTGATATTTCCAGCGTACATTCAAGTGACGCCACTTCGCTCAAGGATCGTGTAGCGTCACTGGCCGTAAATGGTGATACTCAAGATGATGCCGACGTTCCTCCGGTGCCACCTTTACCGAAAGATTTGTTGTCTACTTACAGGTCACCACCTTCAACAGCTGCCGGTGTGAACTTCCCGTCTCCAGCTATTCCGGAAGACAAAGACAAACGGATCAGCCATGAGCACGCTGGTAGTGATCGACTCGAGATACCTAACGTGAATCCTTCATTAGAAGCGTCCCCGGTCCGACGGCAGAGCCAGCACAATTCAACAGGATACACGAGTAGCGCCGTGAATTCGGCTCCTGAATCGACCCCCGTTGTTCACAAGACGCCATCCAAGAAATGGAGTTTCTCTAATGCACTGAATCTCATGTCGGGCTCGCCTTCCTCCTCTAGCCATAGATCTAGCGGCTTCCCGCTCAGTCCTCGAGCCGTCACCTTCGGTCAGCAGATACGCAGATCCACTTCTAAGGATCAGGCGTTATCGCAGTCTGTACCTCCCAGCGCCCCTTGGTCCCCTACGCAACCGGACGCGATGGCTTCGGCCTCATCCCTCGCCTCTTTGTCGTCCATAGGGTCTGTGCGTACACCAGCACCGGCACCCCCGTCCAAGACTCAGACTCCCGAACGGGGTGCTGTTCCAAGCCGATCAGGTACAGATTCAAGCGCAAGCACAAGCCATACGTTCGCATTGGCCGCACCACAAGCGCCATTAAGTCCTTCTTCGTCTGTTCGACGCGGTCAATCCAAGCGACTCACGCCTTCTTCTATCCCCTTCTTCCGTAGGTCATCATCTCAGTCAATGCAGTTGCCCCCGTCGAATATCGTGACGTCCTCGTCTCCAACGCTCCCAGGCAATTCCACTATAATGCCGACCCCCAAGCATAGTACTTCTCCGGGTTTAGACTACAACCCTCCGTCAACCTCTGCTCATAAGAAGTCATCCATGTTGAGTTTAGGTCTTCCTTCATTACTGAAAGGGTCAAGTTCAAGGAAGAGTCTCCACAGCGATTCGAGAGAGTCTGTGAAAGATTCGCCTCGGAAGGACTCGGAGAAGGCGCGGTTAGAAAAGAAGAAGGAAGACAAGGAGCGGAGTGAGAGTAGGATCTCGGTGCTCATGGGTAGGAAGCGGGGCAAGGTACGTGAAATTTTACAGTCATTTGATTCCGTGGTGACCTTATGGCTGCTACTAGACAGTTTCCTCTACGGATCCCCGGAAACCGAAGTCCCCCGTTAACTTGCCACCAATGCAAATGTCAGCGCTAGAACCAGCAACGGCCCAGCGCGTTGCACGACTGAAAGCCTCCAACTCATCTTCAATGTCGACCCCAGCTCGTGGAACCTCATCTCGAGTGACTGCTCAAACTGTGAGCTCTATGCAGAAACAGTCTGATGCGTCGCTTCGCAGCCGAAATCAGCTACCTACCATTGCAGGGTCGCCTTCCGTGGGGAATGTGTCGAAGGACTCGAAAGAGCCTATTTCATCTTCATTGACGAACTCAATATTGGGATATCCCAAGGAGACCCCGACGAAGATCCCTCGCATATCCAGCCGAACCTCGGCGGCTCCGTCGCCACCTTTGAAAGGTTCAGTAACGCTATCTAATCGACGGGCGAGTATGACGGTTAATGCGACCCCCACCTCTGCTAACCCCTCCCCAACGGAGCTGAACGAATTTGGTGTAATGGATAGTACGCCGGGAGCTAGGACAGTAACCGGTTCAACGACCAAAGGTATCAGATCGTCCCCTTCTACACTATCAGCATCTCGCATGCCTCGTCAAGTATCTGGAAATGCATCATCGACTTCTGGTATCCTCCCGCGCAAGAGTAATCGTGACTCGATATCATTTACTGGACTTCGGAAAGCGTCTACCTCATCTGTGGCATCTCTCTCAGCGTCTGCAGCTGCAACTGCAACAGATGCATCAGCGTCTCACCATCATCACCGGTTCTCTGCGCTCTCGCCCTCCAAAGGCCTCAAGCTTCTCAGTCCGAAGATCTCACTCCCCACTGCCCGATCCTCGAATAGCACAAGCACGCACAACATACATCAGGCTATAGCATCTGCGTCATCGAGTCGGCAGTCGCTATCCACACCCTCTCCGGCGCCTAGTTCTGTCGATGAGGAGGAGCTTCTTGGGGACGAGGAAATGATGCATTACATCAAGCGACAGCAAGCGAAGAAGATAGCTAATGGTGCGACGCAGGAAGAATTGGATGAACTGCTTCGCTTTCCAGAACCTTTACCTCCGGGAAAGCCTTCTTCCCCCTCATGTGTGTATCTTCGTGTGTTCAGTCTCGCGTTTTGTCTAACATTCTTTGACTTCTAGCCATTATTAAAGGGTCTCAAGGTCAATATCTCTCTGAGTATGAGCGCAAAGAGATCCTGGATTTCCCTTCGGTGTACTGTATCGGCGCACGAAGTAAAAAGAAAATGGCAACTCCGGACAACTCTTCTAACAATTACGGCTACGACGACGAGCGGGGCGACTACCAGGTCGTCAATCACGATCATTTGGCATACCGGTATGAAGTTATCGACACGTTAGGGAAAGGTTCATTTGGACAGGTGCTTCACTGCCGCGATCACTGTTCTGGCGAGTCGGTCGCGATCAAGATCATTCGGAACAAGAAACGGTTTCACCACCAGGCACTAGTTGAGATCAAGATCTTGGACAACCTTCGTAAATGGGTTTGTCTTCTTCGTGATCGTTCATGTCAGGAGAACTCATCCCTCTGCAACAGGATGAGGACGAGAAACATCATGTCATTAAAATGACTGAACACTTCTATTTCCGCAATCATTTGTGTATCGCGATGGAACTCTTGAGTATCAATCTTTACGAGCTGATCAAGGCAAATGGTTTCGTGGGCTTCACTACGGCATTGATTCGACGTTTTACAAGTCAAATGCTGATGTCTCTGTCACTCATGCGACATCATCGCATCGTCCATTGCGACTTGAAGCCCGAGGCGAGCGCCGTTTCCGTCCGCTTTATCAACTTTTGACTGATGTATAAATGTCAGAATGTCCTACTGCGCCATCCTGCCAAGAGTGGTATCAAAGTAATCGACTTTGGAAGCAGCTGTTTTGAAACCGAGAAAAGTAAGCATCCTTTCTGCACACGTAGCAAGTTACTCAATTCACTTCTCAGTCTATACGTATATTCAGAGCCGATTCTATCGGTCACCAGAAGTGATTCTTGGTATGAACTATCACATGGCTATCGATATGTGGAGTCTGGGGTGCATTCTCGCCGAACTGTATACCGGGTTCCCTATTTTCCCAGGCGAGAATGAACAAGAGCAACTATTGTGTATCATGGAAGTGCTTGGCGTTCCGGATAAAGATTTTGTCAACAAGAGCTCTCGTAAAAAGCTTTTCTTTGGTCAGTTGATCGGTCTTTCGATGTCCGTGCTTGCTTGTTAACCCGATGAACCAATAGATCCGAGTGGTGCACCTCGCCTGGTCGTTAATTCCAAGGGACGCCGTCGTAGACCGGGATCAAAAACTCTGGCTCAAGTGCTACGGTGCAATGATGACGATTTCGTCGACTTCATCTCCAAATGTCTTGTTTGGGACCCCGAGCGGCGTATCAAACCAGCTTCAGCTTTACGACATCCTTTCGTCACCGGAGGTCGACGGCCTAAAGTACTAACATCAACTTCAAAGAGTACACTGTCTACGCCAAGTCTTAGCGGCCGTAGGAAGGATACGACAGAAACTCCCAAGAAATCTCTTATTAGCGCTCCGACACCTCTCACTGCACGATCATCACGAACTACTGGCAGTAACGCCGCACCGCCTACCCCGAGTAGCTCCTCTCATGCCTCGACACTCGGTACTTCAAGATCGTATCGAGCTTCTCAACCTCAGAGCCTTTCATCTTATCATTCGAGTCGTACCCTCAATGGATATGCTGTAAGTCTCCCAAGTTACACTTTTTCGCTTGCTGACTCGTCATTCTAAGACCGCCACTGCCAAATAACTTCTTATATTCTTTCTGTTCATGATGTGGAGTTTATTACTACGCTTTCTTAGATAAAATCATACTAAACACTAAGCTGGCTTTCCTTCATACCCTTGTGTTGCCGTATTCTCATCTACTTCGTTTGTTATCATGTTCTGCATAATCGTCGCACTGTTCTTGCAATCTACAATCTGGGCATCATTTTCTTCATGACACTTTATTGTATGATTCACACATTAAGTGTGAGCAAAGGACTTGATCGAGACTTTCAAGGGCGACCTAGGTTGTGGCTTTTCGCTTTCAGCCACTTGTCGCCCAACTCGTCAACCACTTGTCTCAAGGTGGATACCACTATTTCACGATCGTACCCGTTTCCTTCCAAATAGTACTTGATCTGTTGGAATAAAGGGTGTCACCGTTAATAAGATATGCCATCTGAAGAAAGCAGACCTTGGGTTCGGTTCCGCTCGTTCTATGAGTATATTAGCACCTACGAATAGCCAAGAATATCGAAGAATATACCGAATGGTCAACGCGATCTTGACACCTTTTTCTGTGTCCTCTGCTCTGAACTGTACCATGTGTCCAGAAGAAATCGGAAGAGACGGTTTGAAGGTCGGAGGATTTGAGCTATCATACCCAGTTGTCAAATCTACAACCCTCGTTACAGACAAACCTGCTATTTCCGTGGGGTACTTGGATGGAACCGAAGAAGTTTCCTGTTCATGAGCATGCAACTAATCGGTAATCTAAAGAGTACCGGCGCTTACGTTGAAATTACGCAGGTGAGCAAATATGGTGTCGATTGTGGGACCGTCGCTGCATATAAAATAGCTATTACTGGTCTGGAAAGAATTTAGGTTTACCACGACTTTCAAGGCACATGCTATTCGTACCACAAAATGGCCGTATCTACAAAAGGTTAATATCAGAGAGACATATAAAGAGCAGGTAAAGACTTTACTTCTTGTACAGATCATTAAGATACTGGCTGACCGTCTTCCGGCGGGCGATGAGGGACTCTACCAATTGAGCAAACACTAGCGTTGCTGCAACCCCATCCTTGTCTCTAATGTCGGGGCCAAACATATATCCGATAGCTTCCTCGTAACCGAAAGGCACCTCATAGCCTTGTTGTACAAGGTCCAAAGCGACGTTGCCGATATATTTGAAACCTCAAATTTCGGTAAGAGTGAAATTATCGTACTCTGTCGGTGATCCTAACTCACCTGTGAGGCATTCCACAAATTTAAAACCTTCGGCATTGCCCATAGCTTCTACCATCTTAGAGCTCACGGTTGACGCGACCATCGCTAGCTTGTCAAGGGGTTTCCCGCTATCGCGGTACGTTTCTAGTATGCGAGAGGCGAAAAGTACTCCCAGTTGATCTCCCGTAAAAGCAATCCATTCTCCCGTTGGTCTGAATACCGGATGTAATTAGCATGCTATATGCATGTGCAAATGTCCTTACTGTCGCTCAGCTGCAGCAAAGCGATCGGAATCCTGGCGAATTCTCAGTGAACGTTTTCAATATCGGATATAACGACACTGAGCTTACGGGATCTTGAGCAAGAACATAATTGATATTATTCTTGTCAGCAGTTTTCATCGCCAGATCCTGAAAAGGATCGGAGACGAAGTCCGACAGACAGCAAGCTAACTCACCAATGCTCCTATACGAGCCATAAGCATTACTTCTAGACCGTATGAGATACTCACCTTTCTCTTCGGGATTCGGGAATGCCACAGTGGAAAAATCTGGGTCTGCCACTTGTTGCTCTGGTACGTGGGTTGGTGGAACAAGGCCAAACAGTTTGAACGCCCTCGACACAAATGGTTCACTGACCCCATGCATCGATGTGTTCACGAAACGCACGGAAAAAGCGGCCCCCCCAGAACTGAAAGTGAAGGTTTCTTGTGAACTACCTTGCGCTGTAAAGATACAGAAAATACTAACAGTGAGATTTTCTGAGGAGCTAGACTTTCAAAGTAAGCATCTTTCATCTCGGCCGTCTTGTCGAGGCAGAGCTCAGAAGAGGTGACGCTCGCGACATCCCATGTCTTGGGTTCGAGATTAGCCTTGATGGATTCGGATATCCCAACATCATGAGGTGCGATAATCTATCCTTTGTTTGAAAAATCGTAGGAAACGATGTGTCCGAACGAACCTGCACCGCATTCTCCCAGTACACCTGTAATGAGGATCAATAAAAATTGTTTCCATCAACGGCTAAGCAGAGACCTTGTATCCATTATCTTGCTGTTCAGTTCATATATTGAGCCATTCTTGAGGTAGATAGAAAGATGTCACGGAACCTTTGGATTATGGCTGGCTGGAAATTTTATAAGTCAAGGTACAAAATCAATGATAAAGTGCGTACCAGTGATCATGACACCACAAGCAGCGTTCAACTTTTTAACACTGAAGGGCACCCTGTAGCGGAATGGTTGAGAGCTCTCCTTATAGAATAGATGAGACCTGGCCTTACATCGGGGTGTGAACCAAGCCTCGGTGAAGGTAAACTTTAACGTTGCTGTTTAAGAAAACAGCTGCCGTCAACTGTGCCCAATGTTCTGAATTATGACGGTGGTCATGCCCTATGACAACACCCCGCGAAGCAGCATCCCTAACATGGGAGAGAACGTATTGACACAATCCCTTGGACAGACTGTTATGAGAAGCATGTATAGGTTATCGACGAAGAGTACCTGAGACGCTTGGATGATAATAAGGTCTAAAACATATCTCGAATTTGTGAATTGTAGGTCCATGTGGGAGGATCCATCTTACCATTCATCCGGGACCACCCCGCCTCCATTCTTCCTCGTAAGCCTTTGCAAAGGATCGTAAGCTTGGATGTCTATCGATTTTGACGATTAAATTCGTGCCTGCTGTTCCAAATTCTATTCGTTTCCTGGAACCGATGGTCAATTTGGATCCACGAATACGTGCGTATTACCAGCCTCATTCTTTTCTCCAATTCTGCTTCGTTGCCTGTATCCCATAGCTTCTGGATCTCGTTTCGGGTAGTTTCATTCTGGACATAAATTCAGAGGTGTATCTTCCATGCAGAAGTAAACAAGGTACCTTGTCCATCCGCAGCCATTCCTTAACAAGATGGTCCATTTCTGATATATTTCAAGATGTTGAGGTATATTTATGAAGGGTGATGTCGTGGTTACAGGTCAAGATGTGTTAACGTAAAGGTCTCGACGTAAACTGCACCCGCTCTCGATCATCAAGTCTCGATCAGCGATGCTAAAAGGACCCTACAAGATTATATTATTCGGAAAGTCCAAGTGCGCAAAATCTGACTGTAAGGTCTTCGTTATCGTATCACACATATCCTCCGGAACTCCTAGTGACAGTTCTATACCTGTTTCCTCAGTATTTGACTTGAACACCCTTAGATAAAACTTCGATATGCCAGTAGTATAAAATCTAGATCCTCCAGGATAACCAAAGTGAACAGCACGCCAATCGAACCTGGCAGAGGTCCTCACATCAACGTTTCATTTTGAATCAGAGGATATAACTTACGATAAATTAGAATTCACGGATAGTACATTCGAATCGGAACCAAAGAAGAACTTCTTGTCTTCGTTCGCAGCACGTAGCATATGAAACCCAGCAACGGACATATAGCTCTCGATAAAGCTAGGAGACCTGGCTTCGAGAAGGGATCGTCGCACTTTTTGCGCGATGGAAAGAAACCCATCCGTTGGCATTATAGGGCAGGTAGGAATCTATATTACGGTTGAAAGCAATGACTGTATTGAGGTATGGAGGCACATACCACGTATATACAGTTTCCAGCAACATTTGCGTCAATAAATGGAGTCGCAACATTTCGATACTAGTTGAAATCAATGCAAAGTTACACAACGTCCATGAACATACACTAGCAGCATTGGTCACAGTCGATAGTTTGTGATGGCTGTAGCGACTAAGAATAGACACGATGTAGGACGTGAGGCAATCCTGCACAGATAAAGGGACAGAAGAGAGGCCGTTGGCGTGGTCGCGAATTAAAGATGCTTGCTCTTGGGTGACGTGCCAATCAACTCTTCTCATCGATTGATTCCGTTCAGCATATTTGTGGTATATTTCTGGAACAGGAAATATTCCAGTCAGATGCGGCATCATGGGCCCAAACCTCTGTAGGATATCTGTGTCTGGAGATGCAAATACATGTTTTCGGAATGATGGGGCGCGATACAACGGTTGCAATCCTTGATAGAGCTGGGACAATGTATGCATAAATCTCAAAAGACTTGTTGCATCCCCTAGAAGGAAATTCAGTTGCAGGTTGCTTGATGAGGGCGACATGACATATACCCAGTGCATGATGCCAACTTACGCCTATCGCGGTGTAAGTTTCGCAAACTGTGAGTTTCACCTGAAGCAGGAGAGTATGCGAGGACGCAGTAGCTTTGAAAAAGAAGCGGTCGAGGTCGTCCTGAATAACCCGCTTCGAGAGACCGAGCGGCCTATCGTCGTGTACGACTTCAACTGGTAACGGTCGGTTCACTAAACGGATTCTGAAACTAGCATCATTTTGAGAAGGATGAACTTTTTCAATAGAGCCGCAGCAGACACGATAGATGCCAAGGATGCTAGACAGGCTTCTACAGAATTGCCCTTCGTTGAGTTTTGCGCCGACTACATGTACGTTCTTGATCTTCAGGGAAAGGTCAGCCAAAGGGTGCCATTTCAGTGCACGTTGTACATACATATGTCATCCAGAGATCCTGGGAAGGCAGTTCGACGTACTCGTCCTGCATTTCATCGCTGCTTGATGGATGTACAGTAACAAACATGCTGAGAGGGAGATAAGCAGAAAGATAAGATAAAGTTGTATTGTCACAATATGTCACGTCACACGACATTCCTTTTCTCTGAATTTCGGTGAGCAAATTTCCTTCCATACTGTGAGTACGCGAACTCAGTACTTGCGGCTCTACAGAGGTACTCAGGATATGCGGCCGTCAGTTGCAAGATTGATTCGTCTTGTTCCTCGGTCGTCCGTCCAGCTCACGCAGAAGGTCGTCCCCTCGTCCGCCGAGCGACCCCCCGAAGTCAAGCCACCTACCGTCATCGACATCCTCCTCGAGCGAAAAGAAAAAGTCGGCGATAACTGGCCAAGTAACATTCGCATAGAGCCACCAATACCAAAGGTGGCATTGAAAGATGTCCAGTCCGGCGTGAGGACCCAATTGAAGAAGCTCTTGAAAGAGCGGTAGGACTCTGGTATGCTGTCGGTACAATGGTCGTGTAGAGTCTTGTCGTGCTGATTCAAGAACCAGGAATTCTCACCAAACCATCCAGGAGGAGCGATGGTCATTTTTGTACAAAACGACACCGTTCAATTTGCATCACGCACTGTATCCTCTTGATTATACACAAGGAATGAACATTATACTGATTCCCTGGCACAGACAAGATATTGTGTGAACTACATCTATGTAATTGCGAGTGATCGTAAACTTGTGGCGTTCGCAGAGATCAAGGTAAAAGAGCGGATGACAATGAATCTTGCAATGATTAGGCAATAAATAATCATGAGTATCAGTGAAGCGGAAGAAGAAAATGCAACGGAAGCGAGTCCCAACCAGCAACGTGCTACACACGGGTAGACGTGTCTTCATTATGGGCTCCAGCAGACGGGGGATTCAGTGTATTCAGTCGAGGCAGTCGAATTTTTAGTGAAGGTGTCCCTGGAGTGGCGGAGGAGCTAGGCATCGCGGACTGCGGAGGAGCAGAAATTGACCCGGGATGCGTAGGTGTACGGGCTGACTTCCTTCGGCTCTTCGAAGGTAAAGCTGATTTGTTAACCGCTTTCCCTTTAGGACCATGGTAAGTAGGGTCTCCATCGTCATCACCGTCCTCGTCCGCTCGCTGTCGCTTCCTACCTCGCTTAGGTTTCTCGGTAATGACAACGTCTTCGTCCTTGGCGGGCGGTCGTCGTATAGCTCTTGTGCGTGTGGCTTGGGTCTGCGCGGCTCACGTTAAAAATCAAAAAGAGAAAGAAGTCGAACCATGAGCATTACCTTAACGGTAGACCCGTTCGTCCTACTCAATGCGGACAAGCTCCCATCAGTGTCTTCCACCTGGTGACAGAAAATGTCAGGTGGAGAGATTTGGAGAATAATGGAACCGGCACCTTCACACGAACGGTCTTCGTAGCTTTCGGCGGGGCGATAGGATCTGGAAGTGGGTCCACTGAATCAACGACATCTTCGGGCAATCGACTGGAGCTCTGAAAATGCACATAAATGCTTGTATTATGACCATATCAAGGGCACTACCTTTGACGGAGCCCCATTCTTTGTCCTTGTAGACCGTAACTCCCGAGCGCTTGGGTCCGCAGTGACAGACGCTGACTTTTTCCGCTTAGCAGTAGATGCTGACGCACTTGCACCATTCACATTTCTCGGGATTTTCTGTCTGATTTTGAGCCTCTGAAGAAAGCTTTTTGACATGTCACTGCCTTACCTTTATGACACGAGGTCTACCAACAGCCCTGGGCTCACTCTTCCCGGTAATCTCTGGGCGTTTCAGGCTAGTCGAGGCGGAGGGCTGCGGATCGCTTCCCGTAGTTCCCAGCCGGAAGTCGCAAAGCATCTTAGAAAGAAGCATGAGATCTACGTGAACCCACCAATAGAAAAAACCTTTTCACCTGCGCTATTGCTATATCTTCGAGATGGGATGAATCAGGCCTCTCCTCAGGATCGTCCAAGGAGCTCAAAGACGTCAGCGGCGACGACATTCGAGAACTATCTTCTACATCTCTACAACGTTGTCAGTGCGGGTTTTCGGATGCAATTGCACATATGGCGTACCCCGAGGCGGCAGTTTTATTAACCTTACTCCAGAAATCCAACAAGATGATACGCTCGGGAACCCGATATCTTCGTCCGTTTATCAGAACTTCGTCCACGTTGACTTTGGAATGTGATATGGCTGTTGATGGAAGCTGAGACGGAATGACCTCTATATTGCCGTTGTTAAACTGCCTGGGCTTCGTGATTTCGATGGGAGGCGCATTGTGCTTCGGTATTCGATGTCGGGAAGGCTAAAAGAGTGTGAGATGTAGCAATAGTATGGTCGATGATGGACTGACAAGGATTCGTTCTGCATGATTAGGACACATCCACTTTTTAGTAAAAGGTGGCATTGTCGATAAAGGAGGATCCAAGCAATCTAGATGCCAGTGCAAATCACAGTAATCGCAAGAGACAATATGTTTCCACATCTCGTAGTGTGCACCTTTCGATGTGGATCTTCGAGCACGCTTTGCAGCTGGTGCAGCGGCCGCTACGTTGTCAGGAAGAGCAGAGGTGCCACAACGATGGCAGAGAACAGGAGCTCCGTTCCTGTCCTTTAATCGATAAGAATCGCGATCTTCTAATTGACCATGCCGACTGTAAACGAAGTTAGTACCCGTGAGGCGAGAACGACAAAACAGAACGCACTTGAGCCGTGGTGGTTTTAACTCTGAGCTATCAACGTAAGCCCCCCGGTCACCAGTTGCGACTAGGCGAAAAGTCACATTGCTGTAATTCATGACACGTAGATTTTGCTTACCGTCCTTAAAGAACGTTCGAACGTCGGCAGGGAGCTGGAATTCTGAGGGTATAGAGGTATCGACCAGATGGATAAGGGGAGATATAAGGGAAGCGGGTGGTTTTTTAGGTGGATCCTGAGTCCAGCGTCATGATAAAATGTTGAAAAAAAGATGGAAAATGCTTACCTTGCGAATGTTACATGCTGGACAAAACCATCTGCTATCACCCTCATCGACGCTCTCTATCGGCGGATCGAGACACCAGAGGTGAAAGGCCCTAGGACAGCCATCGCAGTACACGAGTTTGCCCAGCTGGCGACAGGCAGAGCAGTGGTCTTGGTTGGTCATCTAGGACGCAGTAATGCATAAGAGTAGAAAGAAAAAGAGAGCAAGAAGCACTCACAAGATGTCCTGGTTCAGGCGAAAGCAGAGATATCATGGGGGGCTCCTCCTTGACTCTGACAGCAGACGTCTCTATTTCCCTGCCCTTCCCTTTGTCCTTCCTCTTCAGCCTTCCATTCGTGCTCGTCGAAGGGAGGTCCTGCAAGTTTTGGGATGAAGCAGAACGGGACAACACGGGCATGTCGTCGTCGATTCCGGCCATGGGCCAATCCGCTCCCGGGGCCGATGGCGGCGAATGGGGCGGCGAGTGTGCTTGGACAGGCTCAGAAGGGTCGGTGGTGGGAGCACTGTTGTTGTTATTGTTGCGAGCAGATGCACGCTGGGCGCGGCCAGTGACAGCGCTGACAAAGTGACGAGGTGGTGGGTGGAGAAAGACAAGGAAGGGGGGTAAAACACGACGAAAAGAGTCAGCATAGGTCGTACAGCGAAATGAAAGCAGACAGACCTTTTATCCACCCTGACACGAGTCTTCAGGATGTCCATGGACTCCTGGCCTATCAAGGTGCCATGGACGATGCCAGAGTAGGTAGTGCCAGGATCATCGGGCCAGAGGGACGAGTACATTGTAGATGACTTCTTGTTCGTCATTGGCTGCTGGATATGGCCCAGAGGAGGCGGTCCTGGCAGAATTTCGGTCGCAAGAGAAGCATCTCCCTCGAGGTGAGGAGGCTGGCAGACGGGGACTCCTGGGGGCAGCACGTATGGTGGTATGCTCGCCGTCGATGCCATCTTTTGTACCAAAGATGCAAGAAAGGCCCTTTACAGGCCACGGCCGCACAGAGAAAACAGAACAGCCAATTTTTTTGTCGGACGACCACAGGGCGACCGGAGTACCAGAGTGTAAGTAGTCAAGATGTAAGGTGGCTCAGTCATGTTCCACTCCGGCATTTGTTACCACATTTTATCATTCAACATTTTTCTACTACAAAATGAACAGTAACAATCTACAACAGTGTAGTGACCTCCACGAAGTCTCCGCCTTCGCTAGGGGATCAAAAAAGGCGCTTATCCGAGCGATATCGGCGGCAAAAGGCTACCGTTTTCGTTCAGGCGCCGTAAATACGGAGGGAACAGCTTCATTGTACAGCGTTTTCATTCACTCAATGAGCGAGCTCACAGCCATGGAGAGTCAAGGCAGAAGAGTCGGCCTAGGAAATCAGTCAGATCGTAAGACGAACAGGAGGATAATATTTACCTCTGGGACCAGAATGACAGCCCGTAGTTACGCATACGATGGAAACAAACGAGATGCAATAGTCATCGTAGCACACTCGAAGGAAATCAGAGACCACAGAGAAAGATCATCCAGATCGGCATGGAGACCGCTCGGAGAGTATAATGACCAGAATAAATGCCCTATATGTAGCATACATCCAAGAAAAATACCAGAAAATCATTCAAAGGAACGCACCGAAAAGATATTTCGAGGACCAGTAGAAGGAAATAGAATGCCAAGGCCGCGGTGGAAGGAAGATACTTCCGCCCGTACAGCATATAAAAAAGCCAGTTGATTGCCGAGTATATTTTCATTTGTGCGCCAGGTATCTGTATCTGTTTAGCTGCGGTAGACTTATCATGATCAACAGTCCTAGCATCATCAAACGCAGTAGCAGTCGCAAATTAGAACGCCGTGGGTGTGTCATCGCGAGCATCGCTGATATTGAATATCGTAGGGGATCTTCCCATTTCCTGTTCATCGTTTGAAGACAAGAACACCAGCAGCCAAGTAAATATTCGGCGAGAAACACTGGCATCGCAATCCAACTAGAGGGCTGGCACACGCAGCACATGCATTTGTCTGCAGAGTCTAGTAAGAGCCGTCGACCAGGATAGACTTCCACCATCGCATTAGTTAAATCCTCGTAGCGAAGACTGAGCCTGGGATTGAGCACTGGGAGCAAGTCGATGGTGAGAGTAGAAAGCAAGGAATGAGTCGCCGGTTTCTGATTTGTTTACCGGTGATTAAACGTGCACGTACCGGCGTCGTATCATTGGCTCTCGTAGCTTGAACGGGTGAACGATTGTTCGTGCTAAACTCTTCATGTGACAGCCATTAGTTGCTTTCTTACCACCATAAAAAGGGCCAATGCATTCTCTTTCCTGGCACCCATCATGCTCGCTATCCTGAGCCGACTTTTTGTGCTCAGCGCTCTCTTTAACGTTCCTGCGTACTCAAAGAGCCCGTCGTTGAACATTCTCTTGACCAACGATGATAGCTGGGCGTCGGCGAACATCAGGTGCTGATTCATATCGAACTATCCACATCGCTTTTACTGATGGATCACAACAGAGCGACGTACTCTGCTCTCAAGGCAGACGGGCACAACGTTCTCTTGGTAGCGTGAGTACGTATTCGATGATACCACCCACGACAATCTGACACGTCAATATCAAGACCCGCGGTGCAACAGTCCGGACGAGGAGGCACCTTTGTTCTTCCGACCACCAACATAACAGCGCCCGGAGGCGAATTTGGTTCAATACCTGTCGGTGCGCCGTACTTTGGTCACGACGAGAATGACCAGAACCTGTGTATGTCATCTTCACATTGTGCAGCACATACATGCTGAAGAGATCCAGGGTATTTCAATGGAACGCCTGCGGCCTCAGCAGTTTTCGGCATTGATATCATCGCTCCTATGCGTTTTGGCGACAAGCCCATTGACCTCGTCGTCTCTGGTCCAAACGAGGGCAGCAACAACGGCCCATTCTTGTACACGCTTAGCGGGACCATCGGCGCGTCCTATGCGTCTGTTGAGCGAGGCGTACGTTGGACCCTAACTTTGTGACCACTAGTGTTGATGCATATCTAGATACCAGCAATAGCTATATCAGCAGGCAACGGCACTCATCGCTCCTTCACGACTAACACTGGTGCGAAGGATGATCCTGCGAACATCGCTGCTCAAGTAGCCTTTACCTTCGCGAGCTCCATTTACTTCGTCCTCATCAATGTTAACAGTTAATAGTCAACTTTGTCGCTGCTCTTACTCGCGGTATCGATCCCACACAAACGCGCCTCCTCCCTCTCGGAGTTGGCATTGGGTTTGTCCTTTGGTCTTTCCTGTTCCTTCCAGTCAAATGAACAGTCTTCCAGAATCAACATGCCCGTATTTGGACCAGGAAATCCTTGTGTAGCGGTAGGTCGTTTCCAATCGTCGCAACGACTATCCCTCCAACTTATATCCTCACAGCCCCCGTTTGTTTCAACACGTATGACCGGCGGTGCTGTCATTGACCGACTTTCGATTGATCCAACAACCGGATTTCCTGTATCCAACGACTTGTACGCTGTCTATGGCATTTACTCAGTCACCATTATTGAATATCTTTACTATAGGGTAGCTGACGGCCTCAACGTCATCTTGAATGGGAATCCCCAACTTCCTGGTATAAGGCATCCCTAGTGTTGTCTGAAAATACCGCTAAACAGTTTCTATAGGTGAAACACTAACCAGCGCAGAATGTAAGACCGCGGTAAGCGTGTACTCGGTGGACTACGATGCCCCTTCCGAGGTGGCGGCTCCCATCCAGAAACACCTTGCACCAATCTTCGGGAAAACGAAATTGGGTTAAGCGTACTTGCTTGAAGACCAGCGTGTACACTCTTATACAAACAAAGTGACTGAACATTTTTGGAATCATTGCCCGACCTTAGTACGAATCAATCTTGTTCAAGATTTCGGTTTTCATAATCTCGCCTTTGAACAAGGCGTAGGTATTGAACGATTTCCCAGTTGTAAGAGCAGGCCGCCTGGTGATAGTATCACAGATATCAGATTTATTGAATACGAAACAGTTAATGACACCGGAACGCCATATAGATGTACATGAGGGATAGTGACTACTATTCTTCGGCCTGTGTAGCCGTCGACACTGGGGACAAGTCGACCTTATACAAGTCGCTACAAACACCATGAGAACGTAAAGTCTAGACAGTCGCTGGTCAGCATAGGTATGAGATTGAAGAAGGCGATCCCCTTATCCAAGTCCTTGAGTATGCGTCCATATGCGTTGATCATTGCCGTGATATGGTTAGTCTCAAGATGTATGAGTGTCAACTTGTGGACAACGTCCAATACGTTAGTATCAGGGGGCCGTTCTCAAACAAAGTGGCAAAAATGGGTTACGTCTTTGGCAAACTCTGGGCACCGGGTCACACTGCTGGGATCCAAGGGAATGAAAGAGCTGATGGCTGGCCAAAGAGGCAGTGGAGCTCGAAGCTAAGGTTGCAGGGAGTAGATCGAATGCTCTCCGGAGGTCGAAAGAGAAGCTGAAAAGAGAATGGACAAGGGCGTGGAAAAACAGCCCAAAAACTGGCTTCTTCGCATCCTCTAACCGTATAGCACCATTATAGCCACACGCACCCTTGCAAAAGGCAGGTCACGTGCTGTTTCGATGGCGTTTTGCGGACTTGGACGCGAGAAATCAATGTCCTGCCCCTTTCGTTTTCATCCCTCCCAGCTCCCTGCATACAAACCTGCAAACTTTATCCGTGATTGACCGAATGTGAGTCACATGGTTTAGTTTGATCTTGTTTGTGGTTTTTTTTTTTTTTAAAATCTATATTTCGAAACCGCAACCCGTAATCTATGTACAGAGACGCGGCGGCGCTTGCTCATAGCCAGCCCCAGTAGCTACTGTAGGTACACAAGGGGATTTTCAGACCTTTAATGGTATAGATTTCTCGTGTCTTTATGTGTTGAGTCCTTGGTATCCAGGGGTCTTGTTTGTGTAATCGGTCGCTAACACTCTCCTTCCCTAACACCAACCCAAAGAAACTTGCGGCCTTTCCAGGCCCTTGCCTTTCGACAAACCACCCAAATACTTGTCAGTATCTGGGTGTCCTCTTATTTAGTCATCCCATCAGATACGTAGCCAGACAATCTAACTTATCAAGTCATTGGTAGCTCAGCTCGGAGATTTCCGTGAGTGGCTCAGTCAGCTCGGCGGCTCGAGCCGAAGCTGCGGCAACACTACTCGTGACCAACCATGCATCGCCATGTGGCTGTGCTCATTATGTCCCTTGATCTCGTGACGTAAGCGATGGCGAGACTGACAAGCACAAGGTAACAACTCTCTCTTGACGTCGACCAGGACTGCAGCGTTCCCCTTTTATGACTCTTCCAGCTGAACTGACTTCCCTCATTCTCTCCGACCTCTGGGCCATCCAATCTTCTACTGATGAACACACCCAAACTTTCGCAAATTGCTCTCTTGTATCCAAACAATGGACAGCTATCATGAAGGAGGTGAATTCCACCCACACCGTCATTCCCTTCTCCTATAATGCAGGTCAACTGTATACTATCCGGTCCATGTCTTCAATGTCCAATCCACTGCTCTGCCGTACCATAACACTCAGGGTGGATTATGTGATCATGCCCCAGCTCCTTCTGAAGGCTAGATGCAGTCCCTCCATTGCGGCTAACAATGGAATAGAGTTGATTCTTCGGAAGCTATTCTATGGCCCGAATGCACCTCGAAATGCTACCCATATTTACATAGATTATCTCGACGATCCCCAGGTCCACATCCCTCTCTTCTGGATTCCTCGACAGATCGCAAAGCTGACTATCATATACCACTACCGACGCTGGGTGCCCTTTGGTTTCCGAGACGAATGCCCCTTTCGTTGTCAATGCAATCATCCAATGGTTGACCGGGGAGTCAGACAGCTCTGTATTATGGGATCCACGTCAGTGATAGCCCACCGACTCATAACCCCTCTCACGGAATGGAAATGTCTAACTTCGCTGATTACCGCTGTCCGAGTTAGTCCAGCTGCTATTCCGGTCCCCTTGCGAGACTCCTTGACGCAGACGAGCTATGATTATAGAAGACAGTATGTAGGGCCGGAATTTGCCCCTCGTGTTATGTTTGGCGAACGGTTGGACTGGTCGTCTTTTCAAACGAGCAAGTGGTACCCAAGTATGTTGTTGTATGTCTTTGCAATCCGACTAAATACTCAGCTCATCTCTAGTTGACTTAAGTTACTACAAATACTATATTCCCATGCTAGAACAGGTCATTCCACTGGGCTCTGTGGGATACATTGATCCTTTAACCAGGAAGTTCGTCGTATTGTTCAATGCCATCGATCCTACGACGTCGAATGACCTACGAATTCCTTCCATCCCGTCTATCCTCGAGATGGGTGGGACAAAAGTGATTGAGGATCCCTGGTATTCCTCGGCGTGGGATTATGCGTATAACAAGTTCGATATCCTGCACAAGCTTGGAGCTTGGACCAAGGGAAGATCGTTCGTGTTCCTTTGCCTTTAGCATCTATGTGTTGCTGACGGAAGCAGAGTATACAGTATCCCTCTGGGACTTGACATGGATAAGACGCTCTGTCTCGGTCTTGGACGTGCATTTCGTCGGGACTTTGAAGGCAACCAGTTCAAGAATTGGTTGACCGAGCACCGACAAATCATTATGGACGTGTTTGGAGACGACCATCCCTATATCCGAAAGCGCGTAGACCTTGGTAAGGGTATCTTCATGCCACGAATTATGAACTTTTTGCTGACTCGGATGTTACTATCTTTCAGTGACAACCACGGTAGACTCTTCGCAATATGTTTGGTTTGCCCATCTCGGACACAAGCTACACGTGGAGACCGGAAGCAGCGAAGAGGTAAATGCACTTGTCATTATCCTGATAGCGTCACTGCTAACCACTCTTACACTCCTACTTTCAACTTGACCCTCAGGCATTGCGTAAGCCTGGAAGACTATGGGGGGAGGTCAAAGTACCTCAGCGTTATACTCATCCCACACAGGTTTTAGTTTCATGGGAGCACATCTCCACCGTAGGCCAGACACCAATGACTGTCAAGATTCGTTGCTATTCTGTCGTGTAGTTCCAGGGTGAACAATGATTTCTGAGAGAAAGTCGATCTGTGCCGATACCCATGAACGAAAACGGTTTATCCTCTTTTGCTACTTCTGTATTTATATCCTCCAGCTGTATTCAATTACTTAATTGCTTCAATTATTTTGCTCTATTAGCCAACTAGCGCGCGCTTGTTGGGCAAAATAAGTCAGTCTCGTCATCCTCGCGAGTCGTACAGGCCGGTCTAGAACATAAATCTCATAACCTGATAGCCCGTGAACCTATACCAACACACGCGATATCAATACTATCATAGGTGGTAAGGTAATCATAGAGCATAAAGAATAGTACACACCCTCAGTCAGACCACCAGAGAGTAGTGTGCCACTGGTGGAGACGAGTCATCATTACGATTGAGGTATATTATTTATTTACTCATTACTTTACTTAATTACTTACTCCTGATGTAGTATCTTATTTAGACTTCGTCAACTGGTATTCTCAAATTGTGTGTCTTGAATTTCCAGCGCTGAGCGGTCAGCTTTCACGTAATATCATTGTGACGTCTGCAAAGTCAGAGTACCGCAGTCACAGTGGCACTGCTGGATAGTGGCTGTGCCTCGCATCATCCGAGTCAACGCGTCGTTTTAAACTGTTGACCTCCACTCAAAAATCATCCTAGACCACACTGGTAGGTCTCATGAAACTTCCCCTTCTTTCCTTTTCTGTTCTCTTATCATGCAATAGATTTTTCACGACCAACCCACAAGTATCAGTAGTAAGTCCCGACATCAATCTGTAGCACGCACACCCAACAGCGGCAATGTTTTTGCGTTCTGATGACTAGACATTATCTGCTGATTTCATGGTGGAGGTATCCATCATCATGGTCTCCGCTAGAAGGGTGTACCATGTATTGTATATTGCAGCATCTCAGCGGGCGTCGTCAAGTTTATCGCCGCTGGCCTGTTTCCACCACTATGTTAAAAGAGCATGACTTGGGCCGACACGATAGCCTCCCATATACCAACGTTAATGCTCGCTCCTGTGGGTCCCCACTATCCATATTATAGTGATCCTATCACAGATCCAGCTGAGTGCTTCTGCATCAACTGGGTCTTTAAAATAACCTCGTGGTAGTGCCAGAGCACATCCTCAAAGAACTGGCGCTTCTCGTAACACAATACACTGACAAAGACCTACCAACTATCAGCATTTGTCGCACCTGGTCTTGTAGCTACTCGGTGTTGGGAAGGCTTATGCACGCTGTAAATGTCTGGAGTCGAAGTGTCAGAATCAGCTAGTCCTAGATGATGTACGACATCCATATCCTCGCCAATCCGCCTGTAAAGTCATGACTTTACAGCCACCTCACGTGCCGCCAACACGTCCAAACACGCCAGAGGGAAGGGAGCATGTCTCAGCGCGCTCTTTATAAAGAGCCAAAAATGGCTCACTTTCTTTCCTTCCCTCCTTCCACATGCTCTCCTATCCACTACTCTACTACGTTCTTTTCATATCAACCTTTGGCCCTTCTATAACACAAATACAACAGAAGCCTGAATCTCTAACCCCGGCCCCAGCCTGTGTCATGTCCTCCTCGCCCACGCAGCCTTTTGGTACTGCTTCACGCTACCACCAGTGCGTAATTGCCTTTCACTTTTCTTGTTCTGCTTTTTTGGCTAACTCGCCCAATAGCTCCACAACAACTGCGCTCAGCGGTAGTCCCGGAGAGAACTCTGGTTAGTACCGATGTCATGTCTCTCTTATCTCTTAATCAATCACCCATTTTCCTACAGGGATTCTGACCCCCCTCTCCGTTACCGGTTCGAGTGCACAGGCATCGCTACGGGAAGGGATTCTCTTACCTGCCCATTTAACACCAGTTTTCTCTGGCCTCCAGCCGACCTCTACACTTGGAAACAGCTCCGTTTCTCCCATCATAGGCACGCCAGCCTTCATAACCACTCCCGCCTTGTCAGTAGCCACCTTTTCGGAGGAGCGCACCACTTCTTCGAAACAGTTAAGGATCGCCTTCATCATCCTTGGACTCATATCTGCCCTCCTAGCGTTACGGATGTTTTGGCGGTATATGCAGCATATATCCGACACCTGCAAGCAGTATGACGAAGAGCTCTGTAGGGTGTGCAAGTCTCTTTGTGGGGCGTGCAGGCAGTGGGGGAGGTCGTTGGGGGCGGTGTGCCTACCTCAAGCCGCTGTGTTCATGTTTTTACCTGATGAATGGAAGAAACAAGTATGTGGCCCAGTCATGTATACAACATCACACTCATGATCTCTAGTTCAGCCCATCGGAACTGGCAACTTACCAAGTTCTCCTCGGCTGGAATATCTTGCTTTCCCTCCTCCCACTACTTGCCATGGTGTTCGACCGCAGTTGGAAAACAATCTTACTTTCGTTCAGCGGATCTTTCATATATCTTTTTTCGGCGATCCTGAAAATCCTGGTGCGTGAATTCCTAGAACCGTTGATATGAGATGTCCCGCGGCAACTATAGTCTTTACAGACGCGTAGGACTTCTGCTGAAGTGGGTTCTAGACGCCTCGAAAGGCAAGTGCATTTAATCGGTATTATGAGGTTCATATTATTAACAGTGAAATATAGTGCGTATCGAATATATACCCAGGATGCATCCTATTACCGTCAGCTCGCTGAGGCCCGTTTTGTTAATGCGTATTGGCATTGCCTTGAAGCTGCGGTAACCATTGATGAAACCGACGATGAAATGGTGGACACGGTGGTAGACCCCACTGTTGATGCAACGGTCGACATAACGGAGGCTAGGCCGGCTCGCATAACAATGACCTGTAACGACGAACCGTCATCCAGCCCAGAACCGAACATAAAAAATTATGTGAGTGAGCGCTAATTCATAATTGATACTATTGGTTTAACCTTCAATTGTCCAAAGTTCACAGAATTCAGTGCAATATATGTTGTTGTTGTCTTATTAGGTATACCGATCCTAATCGGGCTGGGAGCACTGGTCTCTTCTTTGGAGGAGCCGTCGACATCCTACCTTTTCTCGGCGGCTGTTATCGCTGATAGGATCCTCGAGGTAGCTGCAAAAATCATGGTGAGTGCGCATTGTGTAATGAAAACATCTCGTCTAATTATCAAAAGGCGGCTCAAGTATCTGCAGAGGTAGCACATTATAATGCCGGAAAGCTCGAGCTACGTCCAAACTCGCGAGTCCACGAAGTGCACAATCTGCGAAGTGTCGAAAAACTACAGAACAAGCTACCTTCATGGTGAATAGCTACTAGTCACCATGTAAAACGGCACATAGACTAAATTTTTTGCAGGTACGCACAATTGGTCCGCGGATACAGATCCATCAGCTGGCGTTGGAGGATCATATTCATTTTCACAGACGATGAGGTGCTGAAATTGTGCCAACCAACGCGCAGGCTTCGTCGTAAGACCAGACCTTCTGGTTCGGGAGCATAAATGCTACTAAGGACAGTTGACGTCGCTCTCTTTACTTTATTTCTACCTACTATACCATACTATACTTGGCTAGAATATGATACTGTAACCGTGCATGGTGATTCATGGCTATTCCTTGGCTGGATCGGCCATACCCTCTACCCTCGAACATCTCCCTTGCCTTCTCATCCCTGACCACAGCATACACCCTGATCGTCACATTTGCCACCACATACATAGTCATATGCATGCTCAAGAGCTCCATCTTCTTGAGGTACTTGGTATTCAGATTCGGCCGATGGCGCACAACTAGAGTGTCGCGTGATAGAAGTTACATATCAAATCGAAACGACGAAAAGGAGAGCAGCATTCTCAGCTCAGTAATTCATAGCAACACTTGCAAGGATCGTGCTGTGCAACAAATCAGCTTCAAAGAGGTAGACGGAGGTAACCAATCCCATCTTAAAAGCAAGTACAATCGATAGGCTGTAACACGTTACATATACATACACGTCTAACATAGTGTATTAATCTACCTCCAAAACTGTACCGCGCTGTACGCTCCCCCAGCCTGAGATATATGTCAGAAACAATCGAAACATTATAGCAGGCAACTACTTACCAACCAGTCTCCAGTGTTTCTCGATTCTCCTTGAAAGTGCAACCTTCTCACCTATTTCCGTACAGGCGGGAGAAGTCAACTGGATCTTAGCCAAGTCAGCTTTGACGCTGAGAACTCGGCCACCCGTGGAGGTTGATCCGATGTTAATCAAGAGCAATTCACTCTTGACGAGTTTCGCAACTTTCGTCTGCTTCTTATCCTCCGTTTTGACACCCAAAAGACGACGAAGCAAGAAGAGACTGATTTCAAGCTCTGACAAAATTCGTTGGAAATAGTGCGAGTCACGTAACGCTTAGCAAGCTTACCTGTAAAAATCTTGGGCAACTTTCCAACCGCACCCAAAACCTGCCCCACAAGACGATCCGCTCTGCAAAGCGTCGGGTCTATTCTCGTGCCGACACCAATGAGCCCGCCTGGAACAGCAAATTGCAACAAGTTGTTTTCAGCGTGCAACGACATAATCCGGCTGAAGATAGGCTGGCACTTGTTACGCCCTGCGTTGTCCTTGGTTACAATACCAGGTCGAATTTCTACTTCTTGACCAAGACGAAGAACACCGGTGAGAATTGATCCTCCGGCAACACCACCTTTGAGATCGTCTACTTCTGACCCTGGCTTGTTCACGTCAAAGGACCGGATAACAATAAGTCTTGGGTCTGAGGTAAAATCGCGAATGGGAATTGGGATACGCTTCACGATGTACTCGTTGACGGCGTCAATGTTGTATTTCAGCTGGGCGGATATAGGCACGATGGGTGACGATTCAGCGACAGTGCCTGTATTTCGTTGTTAGTGAGATATAGTGTATGGCAAGAAAATCATACCTTTGACAAAGGCAGCGATACTCTTTTGGTGCTCTAGGGCTTGGGCCTCCTTGATCAAATCGACCTTGTTTTGCAAGATGATGATGTTCTCTAATTTCATGATTTCGACTGCCGCAAGGTGCTCGGAAGTTTGTGGTTGAGGACAAGTTTCGTTACCCGCGACCAATAACAGGGCGGCGTCCATGACTGCAGCACCGTTCAACATGGTAGCCATGAGAATGTCGTGTCCAGGACAATCAACGAAAGAAACATGTCGGATGAGTTTCATCCGATGGCCGCATCCTGGTCGTTCACAAGGAGGGTTGTCCTCTTTGTCGGATTTGTACGAGCGGTAACATCCGGGTCGCGGGCAAGCGTCGTTTTCACATTTGTATATCTATGCATGATGAATGACTTCAGTCAACAGAACGGGCATGTTGCGCACTTTGGCGTTGGCATAACCGAGCTTGATGGTAATATTCCGCACTAGTTCGTTCTTGAACCTGACAGTCTGAACACCGGAGATGGCCTTCACAACTGTCGATTTTCCGTGGGCGACATGGCCGATGGTACCTGTGGTCCCTCAATCAGATAGCCCGTATTGAGCAAGACGATCGTGCATACCCAAGTTTATTGTAGCCTACATAAAAATGAGTCAAAATGCATAGCACTAAGAGAGACTTCTTCTTCATACCTGTTTTGATATTACCTCCGGTGACAGAGGAGTGAGTTTTGAAGGGTCGACCTCGATTTTGGGAATCGCGTCTACGACATCGTCATCCTCGGCATCCGAGTCAGAGTCTTCTTGATGCTTTTGCAGCATTTCGTCACCTGGCATTGTGAATTGTTGCTGCGGGTAAGGAGGATGATGGGCGTAAGGAGCAAGAGCAATCTGAGAGTGACTCGAAGTCTGAGTGTCGAAATAAATGGATCGAAGAAATTGAACGGAAAATTGGCCAAGATTAGTAGAAATAATTAAAATAATTAAATAAAATCCACGTGCCCGTCTTAGCACCCGTTTCGGTTGCACTTGGACTCTTCATCATGCGTCCACCATCCCCGTCCATACCAGAGAAAGAGTTTGCCTACGAGGCGCTCAAGCAATCCTTGCGTCTAGATGGCCGCTTGCCTCTTGAACTACGAGCTCCCAAGCTGACGTATGGTTCTGAGCTGGGCTACGTCGAGTGTGCTCTGGGAAAGACACGGTGAGCCACTAGCATTACGCTTGCTTCCATTGTTCATATTTTTCTCGCCGTAGAGTCATAGCAAACGTTGATGCAAAAATGGTCAAGCCTCTGCCTGAACGGCCATTTGAAGGGCTTCTGACCATCCATTCGGAAATCTCACCGATGGCCTCCAGCGAGTATGAACTTGGTCGGTAGGTGCGTATCTTTCGAATTGGCTTCACGCTGTATCTAACGATTTCTTAGACCTTCAGAGGAAGAGATCACTATAACTCGAATGCTGGACAAGGTGCTCAGACGGAGCGATGCCATCGACAAGGAATCGCTTTGCATCCTTGCCGGGCAGAGAGTGAGTTGCATCTTTATCAGCCTTCAGATTCCTAATCTTCGTCCTATGTTCCTCTTGATAGGTCTGGCACCTTCGATTGACGCTGCATTTTTTGTCAGATGCAGGAAATCTGCTTGATTGCGCATGTCTAGCAGGCATTGTCGCTCTTAAACAGTTCCGGCGGCCCGAGGTTGAAGTCGTCGGAGACGAAGTCACCGTGGTATGCCTTTTCTTCCCTTTTCAAGCATCCGCGGTTCCTTATCATCGTTTTTCCAGCATTTGCCGTCTGAGCGGGCTCCAGTACCCCTTGCTATCCATCACACGCCCTTCTGCCTCACCTTTGCCTTCTTTCCCGATGAGACCACTCATCCAGTTTTAGACCCCACACTTCTAGAACAACGATTGAGTGCAGGCTTGATGTCTGTCGCATTGAATGCACAACGAGAATTGTGCGTCGTTCAAAAGATGGGCGGCGTCCCTTTGGCTGCAGAGGATGTGTTGAAGATCATCAACATCGCTGTAACGAAGGTCAAGGAGCTGGATGCCTTTGTTGAGGGCAGTCTTAGGGAAGATTGGAAAGGCCGGCATGTTGAAGTCAGATGATAGTGAGCAGCACACACAACTTGCCTTCTCAATTCTCACACAATTCTTCCTTCAGATACTATTGGAAACTGTTTTCTGTTCCCGCCTTGCCGATAATTTCTCCCATGTAAAACCCGGGCATTGTGTGATTCTTATGCATCGTGTTGATGCCCAGACAATGGTACGTACGCTACCAGACCGTTTGTCGGTGTACTGACCGGCTATTGTTCCTAGAGGTCACTGAATGGTCAATTAAAAGTAGTTATCTGTATAAAACGGTACGAGTTTCTTTACTGCGGCCCAGCGCGATTGACTGAAGAACAAGTCGCAGAATCCCGTCTTTATGCCTCAAAATAGAAATGCCGTCATATGACATAATGTATTTACGTGCAAATAGCCAGATTCCGCCGAAGTTGCCGAAAACATTTTCGGCAAATCCGACGACGCGCCTCTCGCAGAACAAGGCCAGTGCCAGCGCCGCCCACCTCAAAATCCAGCGACACCGTCCTCAATTCCAAGCCGCTTTTAATTTCTCTCTCTCCTCTCACCCTCAATGCTATGGGCCGCCCGCAACCGCCGTTGCCGTCCAGCAGGAACCGCAACCGCATTACCAACAAAAGTCGCCTCAAAATCGTGCGCGGGGATGTGGCATTGGAACCAGTCATACTTGATGAGGACGAGGAGAAGAACCGTTTGCTGCAGAGCGTCGCAGGCGTTGACCAAGACGATGCAAATGTGAGTTGTCGCTCTTAGCCAATCAGATGCTGCCATGTCTCCTAGTGGCGGTGGCAGTGTTATCCACGGTTCAGCTTACTCATCCCCCCGTTCTAGGAGCACCACTTGCAACAAGTCCTCTCTGCGGCATCCTTTCGCTCTCAAGCAGTGCGAAGCGCAGAAGTTGACAAATCTCAGAGCTCATCGTCAGTGTTCATCCCGACACCTGATTCCACCGGTATCGTCGACAACTATGAAAGCTTATATCCCGCAAACCGATGGTCTGATCCTGTACCATATATCTTCTCATCCCTTACAGTGGAAGAATGCATCTCTGGTGCGCTCGCACACGGAGCTACGTACTATATGGATGAGAAAGACGAGGAGTGGGTTAGCAAAAATAACGAGGAAGCCCGCGGGGTGGGCACTAGCAGCCAAGCAGCGCTCAGCTCAGGTACACGAACTTCAGCGCGCAGTACCAAGGCGAAGGGAAAGGACTCTGACAACAATTCTCCAATTGAGATATCCGAGGATCAGTTTGAGCTTGTGATGGGTTTGTTCGAGCTGATCACTCATGAAGAAACGGAGTATCTGCATCATGTTCGTATACCCTTATCTAGGTCACCGCTGCATTCTCAACCCCTCCGACAGAGTCTTAGCGGCGGCATGCCTTTCCCGGATTTCTCAAATTACCAAGATACTTTTGCGAATGAACTTTCACCAGCTCATTTTTCAGCGTTCAAAGTTCCTTCTTGGGTGCCACCGCCTTCCCAGTTACTGCGTATCGCGCGATTGGTCTATCCTCATTGGAAGGAGCGTCGCCTTGATCGTGGAGGCCTCAGAATTACGCCTACTCTCAATGTATGTCTGCCATTCTGATCTAAATTGCAACGTCGACTGACGAAGTTATAGTTTGATGAACAGGATACTTTGAACGAATCGTATGTCTGCTTCCGTCAGCGTGAAGTGAAAGCTGTCCGCAAGACGCGCGCTTCACAAGTTAACTCTTCCGACAAACTTGCTTCCCTGAGCAAGCAGCTGGCAGATCCCTTGGATATAGCGAATCGCGTTTTGGAACGAGAAAAACACAAGATGGCCTCTATTCAGCTGCATAAGACGGTTTGGGAACGAAGACTTGCTCTGGTTGAGCTAAAGCGCAAGAACCCAACTCTGGGGGATAGGACCGATACGGAATTGCTAGTCGATAAGGAGAAGCCTGTCAAGAAGCCTGATCCGTCAGTATTCCACTGCCTGTGTTCTTTTCACCTCATCAATTATTATACACAGACGTCCACCTCGTGTTTCTACTACGAAACGGGAGTCAATCGCGCCGTCTCCGATTATACGTGCCGAACCGGCTATACGCCCAAGCAAGCGGTTATGTATTCTATCCGAAGAAATTGAATCAGCTATGCAAAGAGTGAGGACGAATAATGTCGCCCAAAACATGGAAGACGTGATTGAGGTCGGTAGTTCTGTCATCCCAGCTATGATATTCTGACGCCTTTTAGAATCCTCACTATGCACCTCTGCCATCTTACGCTTCGCGTCTGTTCAAGTTTATGCCACCTTCAAATGGGTCGTCTTCTACGCTGGTTGCAGCGACAGCATCGGATTCAGACTCAGAAGCAGGCCCATCTACAAGCAGACAGTCGATGCCTATTCGTCTACGTACTGGTCGCGGTGGACGAATGCATGTGGATCGCCGTGGCGTTCACCGAAGAAATTATCAACCCAGCCGTCCTGACAATGACATGGAAATAGAAGAAGATAGAAGGATGGAGGAACGGTGGCGTTTCGATGCAGGACGACGAGCCTATGGTGCCTGCAGGAGGAAGTGATGAGCAAGATCGTACCCTTGTCGATGACTACGACATCAAGTGAGTATCTGTGTCTCCAAGTCAAGCAAATCCTAACGAATTTTCTCTTGTGTAGATACCTACGCCACTCAATGCGAATCATGGCTGAAGTTGATCCGGCTGTCATGAACGACCCATCCATCATAGTTCATAGGGAAGGTACGAGGGAGATGGTCTTTCCATTCCGACTCGGCATTCCCGTGAACGTCGCTGTTCGTCCCCCAATCCAGCCGCCGCGCCCTCCACCGATTTCAGCTCCTATTGCAATACAGCAGGCACCTCAAGCTGCTGTCGCAAATAACTCCAGGTTGTCCTCCACCATCCAGTCTCATGCCACCACTCCCACTCCCACGCCAACAACCGCCAACGGTGGCGGTCGTGCTGCCATTACCATGCCGCATATTGATACCTCAAAGGGTGATGTTCAAGATGGGCGGACCGTCAACGGTCTGAGTTTACAGCAGCTTCAGCAGTTGAAGTCAGCATTCGCGACGACCAGTCCCGAGATGGCGAAGTACATTCCTCCCGTCATGAGACCACAATGGACGAATCTGGCAACCGCTGTACCTCAGAACGGTGACACTGCAGCCACAGACGTGCGAAATGGTTCACGCACGCCTGTCCTGCCTGTCACGACTCAGAGCTATTAGTTGACTTTCGTTATCTTCTAACCATTTTCGCCCTTCTGTTACTTATTGAAGTTAAGATTATATTACACCCCCCTTCTCAGTCGAAAGTATCTTTGCAATGGTGTATTTTTACTACATAAATTAGGTAGGGGATGTGTTCAGTGCCCCTTTTTTTGAAGGGCGGTTCTCTTTGGACGTGTATATGTTTGAAAACGTAGAGTAGACTTTGATTATGCAAAATAAGACAATGTTGTATGCGAATATGTACACGATGATACCTTTCGCTTGTACGATACCTTTGCTCGGAAGAGCGCCTTCTATCCCACATTCATATCATCCTCTGGAATAATGTCTGAGGGCACGTCAGGCCGCTCTCGTTCCTTGCCTTTCTGAGAATGACTGCTACTGGAATATTTCTCCGTCATGGATTTGAGCATGCTTTTCCATTCCTCATCAGACATCTTCGGACCTCCTGCCGTGGTCGCCTCCAGAGCCATGCCAAGAAGCTCAAGGACTTGATGGTTCACCGGGTCAATGCTGAGGGACTGCATTGAAAGAAAAGATTCGTCAATACATGTAAAGGAGCGAAGGAGAAAACATCCTACTTCGTGATAGATCTCGATGGCTTTGTCGACATTGCCAAGGAGATGGTGTACCATGCCCATGAATCCCAAAGCGACTGAATTGTGAGGATCCAAATCGAGTACCTGTTGATACGCCACTTTGGCATCATTGAAACGCCTTCAAGTTGCGTCAGACGAATTCTCCAGGACAACCACTCGACTACACACCTTAGTTTACGATAAGCAGTCCCCAGATTCAGATAGGTAGATATCCAATTGATACGGGAACCCTGTGTCACTTCGGCAAGCTTCAAGGCCTGCTGGAATAGACCGGCGGCATCATCATACCTGGCCAAGGTCAAGAAAGATATCGATCACGAAAGAAATCACTCACTTCCCCTGACTGAACGCCAGCACACCCAGCTCGTTTATCAGCAAAGGGTCGGTATCACACATGTGCCTTGCAGCGGACAGAGACTCCTCCGCCAAGCTGATATTGGATAATGTCAGATGTTCCATGCCGATGAACATTAAAGGCAGATGGGTGCTTAAATTACCCGTCTTCAGTTTACGCGCAAGGAGACACGCTAGAGGACCTACCCCGTAAACATCCGCGCGCACGTAGAGTAAGCAGTGATTGCATGGTCGTGCTCATCCTCATACGCAAAGGTATGTGCAAAAGCTACCCACGCGGGTGCGAATCTCGGATCCAACAAATTCGCTTTCCTGGTGGACATTCGTCGCATTAGGAATTAAATAAGTTGGAAGCTCAAGAATCTTACCCAAAATATTGTCTAGCCGTCGACCATTTTTTATTGCCGAGGTACCATACTCCGACTGCGTACCAGCTCAAAGGATTATCAGGCTCTCTATCCACCATGTCGTGTGCCAGAAGGAAGAGCTTAGAGTGCAAGTGATTTATGTGAAACATGCACGCAATGTGTAAAGGCAAAGTATGGTCGTGAATAGAAATCAGACTCAGAATCCTTGCAGAAACAGCGAATCAGCAAGATGGTGTGACAAGAAAGAGAATGAAAATACCGTGATGTGATTGTGAAACAGTCGTGCCATCTAAACGAGAGATATAGGGAGTCGGCGAAGCTAAACAAGACGTCTGGGTTGTCACCCAGGTGATACTGTTCTACAAGTTTTTGGCGCGTGAGTGCATGCTCCTCCGCATGCTTGTACTTGCGTAGACGAGTCGTATACATAAGTTGAACGAACTCTGCATCCTTTGGGGTCTGCACCTGATATGGGAGGGACTGCACGAACTCCCACTCTGGTGTGGATGTAAGTCTGCGACGGTAGATGATAGGACTGCCTCTAACCTTCATCTGAAGTCATCATTTCAGTACTGACAAGCTTTTCGAAGGATTCATAGCATTTCACATCGAGGCCGAGGGCTTCCATGAAGCATTCTTTTGCTTGGTCGACGCGTCCTATTTTCTGCATAACAATTCCACGAAGATGGCACATCGACGCTTCAATCTGTTACGATGAGTGGGTGTATATAACAGGGATAGAGAATGATCACCTTGATGCCACCATCGATATTCGGTATTGACGGGCCGCTTTTCGCTGCATGGCTATTAAATGCATGACTTTGCCCAGAGATGGTTTTACTTGCCTGAATCACGGAAAGGGTTTGCCTCGCCTAGAATTTCTGTCGCGGCATTCCAATTACCTTGCCTCACCATACACTGAGCAGCAAGGTACCGACAGGCAACACTCAAATCTACCAGCCTCGACATTCCAACTCCAGGACGCGTATCATCAGCTTTTCCCAACAAGGTGCCTGGGCCCATGGGCAAACGTACTGAAGAAGTCGACGGTCTGTCGGAATCGAGCTGAAGAAAAGAGGTATTTCCATTGGGCGGCCCCGACGATGGTAGCGTGACCATCATGGCAGGAACAGGAAACGGGCGCGTGAGCAGCCTCTCTGCCCTGGCATACTGATGGATCTGGAAATACGTCTGCGCGAGCCAAAACGCGTCGTTTGGGTCGTCTACAATATATGAGCCTACTCAGCAGAATAGAAACAAAAAGACGCGACTTACTCGTCCAGCTTAGGATTTTGTCCCCCCAAAAAGCCGCGGTCTCGTAGAGATGCTGCATCATGGCATCGTGTCGCCAGAGGCGCATGCGGTCAATTATACCCCATTCGTGCTCCTGCTCATCGTCTGCGTCGTCCTCGGGGCCTTGGAACACGTCTGTAGTGTCAATCGTGAGAGGATGTGGAGGTCGGACTGAGCTCTCCTTAGGCTTTCGTTGGCGACGCGGGCTGAGCCCGATTGGTGACACAGGGAGCATGGAACGGTTGGGGTCGAGAGCTACGGATCTCGAGTAGGACATAGTGCTCGAATTGCCGTCTTCAATGTAGGAGTCGGTGATGTTGTGGGGACCAAAGGAGAATGACGAGCCAAACGATGACCGCGGTCGTTTGTTGTTGCCAGTCAGGCGGGTTGGTATCGATGACGGTCCTTGTGCTGGTGTTGAATTCATCGTGAACGACGGCGGTGGCGAGAGAGAGCAGTGTCGCCGTGAAAGGCAAGGAGAAGGTCACGGTCAGAGGCAGAGTCGTAAGTGAGACTACCACGCGACTCATCATCACGCTTCATGGCCAACACCACCGTCAGCGGCTCCTTCGCCATCCATGGCCAGAATCCACAAGTAGGTGGCCTTCATCGTCCTGCACAGCGTGCTCATCATATCAGCATCTAGTCGAAACTGTCATTCGCAACCGAATTTACGAGTCCAATTATTGGAAAGAGCATTGTTTTGCCCTCACTGGTAAGCGCGAACTTCGACACAGCACGTTGAACTGACCGTGTCTTGTAGCTGAAAGCCTCATCGACAAGGCCATCGAACTGAAATTCATCGGAGGCGTATACGGAAACCAGCGACCGACAGATTTCATGTGTCTCTTGCTGAAGCTGCTCCAGATCCAGCCTGAGAAAGAAATCCTCATTGAATATTTGCAGGCAGAAGATTTCAAGTACGTGGTGTTGTCTTCTCCTTCTTTCGTCTTTGGTGACCTCTTGCCCAGATATCTACGGGCTCTGGCAGCAATGTACATCCGAATGACATTCCGTGCAGTTGAGGTGTACGACCTCCTCGAACCACTGCTGAAAGACTACAGAAAATTAAGGCTACGGAACATGGGTGTGTCTCGTTCAATCCGTCCATTCTATTCTTTATCTAACTCTTTCAGCCGGTTACTCTCTTACGTTCATTGACGAGTTCGCCGATGCACTGTTAACAGAAGAACGCGTCTGCGATATTATTCTTCCACGACTTGCGAAAAGACAAACTCTTGAAGAAAACGGGGACATTGGTCCCCGAAAAAGCCGTCTACTAGACGCAATGGAGGGTAAGAGCGACCATGGCAGCGACCGGGGGAGAAGTCGAAGCAGAAGCAGTAGCAGGACAAGCTCCCGCTCACGAAGTCGGAGCAGGAGCTTGTCATCTGCAGGTCGCTTCATTTCCAGAAGCCCTTCTCGTTCCCGCTCAGGTTCGCGGTCACCGTCACCGTTCCGGTCTCGTAGTAGAAGCATCTCTCCAGATCGTATGGAAACAGATTCATGATGTATTAGCGGGTGTACTATACTATCTTTTTTTCTGCTTGTCAAATCTCTGGTCTTTCCAGCCGCCAAGCTCCTTTGCAAGGACTTTCCACCTATCTTCGACAAATGGCAGGTTTCCGACAGCATCCAGCGTCTGCGGTGCAATGTACCCACGATTTCGATATCGCCCGTACCATACTGTCCAGGATAATTTAGTAGCTCGAAGTGTAAATGACGAGTTGAGCACGTACTGATATCGTTACGACGTGTTGGGGCGGCCTCGATACGATCCGTACGACCTTTCAGACAATCCCTCAATGATTGCGGAGTATAATACTTGCACACCACGCTGCCTCCCAGTTTCTCGATGGCTTTGACGGCAGTCTTCGATGCTCGGGAAGGAGTAATGTATATCTTGGACTTGAAATGCTCAGCACCCTAGTGATATCAATGAGAAAGGACCCAGTTCCTATAGCACAGAAACATACATCGCCCAGGACCTTGACCCCGTCGTGGGTATCGTGTATGCAGCCCGACAGCAACAGCTCCCTTGCAGTGATAGGATTTTCAGGCGTCGACGTTATTCGTCCTTGGTCAATCCAAAATTGAAGTCGTTCAAGGTTTATTGCCGCCCATGTTTTGGTATTCCTGCGGGAACGGGTGAGCACTCGAATACACCCGAAAATAAGAAGACGCACTGGTTGTAAAAGCCTCTTTTTGGGAATCGTCTCGTTATTGGGGTCTGACCGCCCTCAAATCCTGGCTTGATACCTGCACCAGAACGACTCTTCTGACCATTGTTACCGCGTCCGGCCGTTCCTCCATGATTCGAGCCTTGGCCTCTTCCGACACGTTTTTGCTGGGGACAGTCAGCCGCGGTTCGGAACACTCGATAAAATGCGTACGTGGTGCAATGACCCAGAGGCCGGCCCAATATTTCCCAGAGTCACCCGGGCTCTAGGAATCACCAAACGCGACGCCATGAATTTCGAGGTAAGAGACAAGTGTAAATTCCCACGGACGGTCTGCTTCGGGAAATAGTAGCCCCTAGGTATAGTCTACCTGCAGCACTGAGCAAGTACTGATACTCAGCCAAGATAACTTATTACATGATGATTTATTGCATCCCTCCAAGCCGATTTTTTGATGCTCAAGTGGATACAAGCAGCAATATTTAGCATTTGTTTATTTTATGAATTTCCGGGTTCTCGCGTCGCCACTGTCTTCGGACCTTCCATCATGGCACTAGTGAGCCTTCCTAAATGTTGTGTTTACTTATCCTGACATCTCTATACTAGATTGATTTTGATCCTCTCGAGGAGTTTGATCTTGAAACCTATTTTAAACGGCGTGAATGGTGGCAATCCATGCGCGGTTGGTTTGCTGAACGAAGATATTTTCTCTATCACCCTCAGTTTCACGAGGGGGAACTCATATCACTCTGCTACCCCGATATTTCATTTCCAGCAACTGGCTGGTCTGCAAAATCGCCTTTTCTGTATGCCTACAGGGAGAGCCACTCCCTTGAATACGGCGAATGTGGCGAGAATTATCTTTCGACTGACGTGCCATTTAGATCCGTATGGTCTCCTCCTAGCACATGTAAGTTTTATCTAATGTTTATACACAGAGTAGCGTTTGGTTTGCGCAAGACAGAGAGACGCGACTGGATCAAACGAGAAAGACACCGAAGAGTATCAAATATTGCGTCGGATTAGCGAGGATGCTTTTCAGACCTCCTCGTTTCATAACATCATACCTATCCTGGAGTTTCTAGACATGGAAGACTTCTCTGGTGTCGTGATGCCTCAGTCAGTCCTCTTCAGAGTCTCAAAAGACAAGCTTATTAACCTGTGCCTCTAGGTGGTCAGTCGTGTTTACACCTGATAACTCTTTCGAGACTATGCGCGAGGTGCTGTCCATGATCCACTGCCTGCTTAAGGTTTGTCGGCCTTGCTTACGCACCCTTCTGTATTTGACGCCACTAGGGTCTCGTGTTCCTCCATGACCGGAACATCGTACATAGGGTCAGTAGGCGTTAAGTTATCAGGAGTTTCGGTCCCTTCATTGACATTGCGACAGGACATCAAAGAGGGCAATACTCTAGTAAACCATGCTCATAACGCTCACTGGACCAGGCACTATCACACTGCGGCCTTTCATCGGTCTCTGCGTCGTGCAGGAGTGCTTACCTATGCTTATATCGATTTCGATATCTCCGTCATGTTTCCCCCTGAGACTCCGCGATCTAAGTGTCGACTTCCTTACTGGAAGTCATGGGATGGC